AGCATGGCAAATTATAGACAAGCAATGCAGCACCTCAATGAAGTTTGCCCATCACTAAGCGAATACATGGAAAAGAACCTACTGCTCTTAGCTGGTGATTGGCCAACATGGTACTACAACAAGAAGATTATATGCCAGGTTTGGCTTAACATTTTTAAAACACTTTTAGCGTAAGGAACAATGATGAGCAAGGGATGGCACAATGGTGAGAGCACTCGCCTCCCACCAATGTGGCCTGGGTTCAAATCCCAGCATCGACGCCATATGTGGGTTGAGTTTGTTATTGGTTCTCTCCTTTGCTCCGAGGGTTTTTTTTTTTTGCGCTGTGCACTCCGGTTTTCCCCTCTCCTCAAAAACTAACACTGCCAAATTACAATTCGACCGAGAATTAGGTACACAAGGACCACTTTGTGGATGTGCTACCTCTGAATCAATATATATTTAATATAATATTCACAGTATATTTCTGAAGTGAAATATTTCATGCGTAATGGGCAGTGAATATTTTACAACAACTTCTCTGTACTTGGTCAGATTGAAAATCTTTGAACAGGTTAAATTTCATAGACGACATTTACATAAAATTCAGGGAAACTGAGCTGGTAGAAATTTCGTAACTGCTTTGCGTGTGACTTCACGGCTCATTACGCCTGCAAGAATGCAGAGATGAATCTGAAATCTACAACTACCAACAGATTCAACTTTCAAATAATAAATTCATTAATGTAATCTTGGGAGTTATGCTTGACTTGACTGTAACACATTACAAAGGAAAAAAAAGTTTCAACCAAAGATAAAAATGAGCCACAACACATACTCAAGGGTAAATATTATTCAAAACTTGGGCAGTCCCACTAAGAGAACTGCATTTCAGGAGCAACAAAAAGAAACTACAGGTACGTAAACAAATACACACTGAGAGAGTCCACTCTAGTTAAACAGAAAACATTTACATGTCTGTTATTCTTAATTACTTAATAGTAATTAATAGTACATAAAATTTTAAAGTAAGAATAATTATTTTATAATTTCAAAGTTTGATTATGAACATTAGCTAAAAAAAAGTTGCTTACTCTACAGTGGAAACCCGATGTTGACCCAGACAGAGTATTGTCAGTGGTGCCATGGCAGGGGCCCTTCCATATCTGTCTGAACTCACAAGAAGATGTTGTGGCAAATTTCCGCTGTTTTTTTGAAAAGCTGTACAAACACTTGTTTGGTCAAAGAAAAGTGTTGCCTTCCAAGCCTAAACCACACAGAATTTCGACTCTCATCACTACAGCATTTGGTGGATGGCTGACTGTAAAAACCGCTGTTCTACCTGCATTTGGACAATGTAAAGACCCAGAATATGTCCTTCTTGTGTTTCTCCTGGATGAATTGGTTCCACTTGTGTTTTACTTTTATTCAGTTATCTTTCGAGGTGGTGACCAAAGGAAGTGGGTTGATGCCATGATACGGTTAGCCCTCATGTTCATCATCCAAAGGCGGCGTCACTATGACAAGGCCACCCTGTGTCAGTTGAGCGACCTTGTACACCAGCAAGAGGCCATTCCCAACTTCCAGGAGCTACTAGAGCAATGGCTCAATGAGCTAACAGAGAAGAAAGTGGAAGTTTTCCATTCACTTCTTCGAAGGTAACATAAATGTACCTAGGAAATTCAAGTGCATAAACGGTTTGTCAAACATTACCCAGTATAACAGACAGATCCTAATAATGTGCAATATTGCCCCAAGGGCAACATGTTTTTTTAGCAATGCCACATATTTTTTTTACCTGAAAAATTTAGTGGTAAACCAATCAATTCCTCTTAAAACAAGCAGACCACTACTTCAACAAAGTTATGATTTATCATTATTTTTAAAGGTAAGGAATGCAAAGTTCCTAAACGTGGTTTGAATAGAACTATTTTTCATCTGTGTGCTGTTGTTTTAAATGAAATTTAGTCGAGGCCACAGCCCTTGATATGACTGTCAATGACAGACAATGTCAGCGTGCAAAGACAGTCGTGTCTGATAGCCCACGGCTAGTGGATTTTGCTATTGGGCTAGTGATTCTTGTTCTTAACTTGCCCAACAGGCAAGTGCTGTTTTTTAGGCAAATTCAAATTACAGAAGGATTGGAATCAATCCTGCTAATCAAAAAGGGTTTTACGGCTAGTTGAAATGACTTGTGGGCTAGTAAATGCTAGCTACAGCTGCGGCATCTGTAAAACTGAGTTTCTTTGCACCCTGGAATGTCAAGGAAAATAAACTTTTGAAAAATTCAAATAAGCCAAAAGTGTTACATTAATTTCAGCTAAGTGACTAAGACATTTCATTGTCCTTGAATTGTCAGATCAGTTCCTCCAAATGCCACAGCCAGCCAAGTTCAGGCAGCTGCAAAGGCCATAAGTGCAAACAGATGTGCAGAAGACTTTTGTACCTGGTTCCTTACCAATAATCCAAGAGGCAAGGGTGTCCGGAACCTAAGGGACCTATCAAACAAAGCAGCTGAGTTTCTTCTTGACTTGTTCATCTCTGTGAGGCAAAACCTTGGAAACTCTGCAAAAATACCCAGAGGACAAAAGAAATATCAGGTAGAATCCAATATGGCTGTAACAACCCATTCCATAACAAAACAAAGCATTTCCTATACAAGATATACCTGAAACAAACCTTTATCTTTTTCCAATGCAGCCTTATTATCTACCCTCTCTTGATGCAACTGTGGACCAAAGAAGCTTCCCCTTAGGGTATGCCTGGAAGGGTCAAGAACCAGACGCACTGTTGGCTTGTGATGCAGCAGATTGCAGAGCAAATGACAATCTCCTACTTGCAGTTCAGCGCTTCAACTGTGGCCACACATTTCACAAAAGTTGTCTTGGTAGTTCCTCAAACTGTAACGATCATAACTACTCAATACTGTATGGTGTCAAGTGCCCCATTTGCTCTGAGCAACTTCCTTTAAGAATCCAAGAACTTGCAGACAGTTTCAACAAAGGTTTACTGGCAGGAAATGATGAAACTGATGGAAGCAATGATAATCATGATGACGACGACGATGATGATGGAAGTGACAACTCAGATGATGATGACAGTGATGATGATGATAGCAAACCTGATACACTAGCAAATAAGATACTCATTAAAGCAAAACAATCCCTTTTGCATCTTCCACAAAGTGCTTTATTTAAGTACAGCAACAAAAATTCCAAGAATGTAAACTCCACCGACTCTACTGCAGAAGCAGTAATTGTTAATACTAGTATGGTGTGTGTCACATGTGGCAGGGTCTGTAAGAGCAAAGGGGGCTTGACTCAGCATCAGAACACCCACAAAGGGGTAAATAGTTAAGTGTTTCCCTGAAATGAGAATAACAAAACAATAATCATTTCCTTTTTTAGAAGCAAATCCAAACAAATAATACAAGCCCTTTGTTTCATGTAAAATACCTTGAATAGGAATAGGCATGATAACACAGGAGAGAAACCTTAAACAATGCCTTTGTTGTTGCCTTTGTCTTGCTATAGGTATCTCAAAACAATGCAACTAGCTAGATAACAAATAAGTGATCTTGTGCTTGCATTTGGAATTTGGTCCATACAATATTATATGAGATCTTTGCATTATAAAAGATTAACTCAGCCCAAGTACTATGCCAGTGAGAAAAATATAGTGATAGTCCTGTCGAGAATACTAATAAGGGACAATGTGATGTACAGGAGTAAGATAGTGTCTTCAAAATATTCGATGTTATTTTGAACATGTAAATATAATAAGATTTTCACTTCAAAATACCACATTGTATATGGGCAAGGATTGTGTATAACTCTGCTAATTCTGGATACATGTAAGCTTAAAAATTCATCCTTAAAATTTCACCTTTCTTAAAACAACCTAATTTTGTACAGTAAAATCATTCCAAATCTATATCAGTCCAAAAACAAAGTTATTAACTGTATAAATCAGTTGGTATAAATTGATCTAAAGAAATTACAAATTGGACAACGCGTACAAAAAAATAATTTCGCTTCTAGCGGAACAATGTAAACAATTCACACCAAGGAATTCATTGAACAGTGTGGATATATCTAACCTAGAATCAAAAGCCCATTAAACTTGTAACTCAGGTGCTATGAAGTGCTATTTTGTTTGAAAGTTTGGTTACTTTTAGCAATGGCTTCGCCAACTGTTAGGTGCCGCATTATACGCCTGCACGCAGCGCACGCTGCACCGCCGCAATCTCTTGGAGGATAAATAGCATCCAATGCAAATTTCGGTTAACTCATTAACTCTGAAAACGTTCACTATGTCAAAGACGAAAAATGTCTTACCTTTAAACTCAGTTGTGTAACTATAGGATCACCGAGACTTGTTGCAGGAAAACCAAACAATCGCGTAGAAGAAAGTTGATCGCAAAAAGCACATGGTTTGCTTGGCACGACTCCGTCCGTTTAACGTAATACAATCACAAAGATTACCTCCAAAGCGAAGCAAAACAAAATGATACCATTATATACAAGACCTTTCAGTGATGTATTTCAACACAGTGCTCTTCAAATTTCGGCCAAATATCTCACATTCATGATCGCTCGATTGTAGCTCCTTCGGATCGCTCATTCTTTTGAACCAACTGCATCTGCATATGGTCAGCGGAAGGCGCAAGCGCATGCTCTCAGTGAAATTTTTTTTAACCAATCAGCGGTTTTTCTGCCCTGCCCGCTTATCAGTAATTCCATATTAGGAAGTAAATTTTGATTGGTACCCTAAAAAACCCGAGCATTGCGACAAAGTTATACGCTTCGGGGTTCTTCGGGGTTATATGCTTCTGGCCATAACCTAATGGTCTAAAACGGTCGGTCATCGCCAGAAAAGCGTGACCGTTGGGGGTCTGGGCACTACGAGGTTTCTCCTGGTGATGTTTGTCATCAAACAACCGGCCATGATGAAGAAAACCATAAGGAGATTTGGAGTTTTTAAAGCTAAAGAACGTTTAAACCCGCTGTACTTCTTTTTTGGCAACCATTCCTTAACATTTATCTACTGAAAACTGGCTAGAACTGAAGATGTTTCGCTTGCATGATTCATGAAAAGCGAATTGACTTTATAGTTTTGGGCTGACTTGTTGATGTTTCATGAAAAAGTCAACTGGTAAGACTTAAAACTCTGGGCTTAATTTATATGGCTTCAAGCAGTGGATCTGGAGGAAAGTCTCCCAAAAAGCTTCGTGAAGTAGTCAATTCAAGCAAGGTAGGAAAAGTATCCATACTTCGTGTTACTGACCGAGCCTTGAATTGCTTTAAAAAATTAATATTTTTTGTTGGCGTTTGCACTGAAGCTTAAATATGTTTATGCTGTGGTAAAAGGAAATATTGAATACAATGCAAGGCTGATCGGAAAGCTAAGAATGGTCAATATATCGCTTATTTTTGTCCCGCCAGAGTGTCTTGGCAAGCGAAAGTATTCAGAGCTTATCATAGTGGTTAACATTATATTTCAGGTTTAAATTTTTGAACCTACTAGCAGCTGTACTAGGTTGAGTCTCAGTTTCCTTTTGTCTTTTAGCCCTTATTCATAAATAATTAGGGTTAGGAGACAAAGGAAATAGAGATTCAACCTAGTTTAACAACTTTTAACCTGAATTTAATTTTGACCTGTAACATTTTACACCATAAATGTTAATTTTTCTGACACCTTTGTCCGGTTTATGGGAGGGGTAGGACAGTAAATATGGGCTCAGATAGTTGTTGGGGTTTGACAAATTAAAGGTTGTTTATCAAGTCAGAACTGGTCAGCCAGATTAGTCAGCTTGTGAACAAAATAAACTTTTTTTCAAGGTTTTTCGCTGAAAATCCAACACTGTCGTGTGTAAGTTTCAGTTAGGAATATAATGATCAGGCCAGACAGTCTTTATAGTGGAATTCTCTTTTTGAGTGGACTGGCCTGGAAAACATGCTTTCAATGTTGCAAATTTCAGTTTCAGCAATTTTCATGCTAACTGACTGAAAACCAGCCCAAAAAGGAGGCCTTCTTGGGCGGGGGTGGAGGTGGGTATGGTGGGGTACATATAGTTCCTAGTCTGAATTTTAAACCTGTCGTTTCACATGTTGAGGAGGAAACCATGCTGCTGTTGGTATTTTACTATTGTACTTTTCTTTGTTGCTGTCGCTGTTTCAACCCATCTTTGTGTCATTTTTTGCCATTTCTGCTGTCCTGTGTTGCTGTTTCAAGGCCATGTCACTTGTCCAAATTTTAGCCTAACAGGGCCTCAAAAAGGACCTTGTACAATACTATAACTAAATGAATAAAATAATACTTACAAATCAAGACTTACCGTTTGTTGAACTTTTCTTTTGTTTCAGTATGAATGTATGGATGTCCCTGAAGAAATGAAAGCAAACTTGGAAAAACTAAGGGCGTTGTCAAAAGATGATTTAACAGAAAATGGACTCTTGCGTTCCCGCATTGATCAGCAGTGTGAACTTATTTGCATTCTAAAGCAGCGTGCAGATGAATCTCTTAAAAGGTCCATGACACTGGAAGGTGAAAACAGTGAAATTAAAAAACACAGGGATGAAATATTGACTGCTTTACACAATGAGACAAGAAAGTACTCTGTTTTGGAGAAACGATTTGTTGTTCTAAATCAGAACCATGAGGAACTCATCAAAATCAAAGATGATTACAAAATAGAAAATGGAAAGCTGCGAATTGAAAATGACCGCCTCAAAAAGGAAAATGAAGACTTGTTTGGCAGCCTTGTGGCAGAACGTGACTTGCAGATCAAGCAACTTAGAGAGGAAGTGAAAACCTTCCAAGAGAAATATCAAGTTGCTACGACAAAAGAAAGGTTGGTAGGCAGTAACAGCCACATAAATGTGGCAGGGAATAGAAAATAATTTATCAAACAATCTACAGTCAAAGCTCTCCTTGCGACCACTCTAGTAAGTGACCAGCTCTAGTTATGACCACCTTTGTGAAACCGAACTGTGACTTAAACTTTGTAATGAAAAGCTCTTGTAAGCGACCGCACTAGTTGGTGACTGTGACCACTTTTAGGGTTACCCAACTGGAATTTTCCTATGTTTGTAAGTTCTTGTAAGTGACCACTCAGAGTCTCATTCATACAAACCAACACTTGAATGACACTGCACTAATGGTTCATTGATAAAGATCTTGGGGTTATTTTGGTCTAACAAATTAGACGTAAAATTTAGCCGTGTCTATATTTGCTTAAGACACTGACAGTAAACATTACTTTCTTTTGTTTGTCTTTATGAATTATTGGTTTAAAAAAAATAATATGACTCTATGGGGTAGTTCGCATGCATGAGTCTGTGATGTAGGTCAGTGAATGCCCATTTTGACAGCTGTTAATAAATTGAATTGATATGCCCCAGGTTGAATATATAGATCTAAGTTATTGACAAATGTCACATTTTGCTCTCGCAAAATTGAATTAAACTTAACTATGAGGCTTACATTATTTTTTTTTGTCTTTGCCATTTTATTTGTTTGTTTGTTTGTTGTTTAATTGCCCTCTGCAACTTTGATTTTCCTTGATTGTTTAGAGCCTCAGTACTGGGAAAAATGCATGTGCTTATTTTTCTTACAATTACTCCTATTTTCATCACTTTCACTGAGTTAAAATCAGAATGTCATTCATGACAGAAAGAATTCTTTTGTCTGTTAGTCAAGAATCAGGGGTGGATCTAGGGGGAGGGTGTAGGGGGTGCGCACCCCCCCCCCCCCTAATGAGATGACCTGCGGTTTTTTAATACAACTGGTTTTTTGCCAAAAAAAAACTAGGTGGTTTATTGGTGTTGAAGTCGAGCAAGAGACGAGTGCACCCCCTCCTAAAAAAAATCCTGGATCCGCCCCTGAGAATAAGCTTTATTAAGTTCATTAATAGATGATGTATGTCTCCTCTAATTAGGGTGGCTCTGGAACATCTCTCGTCTCTTGAGAAGAAGTACCATGAGCAGGCTAATAAGCTTCAGAAAGAAATTGCAAATTTGCAGAAAAATGCAGAAGGTTAGTTATAAATTAACATGATTGTCACCATACTGGTTTATTGGTTTAATTTCCACAACCTTTGTCTTACCGTTTTGCCCATGACTGTGTACATCTGGGTGGAGAGCATAACCTAGTGGAGTAAAGTTTCTTGCTTAGCAAAACAATGTGACAGCAAAATAGCTCAGTGGGTAAATCTCTTGACTGCAAAGCGGGATGTCATGGGTCCGATTTTCAGAGCTGAACCAATACTGGGTGTTAAAGTTGATGTTACACAAGACAATTCGCAACAACGATTTTTAGCGCAACACAGTGTTGCATCATTGTTGTTACGTTGTTTCAAATTGTTACAACATTGTTCCAACATTGCAACGCTGTATTGCGCTAAAAATCGTCCTCTGCTAATTGTCCTGTGTAACATGACCTTAAATTGAATAACTGAGAAATGAAGGTACTGCCTTTGCCCTACAAATGGCTAGTCCTTTCCAGATCTGGGTAGTGACATGTCATCAGTATGGAATTTCTGTACTCGTTTCTCAAACATCATTTTGTGGGGAAACAAGGTGTGGCGTCGCAAAATGTCAGCTGTTTTGTCTGACGAGACCGTCTTTCACATGGCTCATATGATCATGTAAAACGGCAGTCCTGTCTCCAGTAGTAAACATAAAAATAGTATCCTCAATTAGTACTTTTGTGCTAAATACATTGACAGTTAAATATAATTTGTTTTTTTATTACATTTTCTCTAACAATATTGCGCTAAAACATTTTGCTCATTACCCAGCACTATTGGTCATCTCGTCACTTTTTAAATTCTCAATGCTATCGCATTTTAGTTGGGCACTTAACTAACCTTTGTAAGATGGTAATTGCATCAAAGTATTAGACACTCAAGTAAAGTGTATTTTCCCCTTTTTTTTTCTAAACCCGGACCTACAGATCCAAACTTCAAGGCACAAACTGTTCAGCCACCATGCTTCCTTATCAAGCATGTAAAAATATGGATGTTTAAAAAATAAGAACCTGTAAAACTTAAGCCTCCCGCACAAACATTCTTTTGGCTTGTCACGCAATCCAACGCATTACAAAGCCTAAGGACGTCTGCATGGGAGCATGGTAACCTGGGACCAGCTCTGCAGTTTAACGCTTTTTTATGCTGCTTCACTCCGTTTTTCTGCCCACAGCAGAAACTGGTCCAATGTTAGGAGGCTAGCAAAAACTTCAGAGTTACATGGTACTCATTTAGTTCCGTGTTCGAAAATGCTGACAATTAAGAGGAGTGTTTTTGTCCCTGTGCTTGAAAGTATGAACATACGAATGATTTATTTGTTACGTTTTACTCACAGAGCAGCATAAGCAAGCAGAAGAGAAGTACAGAATGTCTGCTTCTGAAAAAGAAGAAAATAAAGCCAAAGAACTGGCACTGAAGAAGGAAAGAGATGAGTTTGCAGCTCTTGCATTGGAAAGGGGAAAAGCTCTTGAAGTAAGTCAAGTCAGTTGTTATGCTTTTGAAAAGAAGCAGCACTTTGATGCATAAGACTGTATGGTGTGCGCTAATGATGTTATTAGCTAATACTATTAATGGAAAATTTCGCCTCCTTTGCAGGCTAGGAAAAAATACTTAGAACTCTGTATTAACTCAATAATGCACCAGTAAAAAAGAATATTTTTACTTCTTTTATGAATTTTCCAGTGACTTGGTTATAGTTTCAGTTTATTTGATTGCCAGCAAAAAAAGAACAGTCATTCAATACATTGCAAAAATAATAGTTAAACCGTATGGGCTTATTACTGTGATCTTCCTCTCTAGCCTAAGACTACAAGGGACACAGGTAGGCTACTGTTTTGAGTGATGATTTATGAACACAAGAGTGGTGCTAAGAGAAGAGACAAGAGAGCGCTGCCTTCTAATTCTGAATCTCGAGTATACTCTTATTACTCCAATATGTGAGCGGAACAAGTTTCTGTTTCAGTCAGCTTTAAAAGCGCAATGATTTGCCCTCGCTCTGGACACGTGCTAAATTTGCGTGGTCCCTGTACGGCGTTTTCCCAGTCCCTCTCGGTCAATTCGTTTCGGTGACGTATCCGAGGCGAACGGGAGGGAAACATTTTCTCACATTTTCGCATGGACCACGTGACCCGAAACGCTTTGGCCGCGAGGAAAAATGAGGCCTAGGGACTAGGCAAGTGCTAAATGAGAATCCATTCAATCACAGGACGCTCATTTTTACAAATATCTGTAAAACTGTTTATGTTCTACATACGTTGCAGGAAAAGCAAAGAGAACTCAAAGAACTTTGTCGTAAACTAGAAGAAGCTGAAAAATCTCTTAAAGAAACGGAGGATAAATTTGTGTAAGTGCTATTATTCTGGGTTGTGGCGAAAATTATGTTAAGGAGGACAAAAAAAGAAGCAATGAAATATCTGTTGCCCCTATGTAGCTACAGAACAAGATAACCAAGAAATATGTAACAATCAAGGTTTGCGGAGAAATATTTTATTAATTTTTTGATATTCTTCTAACTGAAGATAAATTATGGTTTCTACAAAGTTTTAAAAACAACCCAAATTTTACCAAAAATCTTTGAAAAGTTCTTTGTAGTAAAGGTCCCATAAGGCTCTTGATAAAATTTGTTAAATATATGTGTGATCGAAAAATCGAAGCGACTTTCCCCTTTCTCTCTTTTCCGTTCCATTACTTCTCGCCTACAATCCGCGCTCGTTCCCGTCATCCTTCACCCGCACTTCTCTCTCGTCTCCATCAACCCTCTTTAAAATCAGTGCGCCCCGCCAAGCCCTGGCTAACTGCTGTGGAGAGGGCAGAGAATAATGTAGTAGAGTAACTTTTCGAAACTTCTCGGTATTTCTTTTCTCCATAGGTGGTGCTGAAACCGGGCATAGAAAGTAATCCTTGTTAGCCTGCGAAGCATGGCGGTTTTGTCAGGCGCATTGCTGAACAGGAAAGCCGCGAGAAAAATAAAAACCGCTTCCCCTTGCCCACATTAATTTGTTTGCGCGCTCGACAAAACAGCCATGTTACGCAGGATAATCCTTGTTTGTTTGTTTGACACCGTGTCATCTTTCAATTTCTGCAGGTCTGAACTTCAAAACATGTCAGTAAATGCTCAGGTTTTAAGATTAAAGAAGCAATTAGAAGATGCTGAGCGAAAACAAAAAGAAAGTGAAAAGGTACTTTTACATTTAGTGACTTACAGTACCAAAGTGGACACTTTGACAAGGAAAAGTGCCACAGGTCTACTTCACAGGGGATACAATCCAGCGCGAAGAAACTGTGTGTCCTTGCTCGACTAGATAACGTCTGTTATGCAGGCTTTATACTGCTCTCAGTAAGCTTTATTTGAATAATCACAGTCGCTGAAATAGGGTTTCATCCCGCACTCGAAAGACTCAAAGCTTGGAGCCTCCTTCTACAGTATAGGCTAACAGCACTACACGAAAGTACTGCTCAGTAGCTTTTTATTGAATGATAACAGTTCAGGATTTTATAAACAGACTCGAGAGTTCTACAGCATTATTTAAGCAATAGAAAACGTTTTCCGTTTTTGCATAGCCTGATGTAAACACGAGAGGGGTTGGGAGAATTCGAGACAGTTATGCAAACCCGAGACGAAGTCGAGGGTTTGCATAACCGTCGAGAATTCTCCCAACGCCTCGAGTGTTTATATCAGGCTATGCAAACACAGGAAAAAAGTTTTCTATTGCTTTTAGAAAATAACTTTCCCGAGAAAAAAAAAGCAAAACTCTTTGTATGGCCCTGATTAAAAGAGAAATTCTCAGCAGTCGCAAAATCTTGTCCACGAAGTCTTGCACGCGTAATCAGTTCTTGTTTTGCAAAAAGATGCTTTACAGAATACGGATTTTTCTCGCTTAAAATGGCAGCTTAAGCGAAGAAAAATTGACTCACCTTCTTTGTAACGATTTTCCATGTTTCAGCCGACGAAGGAATGGGTAAATAAAGTAAACTTGTCGAGTTTTGAACTCGAAAACTTTTTCAAATTCGTGCTTGCGTGAGTAGCGCGCGAAAAGCCAAACAACTTGACGCCACAACCATGTTTACATACTCTCATGCAAACACTCCTCTCGGCCAATCAGAGCGCGCGTACTATCTTAGTTATTTTATAAAACTGAACAGTACCACTAGACGGACGTAACTGCTTAGTAGCTGTCCATTTAAAATGGCTACACCATAGCATTTTGGCGACATCCAAAGACAGCGAACTATCTCGTATTATAAACAGTAGGTGGTACCAAGGACTTAAAATGCCTTCATCTAGCCTACTTAACATTACCATAGGGAATTAAGTACTACTTAATAACCTCTATTCGAATGCTCGCACTTTAGGATTTTCTCCACAGACTCAAAAGTGGTTAGGCTGCGCGCAAGTTTCCTCTTGCTTGGCTATCGTAAACTTTCAGCAAAGAGATTTTGCGTCTAACATGTAATGATGCCCCGCTGCTCGACTCTAAAGGAGCATTGTATAGTACGGAATCATACTTATCCTCTGCGTTTTTTTTTTTTTTTTTTTTAACAGGAATATGATGCTTACAAGAGGCACATGTCGACCTTGCTGGGAAAAGAGAAAGAACTGAATAATAAACTCCGAATTTTGATTGGTTAAAGAGCATGGGCATTACAATTCCCTTAACCTCCTGTTTTATCAGCGTCAAAGTGGCCCGACGTTGCAAAAAAGTGCGCAGCTCAGGACTCCGAACTTCAAAAAGAAAAGTTTTATCAATATAACATTTATATGATTATTTTGTTCCTTCACAGTCATAGATTGAAACTGAGTACAAACTTTGATGCAGGCACTATAGTAAAAATTCCAAATTGTGAGTGTTATGGAGTCTTTCTTATAACATAAATCTGTTGCTCCTCGTTAAAAGTTTCGCAAAAATCATCGATGGCAGTTGCGTATGTGGCAGGGGAATTAATCATTAGCATATTAATGGCTAATATAAAGCATAATCATAACTATAACAAAATTGTCAAATCTGATTGGCTATCAACTGCCCTGATTTTAGCCTTAATTGGACAGTTTAATAGGACAGTACGCGTCATGCCTAATAAATTGGACAGTACGCGCCATCACGCGCGCGCTTAAATGGTTTTTTTTTTCACTGCTAGCAATAAAAATCTCGGAATTTCTTGTGTTTTGATTTAAAAAATAGCCTATTATGTCACAAATTTTGTTAAAGTTATGATTAACTGGTAACAGAACTTCGTGTCGTCCAATTCGGTCTGTAATCATACTCGTGATTAAACAAATCGGTTAATCACTCGTATGATTACAGACCGAATTGGACTCCACTCAGTCCTATTACCATTACGTATCAAATGCTAACCTCGTATTTGGCGTATGGTCTAACTTAATTTTGTATTTGGGTGTAACAACTGCATTAAAGAAGCCGATTTTGAACTCCATTTTCGAGAGCTCAGAAGTGGAAAAAGTAACGAATCTCTGGCCTTTAAATACCTAAAAATTTCTACTAGCGTTTTCTAACTATCTACCTTTCAGAAGCAACTGGCAGTATATACCTCTTATTAGCCGAGTTTTCGTTCCGTACTGTAAATTACGGACCGAGTTTTTTTCGATTGATTTATGGCCCAAGCGCGAAGAGCGCGGGCCTTACATCTATTATATTTATTATATGGCTGAGTCTGTTTTCGCCATGCGATTGGTCAATTTGCGGTCCGTAACTTGCTATACGGACCAAGATTTTTAAAGAAAATGCTCATTTCGGAGGTCTAAATCTCTTAACCTCGGAAAAAATGTTTAAATAAAGTTATAAGACGACTGTCAACCTTGAGGACTTGGATGTTGACTTTGGCCTTCATTCCGCGCAAGGTAATGATGCTAATGATGTGACTCTTGGTAACTACGTGCAATGTAACTCTGTGTTTTCAGACTTTATTAATGTCAGTTACGAAGACATCCAGGGACTTGCATTGAGATCTATTAATAAATCCTGTGGACTTGATCCTCTGCCTGCAGTGGTAATGAAGGAATGTTTCAAGTTACTAACTCCTGTGTTCACTAACAAAGTGAATACATCTTTATCTACTGGAGTTATGCCTGATGTCTTGACGATTGCAGCTGTGACACCGACTTTAAAGAAACATAATGCTGATTTCACTAAATATGAAAGTTTTCGACCTATTTCTAATTTGAAGTTTGTGTCCAAGCTTGTGGAAAAAGCGGTATGTGTCCAGCTTACAGATTATATTACATCTAATGGTCTTTCGGAAACGTTTCAATCCGCATACAAGCCATTTCACTCCACTGAAACGGCTCTACTGAGGGTTCAAAATGACATTCTTTGTACTTTAGATCGTAATGAGTTGGTCATACTGGTACTTTTGGATCTGTCGGCGGCGTTTGATACGGTGGACCATACTCTTCTCGTGACAAGGCTGTCTACTTGTTTTGGTTTTCAAGGAACTGTGCTTAAGTGGCTGAAATCATACCTGTCTTCACGTAAGCTGTTTGTTAAAGTTGGGAATAGTCATTCTTCACAACGTGCATTGAAGTGTGGTGTCCCTCAGGGATCAGTTCTGGGCCCTTTGTTGTATTTGTCATACACATCACCTATTGCAGACATAATAAATGATCATGGACTATCATACCATCTATATGCTGACGACACCCAATTATATAATTATTACCTTTAAATCTACCAGCCTGAATGACATCCAACAAGTGAAGTTGAGAGTGGAATGCTGTGTGAGGGACATTGATGAATGGATGATAAGAAACTATCTTAAACTAAACCAGGACAAAACGGACCTTGTAGTCATCAGTTCCAGATTCCATCCTATGCCTGACATCGGTCACATTACTGTTGGTTCTGAGTGCATTGCACCTCGTGACTCTGTTCGTAATTTAGGGGTTCAGTTTGATAGCATATCTAGTTTTGAGGAGCACATTAAGAACATTTGTAAATCATCATTCTATCATTTGAGAAATATTGCTAAAATCCGCAAGTACTTAAGCCAAGATACATGTAAAATCTTAGTCCATGCATTTATTAGTTCGAAACTTGATCACAGTAATTCCTTATTACATGGCCTTCCTAAGTATCTGTTAGCTAGACTACAGGCAGTTCAGAATGCTGCAGTTCGTGTTGTCACACTGACACCGAAGCATGTTCATATAACTCCTATTTTAATTAATCTTCATTGGTTACCAGTCGAGTTTAGATTAACTTTTAAAGTCCTTTTATTGGTATACAAGGCCCTTCATAACCTTGCACCTTCTTATATTTCTGACCTTTGAAATTTTAAAACATACTCTAGGTCATTGCGTTCTTCATGTAAAGAATATTTAGTGGTTCCAAGAAGCAGATTGAAAACATATGGAGACAGAGCTTTCTCTATTGCAGGACCTAAATTGTGGAACGATTTACCCCTAGAGATTAGGAAATGTGCTTCAGTGGCAACTTTTAAGCAATCCCTTAAAACTTTTTTATTTACGTTAGCATATAGGTTATGAGATTCCTTTTGTTTTAAGATGTTTTTGATTTATATAGTAGATAACTTAGGCCATATTTGAATTATATTGTATATTGTAGATATTTTATAATTTAGATTTTTTATATTTAACAATTATTCTTTGAAATCGAGGTGAATAGTGGCAAAATATTTACCGAGCCGCGAAAGCGGCGAGGTAAATATTCCCAAAGCCACTATTCACCGAAATTGAGAAGAATAATTGTTTTAGTATATACACACGAAGTGATCTCAACAAAATCAGAAAGGAAACCATTCAAAAGTAGGATTTGATTGACAGATCAAATCACGCGTAAGTTTAAAAATAGATCTTTGCAGAATTTTCAAACATGGCAATTCACAAGTCTACTCATTTCGCAAACAACAGCGTAATGGCTTCAATGGAATCGCTAAAAGTTTGAACTGTTTCCTTACCTGAGAAAAAAAGTAGAGCTGTGTTGTTTTCTGTTGACTCGCCAAGTTTATAGCCAAAAGGGCATGTTGTGTCGTTCTTCGCATGAAGTGCTGACAAAAATGGCGGCTCGGTTGCTCGAGGTAAGAGGTCGTCTTCCTGTATCATTCTTTTTCCTGTTTACTTGAAATGTAGAATTTCTGCAAACATTTCCTTTTAAATTTGTTTGTCATAAATAAACTTCGATTTTTGAGCCAAAATTTTCTTCTTAGAAAACGCTGAGTTCACGAAACGGCTTCTTCTACGCGAATACACGGGAGTTGTAAACAATCCATCGAGCACAAAACTCCTGCTACAGTAAATTGAAAAACGCCGTATTGAATCCTTCCAAGTCTTTTCTTGCCTTAAAAAAAGTCAGCCCTAGGATTTTGTCGACTTTTAAAAGATCGTTCTCTAAAAAAAACGGGAAAAACACCGAGCTCACACATTATCCACTCGCTAGGGGGTGAATATTGTTGAATAGTCCGAGTTAGCGAACCAATCAGATTGCTTAAATCACCAAGATCACTGAGTGTGTATATACTAATCTATTTTGTAATTAGGTAGCGCTTTGGACAATTATTGGATTTTAGCGCTATATAAATAAAATTATTATTACTATTAAAGAAGCAAATAAATAAATAAATAAATAAATAAATAACGCCTGATCTCAGGTTAACTGAGATGTTGACTTTGCCTTTCCAAATTTTAACCTAGCTTTGTTTTAATGAGAACGAAGCTGTTGTAGAAACTGAATCGTAACCTTACAGCGGAAGAGAATTCTAGTCAGTGTTTGAAAATTTGAACGCAGATCACAATTGAAGACGAGAATGAACTGGCAGAAAGAGAGGTTTTCCCAAACACAATTAACGAGCGAATCCTTCGACAATGACAACAAACTTACCTTGAAAAGCTTCTTTGCCTTTTGCAGTGTTTTTCACAAGGACAAACGGAGGAAAGATGGAAAAGACTTCTAGACAGACACAGTGTCCGGTTTCCAAAATACTCCAGCGTTACATTAAAGAGCTAAAACTTACAGTGCTCTTAGTTTTGACCGAATAAACTTTTTTAACACGGCGAATTTGTTTTTACTTTCTCGGAAAGCCTTTGTTATGTGCTATTGTTTTCGTGCGCCAATAAAAACTTTCTTTTTCGACACCTGTCAAATGACTGTCAAATCGTGCGTCCTGAACTTGTTTCCGGTCCCCCAAACAGGAAGAAGCCATATAATAAACATAGCCTCGTTTTTTCGGTCCGTACTGTAAATTACGGATCCTCGTTTTTTTCCATCGATTTATGGCCCAAGCGCAAACCATAAATCGATGGAAAAAAACTCGGTCCGTAATTTACAGTACAGACCGAAAACTCGGCTAATAAGAGGTATAGAACCAAGAGCCTTAATGGAATGTCCCATTATGGCTCTTGTTATAACTTGATAACGCCAAACGAAATTGTCGGCCTTTATAACCCTGATTACCTACTAAACGACCCGCGGCTATTTTTGTCCGGCCCCTGTTGTTCAAAAGTTGGATAGCGCTATCCACTGTATAAATCACAGGGGCACCCATCGAGAATATAGTTCAAAACCAGTTAAACATAGCATTGTTGAACGTATTTTAGTATTTAATCGGTAGATATAGGCATATTTTTATCCCCTAAAAATTTTTCATCTGTTCGGATTTCCTAGCTGAAGGTCTAGTGATCCGAAAATTATAGGGATCAAAACTTACTTTTTCGAAAATTTCAGCCAGAAAAAAGGCTGCCGAAAATGATAGATGACCTTTTTAGTGTAAAAATTCGTTAAAATGGGCAATTATACCATTTTTGAGATGTTCGAAAATCCTAGGAGAGGCATGCAAGCAAGAAATTTTACACAAATGTTCCGAAAATTCTAGATCACAAATCGTCTTCCGAACAGATATTTTCCGAAAATTGACGTTGAGTGCCCCTGAAATCACTATGCAGTGGATAACGGTATGCGCTATTCACTTGATAGAAATTTATCCAGTGGATAGTGTTATCCATCTTTTGAACAACAGGGGCCTGGTTTGGGCGATCCCGCACCTATTTGAAAGATTGTTTTTGATTAGCTGGGAAAACAATAGGGATTGTCACATAACAATGCCCCTATCCCTAAAAACAATGGAAGTGCAGATTAAAGGGGATCAGTGAAATAAGAGGTTTAGAACGGTGCAGGTCTACTGCCTGGTTTGTACCTAGTACTAGGATATTCCTAGCGAAAGCAGTTACATTGTGCTAGGATCTTCCTAGTACTAGGATCTTACTTCCTCTCAGCAAGAGGGATCCTAGCACTAGGACATTCCTAGTGCTGGGACAAATGCAGACCTTTGTATGTAAACTGAATAAGGATGATCCACCTCTAGGATCTTCCTCCCTCCATGTAAATAGCCACCTTAGCCTGTTCCAGGAGAATGGGGCGAAATGGAGAGCGGACGACAGAGAAAGAGGGACTACCCCACAACCCCTCGCTGCGTTCCGCTGCTCACTTTTGCGCCGTATTATCTATGAACAGGCGCGTGTGAACGCAGAGGAAAAACTACCGCGGTAACAAGCTGGTGGATGACCGGATGTTTCGAGGATGTTGTGTACAGCGGGATGATTCCAAGTGGGAAACGAGTAAACTGCCGGCCTTGCTATCACGGCAAGCCAAAGACTGGGAGAAAAAGTTAAAGAAAAATCAAATGGTAAAGCGTATTTGGGAAACTCACAACATGACAGTTCTGTAGATGTCTGTGGGATACCGGCTCCCACTGTAGCAGACCAACTCGCGAGACAGCGTTGCGTGACGATCCATTTTGCGGCGCTAGGACCTGGGGCATGCGGAAGCTAGGGAAAGTCACGTGACCAGAAGGAGTTCCTGCCGCCATCTTGTATTTCCGTCAATTTTTGTGTGTTTTACGCAAAGAAGCTTGCCGAATTACGCTCTTACTTTCTTCTCCAACATGATTTTGCTAGAAATCAACAACAGAATTATAGAGGAAACGCTTAGAGCCAAGTTTTCGGCGTAAGTTTGCTGATTTTGCAAAATTTTGCTCACGTAGTGCGTGAATTCCTTTTCATTTTGGTAGGTGTGTGAGAAATTTTTGCTTCAGCATCGAATGTTTATTTTTTGTAGAGGCAAGTTTGAGTCTGTGGATATAACGGTAGCAGGTTCGTTGCCCTTATAGTTGACTTTGTTAAATCTAGCTGTGCTAGGCTGTCTAAACTTCAATGTGAACGTGTTCGTAATGAGAATTAAATACCCGGGTTAAATACTTGTTTAGTACACTTAAAATCCCTTTAATATTAAGCTTATGACTAGAGACTGGATCACTTTATGTTTCTGCTAGTTACAAGGTTCCTTGGTTTACATTAAACTACAGTACATTTATATAACTGTTTTCTGGTGCCCTAAAGTAAATACACGAAAAAACAGAATGATATATTTCTTAAAGTTAAATGAATAAAATGCCGCCAGGAAATAATTGGGCTATTGACCACTCCAGAAAATACCATCACAACCATTATGCTCTATGTTTGTCACCCCAAAATGTTACATAAGCATTGTCTTCAGTTTCTCTTGGGAGTTAAAATAGCCCCAAAAGAAACTGAAAACAATGCTCATGCAAAATTTTGGGGTGACAAACAAAGAACATTATGTTATGTTATGGTATTTTCTGGAGTGGTCAATTCCATTTAATATCCACAGTACAGTACAGAAGTTACTCATGGGAAAATCATTTTGAGGAAATTTCATAAACAGTGTAAATGGTCCCATAAAGGATTCATGCACAGGCTGAAAAGTCCAGTATACGCATTATGCTTTACTTGCAACATTAAATATAGTAATATTATTGTTTCGTTTAGCTTGTAATATTTACAGTGGGCTTTTTAGTCGGTGTATGTAATTATTACAGATAATACCTGCTCATATTAAGGTGACTCTCATAATAAACTGATGATGCTTTTTCTTTTAGATTTTGATGGTGTTCAGTTTCACCTGTCCAACCCTAATGGTGATAAATCAAAGTTGATGGTAAGATAACAATTTAACCCATTCACCCCCTGGAAATTTTGCTGAAAAATGCATTTTGAAGCTAGTCAAGCGGTTTTCTGGTCACTGTCATGCTATAAAGAGCTAAAACTTACCGTAAAGCCATTTACAGGTCGTACACTTCACAGCCTTCTGATCCAGATGGAAAATATTAGCTTGCAAAGTTCAGGCAGCGCAGAAATCAAAATCTCGAGTTTTGGGGTTTAAAAGTGACACAGCAGTCTTGACTTTCACCTTTAGCTTTCTCTCCTCCCCTCTCTTTTCGCTTTTCTCACCTCATTTTTTTTTCCTTTTGCTGGGCATTTAGTAGGCTTCATTTTGGAAGAAAGAGTTTTCAGAAAGCCTTTAGGATCTTAGGATTAGGTGAAAGGTAAGGTAGGCAGGAAGTGGAACAGGATTTTCATGGAAATTTTCAGGTCAATGTTACATGGTTTTTGCCTTTTTCTCCTGTGTCTTTGACTGAATCGTGCTCCTTCTTGTATGGTTGAAAGATCTCTTCACTCTGCTCAAGTATGTGGACAAAGATGTCCTTGACCATTAATAGACAAGTGGTAGAAGAGATGTTAATCTCAGGACAGGGGCGATCATGGGCGATTCAGGGGCAAATGGGTTAAGCTATTAAACCTTAGAACAACTGGCAGATCCGTTTATCAAAGATCTGCACTCAGTGATGCTACTGTCACTAACCTTGCCACACTACTGGCCCTGGTTGTTCAAACGTTGGATAGCGCTATCCACCGGATAAATCACTATCCAATGGATAAGGATTACGGAAATCAATTACGCTATTCGCTGGATAGTGATTTATCCGGTGGATAGCGCTATCCGACATTTGAACAACTGGGGCCTGTTTGAAAGGTGATTTGAAAGTAACAAGGTACTACAAAGTTTCTTCATGATTGCAATTTTTTACATAAAGTTTTTGTTGTTTTCTTAGCCAAAGTTTTACTTAGGGAGAGTTCCATTGGGATGATCTGGATTAGGATGATCACTCTGATCATAGCACACCAAAGGAATCAACAAATCCAGGATTCATTGGCTCATTTGACATACCATGATCCAAGTGATCTCGGATCCTCTGTAGCGTAATTTTAACGTGCTTATGTACATAAATTTTACCACATAAATGAAATAGAGGCAATGTATGGACAATCATGTGTAAATGCAAAAGTTGAACCTCGCTCAACTTTTACGTTTACGCTTGGTCTGTCCTACATCACCTCTATTTTATTTACGCATGTAACATTTACGTCCGTACGCACGTGTAAATTACATGACAGTGGAAATCCACCCTAACGAACACACCCAAAGATAGCATCTTATTTCATGGCATTCACCTTATCAAAATTCCACCTAGACTAGGCAGCATGAATAAAAATTGTTTAACAAGTTCTATTTTCTCTTGCAGTTGAGCATTTCCATGAAATTCTTTGCTGATTTACAGAAGTATGGTGCTGATGAGGTTGGCATAAATTATTTCTTAAGCCACATAATTTTTCTATGTGATGTCAGACTGTGATTATCATGACTAGCAAATGAGTAACTCAGAGGATTTTAGTGCAGTGTAATTGGGGATAGAGGGTAGATGCTTGAGTCACTTAAACTTGATAGACTGTGGCATTTTAAATGAGCACATGCATGTCCAAAGCATGTACATGTTACAGGTCAAATTTGATTTCAGGTTTAATTTTAACCTACAGCTGTAGGTTGATTCTTAATTTCCTTCGTCTCCTGGGGCTCTGAAGGTGAAAGAAATTGAGAATCAAACTAGGTTAAATTACAATTAACCAGAAATCATATTTGACCTGTAACATAGATATAAGAAGCAATAAAAGTAATATATTTTTTTATGAGTGAACAATTGAAGAAGCAACAAGTCGTAGAATGAATTCAATCATGAAAGGACTTGTTGCAAGTTTTGATGTGGATCACAATCTTTATCAACTACATTTTGTTAATAATTCCCAAGCCTTAATGTATAACATAAAAATTAATAGTTATTATTATGTTGATTGCCATCAGTGTTTAAGAATTTTGTTGATTTTATTTGGGGAAGTGCTGATGTAATATTAATTTTTGCCTCTTTTGCTCTTTTTTTCTTCGTTGTAGCTTCTAAAAAAAGTGTATGGAAGCTTTATGACTACACCTGAAGAAGGTTATATCATATTTTGTTTTCTTCCAGTCAATATTTCTCTTGGGTGTTTCAGTTTTCAAATGTCATGGTATGTTTTTGAATGTCATTTTTTTGTTTTTCATGAATGTCTTGCAGGTTATGATGTTTCCTTGCTGATTGACTTAGAAAAGCTTCCCTCAGCTGAAAATGAAAAAGGTACTAATCTTTTTATTCTGACATGATTCAAGGCTATGATCTACAGAAAATTGAAGGGAGCCCATTGCTCTGAACCAGTAAAATGTAGGATGCCAAGAGTTGATTTGTATGAAAAAGGCTAAGATTTTCCTGTCACTTCAGAGCATACGTTGGGTGCCAGAAGCCACTGAGCCCTGCTAGAACGCAGACCTTTGGTTTGTCTTTAGTAATGATAAGTAACCAGCACTGCATCTCATGTTCTTAATAATTCGATTTTTACTTTTTTCCCAGAGGAACTTATTCAGAGATTTGCCTTATTCAAGCGAAACTGCTTTGCTTCTGTGTTTGAGAAGTACTTTGACTATCAACAAGCAGGATCTGGTGGGGAAACTCATGCAGTTATAAACTATAGGGATGATGAGTCTATGTAAGTAATATCTTTCATCAAGAAATTAAAATCTAAAAAAACTTTACAGAACATGTATCAGATGGTAACAGAACTATAGATTTTTGTATCAGCTTTGGCTTTGGAGAATGTTGGCTCAAATACTGAGTCAAAATCCGCCATTTTTTTTTTAAGACTTAAAAACTTTCAAAGCATGATTGAAAAAAAAGAACACTTTTCTAGCTCCTTTTTGGCTTAAAAATTTAATGTTGTGACAGAAATTGTCAGTTTTTATTTTCCTTCGGCACCCAAGATATCCCTAGGTGTGATATTTAATTATTTGTTTACACTTTATTGTGAAGATCTTACTTTTGTTTCAAATTTAAGTGATACTAAGTCACAGTGCACAATGTACATTGAACATGTGAAAATATTCTGTCCCTCTCAAAAATTCCTCTCACATGTAAATTGCTTAGTGTTCTAAGAGTTTTCAGAGAATATCAGAGTTTAAGAATTAAGAGGAAAGAGGGGTTGTAACTAGAAAAAGGTTTTAATCTATGAGCTGCTAAGACTTGTTTCATCCTGCATGACACTCAGTATGACACAAGTTTAATAAATTATTGCAGGTATGTACAAGCAAAGGATGACCGTGTTACAGTTATTTTTAGCACTGTATTTAAAGATGATGATGATGTGATTATTGGCAAAGTCTTCATGCAGGTAAGCCTACAGCTGCATACCTTTGAAACTCCAGATGACCATTGATAAGTAAATGATGCCTTTGAAGTAACATGAGTACAAAATTAACATTTTAGGTGTGGGTTCATTGTTTTAATGCACACTAATAGTTAATAAATAACAATTATTCCACGAGTGTGTGTTGGATATGAGATGGTAGATAGCCAACGAGGTGCATAGCACCAAGTTGGCTATAATCACCTCATATCCAACAACTTCAAGTAACAACAATAATATTATTGTGAAAGGTTTGAACCCAGGAGTCTTTTCAAAAGTAGGTTGAGTTTGATCGTCTGGGTGAGCATAGTCCTGAATAGGACTGTTGTTGTTGACAGTGACTGATGTTTCGACAACCTTTGCGGTAGTCATCTTCAGAGTCAAAGTGAGTTGTATCACGTCATTTGATGCCATTATACTCTGGTTGTTGATCTGATTGGTCAATTACGTCACAATGTTATCGGTCGTCTGTCAGTTAAGCCGTGATGTTATTGGTTATGAAGACTCATAATCAGTAATTGGTGCGTTTCGATCCATCTATTGTCACAGTTAAACAGTCGTCTGTTTTTAGTCAAATTGTCAGTTCTCCAGTCATTCTCTCGTAGTCAGTTTTGCTTGATCTCGTCAATAAGTCGTTTGTACGGTCCTGGTAATAATTATTGGCTACAATTCAGTGGCGTTTGTTGTAAGTTAGTAAAGTAGCTTTCTAAAGTGATGATGATATTAAAAATTGAATCATTGGATAATTAAATTCTAGAGCTCTGATTGGCTTAGCCATCATGGTATATGAGCCATTATACCATGCTCTCCAAATATGGTAACTGTACATGTCTGCTGAAAATTAAAAACAAGTTGAAAATCGGTTGTTTTTACGAATAAAGTCAGGAAGAATTCTCAATATTTTGTGGGCATTTATTCCACTCATGCTTGTTGGATATGAGATGGTTATAGCCAACTCATATCCAATGCGCACTCATCGCACAATTCTCGCTGAGCAAGTTTATAATTTTGTCGCGCGTTTCACGCAAGGATGGCAAGCAGAGTGCGATTTCGCTTTGGTCATAAATCTTTCTTTTTACGGTTTGGTATCCGCAGTTGCCTAGCAACAAGCCATAAACATATCCTAAAGATGCCATTCAACATGACATCATTGTACATTTTGGGTTTCCAGGTAACACGGCCACCAACTGGCTTATTTTATCCATCTCTGTTTACTGTTCGTTGGCGAATTGCCTGGCGAATTGCAAAGTATAAACTGTGATAAAAAGACACCAGCCCCGGGCTATCAGACAGCACTTTTGTTGAGCCCTGTTATTCTCGTGAGAAAGTGTCTGATTGGTATCAGAGCCTAGGAAATTTACTTAGTTTAAATTTAAATTCTGTCTTTGCTTGTTTCTGTTTTGCAATAATATTAGGAATTCAAAGAAGGTCGACGTGCCAGTCAGACAGCTCCGCAGGTTTTGTTCAGTCACAAGGAACCTCCCACTGAACTGCAAGGCACTCCTGCAAGAACAGGAGATAACATCGGATATATTACATTTGGTTAGCACAAACTATGGCTTTTCTTACACTTTACATTAAAAACTATTAGGCTGATTTAGCAACCGGACGGGAACCTCAGTTGATGACAGGAAAGTGCGCGGAGAGGACTAAACACAAGCTTTGAACAACCCAGCCCCGGATATTAATGATCCCTAGCAATCAGCTTACTCAATGCAACAGCCAGCCTTCTCTCCTTGATACTACTATGACGTTGTGTGTTAATATTTATTTTTCTTTTGTTGTTTTTTCCTCTTTTACAGTCCTGGAACCACGACACACCAAACCAGAAGCACGTGAGAGCACCATCAACTTGATTCACACCTTCAGAAATTACCTGCATTATCATATCAAATGTTCAAAGGTATATTATCTTTCTTTCTATATCGTTCTTTCAATTCAAATTTGTGATTCTTTCCACATCCAAATCTGTCCAAATTTCCTGTAGACTTGTTCAGTTGATGCAGAAACCAATGTACTTGTGCATGTATTTATCAGGAATTTTATTTGCTCAGGGGCCAGTTTCCCGAAGCTCCCAGTAACTTTTGGCTTACAAAATCAAATATTCAAATCAAAATCGTGAGAAAAATCATGCAGATCCTACATTCATGGGCAGAAGTCTTGGAACACTTTTGCATTTGTGGGGCCTTTTTCAAATTACACAAGTTCCAACCCCTCCCCCCACCCCACAAACTACGTTGGATACGTGTATCGAGAATGTTTCTACGTTAGATACAACCATCAAGAATTGGGTAGAGTGGGGGAAGGGAGAACTACAAGAAAATCTCAAAAAGGATGCACTGTTTAATGAGGGCACCCAAAATTAGGGATACTGTATAACTGTCCCAAGGACTTTTGTACGAGATTGTAGCTACATGTACATGTAACAAACCAGATAATTTTGTTTTCTAAATTGATAGTTTTATCATGTTATCTGTGAAACTATTGGTACCTCTATCTTGTAAGTAAACATCAACAGTTTTCCGAACCCAATCATTACTGTCCGGGACTTTTGACAAACGGGCTCCTGGAGACCTAACTGTGCAAACCATGAGACAGTCCCTCCATAAAGAACATTGCTGAACCAGCTTAAATGAATTTTGGTTCAAAAGCAATACATCTCTTTTTTTTTAATTCAATGTTTTAAGAAAAAAATTATTCTTGGAAAGGTTTACATTACGGGACTGAAAATGTTGAGTTTGTTAATTTGTGCGAGGGTTTTCAAGTTCTCAGAGAAAAAAAAATCTGATTACATTTATGTTAGTGTTGTTATGGCTTTTTCATGGCCTTTTGACCCTAACACATTAAAGTACTGTACAGCTCAAAAATAAGTTATTACCCTCTCTCGAGGTGGGAGTATCATCTCAAGAGATGAGCGTCTCAATTTAAATCCTTCTTTCAACCTTTTTTTTCATGTAGCTTGAAGTAGCTTTAAACAGGAGCGGGTCCAGGATTTTTCTTAGGAGGGGGGTGCACTTTTCTAAGCGATATTATTCATTGGATCAATATTGCAATTGCCTTCCTGTTTTGAAAAGAATTGCAAAAGTCTTATGTTCAAGTGCATGCGAAAGAGCATTGTTTTACCTATCAGCTGTACTGTTTTTCTGCCGTTTCCCTGGTGCTGTTGCTGGCGTCGTTTTAGCTGAAACTCTTTATACTACAAATGTTGTCTTCATTATTAGGCGTACCTTCACTCAAGGATGAGAGCACGAACCTCAGAATTTATTAAAGTTCTCAACAGAGCAAGACCAGAACCCAAAACAACAGAAAAGAAGACCATCACGTATGTAGTTTCTTCTTTTTTAAACGTACCATAACTGCCGTCCACTGGATTGAAAATTCTCTATTGAGAAAATATTTTTCAATCGAAAACAAGTGAAAATACATTCGTTAGAGTTTTGTTAGTTATGAGTATAAAGGGGCTAGGTCACGAGGGTACTGCTGTCATTGAAGTCATACCCTGCGAGCAGAAGTTTCTTTCTAGCATGCCGTTTATCATTTACGAAGTCGCTCGCGTCGTTGGTCAGTCGCGTAGTTTCTCTTGGGGGCTTAAACAAACCAACCATGCATCTTACAAGACACGCGAAAGACTTTTTCGTCGGGGTTTATAGCGCGGAGGGGGCGCTTGGGGAGGGAGGCAAGGAAAATAGAGGGATTTTCCTAGCATCACTGCAGCTTGCGTTCAAGGAGCGCGTTGTTCCAGCAACGCAGGCATTTGATTGGTCATTAGACAATAGATGTTAAATTGCGTTGACAACGGGTTTAGTTGAAAGTTGCCGACACTGACAAACCATCCCCCGCTAGATAGCGCCAGGCTAAACAACCAAGACGGCCGCCCTTACGCCTTTTCGACCTGGACGAACTTACGGAAAAATAGGGGACTGTGAACAGTATTAAAGACCTTTAGATTCTAAGACGAGAACGACTACGAGAACGAGATGTTCTCTGAGTATTGCTCACGCGTGAGCCAGCGTCATTTTGGTGGGGAAATGTGGTAGCCGTCGTCATTCTACCACGAGTTTTGGCAAGAATTTGGCAGTGGCGGAAACGAGTTATCAAATGTTTCAAGTTTTATCATTTTGCGAGCCTAAGAGGGCTTAACTTCTTTTAAAAAAGATAACAGTGCTAACTTTTCTGGTGACTCAAAAGGAGAATGAAGCTTTCCGTGGTATTTTTTGATAATACACGAAAAAACTTTAAGTCAAATATCGTACATGCAGTCGTTCTTGTCCTCGAATCTAAAGCTCTCTATTTTCAATTCTGAAGGACATTCGTGTGTCATTTAAGTTGTTAATTAGCAGCACACTTACTAATTTGTGTTGCTTTTTCGTTACAGAGGTAAGACGTTTGTGCGTCAATAAGGAAGGATGGAGTCCCCGGAGTATTGTTCAAACCTCTTTTTTTTTTACAATCAAAAAACAGACAGCTGTGGGACTGTTTTGAAAAGCAATGCGATGAAAGAAGAACGCCAAAAGTTACATTTTATATATTTTTGGTATCACAATTTGTAAATGAAGTTGAAAATTCTGTTCAAGGAATTCTTCTCTGTTAGAGTGTGGTCGTGTAGGCACGCCATTTGTAGATGTTGTGATTTACTGAATTAATAATAATAAACGTTTCAACGCCTATATGTCAGTGGCAGTCTTGTATATTCCTGTTAGTACAGTAAGACCTCATCCCCAGTGCACTCACGGCATTTTCCCGCGTGCTAGTGACGATATTTATCTCTCACATCCCCATAGCTTGCGTGGTATGCGTTCGGGTATCAGTTCGTTAATTCGTACGAGGGTCGATTCGTCCCATGTGTATTTGGCTTTTCTCGCGACATGAGATGAGCAATATTAAACATGAACTTTTACGAAAGAAGGGCTGGCACTTAAATAGAGCATTTTACAGTTGTGGGCGTAGTATCCTAGCTTTTGAGTGGACTTGAGGCTGACCTTGTTTTGATACAAACCTCTTTCCTTTTCTTATGGAAAATATGCTCAAAAATAAGAAGTTAGCGTAAGAAAACCTGATTTACATAATAAAGCAGGAAGGTTTGTATCAAAACAAGATCAACTCAAACTTTGTTTGCACCTGTAACTGTATAATGGGCTATTAGCGGTAGCCTGCGTAGCAGGCGCTTGGAAGTAGCGGGCGAAAGAGAGAACGGGCGCGCGCGAGGGAGACACGCGCGCCCGTTTTTTCTTGGACCCACTACTTCCAAGCGCCTGCTACGCAGGCTAATTAGCGGCAGCGGTATATATTTTGTAGAACGCCGAATGCAGAGTGTCGAATGACTCTGAAGTTTGGTGGGTCGAGTTAGGAAACTGAGTGGATCAAATTTCAGGTCAGTTTTCACAGTATAACGACCCTAAATGGAACCTGATTCACTCAATTTCCTAACCCTAAACACTAAACTTCAGAGTCGTTCGGCGTTCTGCAAATACCCCAGCCGTGAAGTTAGCATGGTAATAATTCTTGCCATCTCGATCGACTATCTCCGTAATTGAGGCGTAATAAATTCCAACCAATCGTGCTTTTTTTTTTACGCTTTTGAGCGGATCAAAGAGTGTCCTTGTAGGCCGGCGTTCCCTTTTTCTCCTTCCTCGCGCGTCCTCTCACTCGCCTTAATGTACACTTTCCATTCAAACGCCTGCCACGCAGTCACGATGAATCGTTTGTTCCTCGAACAGGGTCTGAGGGCAAGAGCGCCACGAGCAAGGGCCTCATTATTTGCAACTGAAAAATATACCTATACTTTCATGAACGGGTCAGGCTTAGACCTCGAGGTTATTTTTTTCAGGCTTTAGAGAGTTTAAGCTTCACGAATACAGCAAACGGCAGACATTAGATTCAAATTGAGAATTTCTCAAAAAAAGAAAATGAGAAGATAAAAACAGCTCAAACAATTCTTATGGATAAAAATTGGGCGAAACTACTAATTTATGTGTCGAAATAATTAACACTAAACGACAACAATGGGGAAACTTGGTCACGTGGTACAAATTCGTGTTTGCCGTTTGACGTAAACGTGATGCAACATCTCTTTTCCTACGATTGACTGACCTGCTTGGTCTGCCTCAGATTGGTAAGGATAGTTTTTTAAAAAATCGTTCTTGAGTCGTTTCCACTTTTTGTCTTCAATGCAGACTCGCGCTATTTTTCATTCCCTTCCAATGAGTCCCCGCGCACCTCAACCTAACCCCAATCTTCTCTCACTCCAAAAACACATAAATAGCGACTAGGTGTAAGTCTCACTTCAATGGTATACTAAGTAAGATAACTAAAGATTTTACTTCGGCCTTCAAACGCAAAAGCTCTGGTTAAGTGAAACTAAGCTAAAGCGTTAAATTTGCAATTTTCGCAAGGCCATAGTGAAAATACTTTAACTCTTTAATTTTGCACAATTTTCATCTGTTTTAAATCCTGGATGTAAGCCTGTTTTTCTGGACCTTCCAATCTACAAAATCTGAGAAATAAATTCCTGACTTTTGACTAATCCTTGCCGAAAAATATGATTTCCCTTAACTATTCGCTGACCTAGAAAAAAAATCTATTTTTCCTTGCTTGGGCCCGTCGCTTTCAGTGTCGCTTGCCGCGGATGTGCGACTTTTCTTGTCTTGCCTTGCCTGGTCTCTAGGCCTCATTACTCGGCGCTGCCAGTGCGTTTCGGGTCACATGGTCCGAGCAAAGAAGTGTTTCCAGACCGCCCGTTCGCCTCGGAGACGTCACCGAAGTGAATTGACCGGGAAGGCCTAGGAAAACACCGTACAGAGACTAGGCAAGTTCTTGCCTAGCCCTGAAGTCCCTGTTCGGCTTGGCCAGGCCTATGGAGGAGACTAAAAGAAAGTCCGTGGACTTGCGATTTGAACAAAAAATTACAAATTCATTTTAAAACACATTTGTGGTGACAGGCAACTCTCAAGTTTTAATTTACCGTTATAATATATACCGAGTGTACCATCAAAATTGAATGGTAATTAAATCTTGAGAAATTGGACACGGGATGGTTGTCCTTTTTTTTCTTTGAACACTGTTCATATCCTACAAATTACATTATCCCGCAAAAATGTTATATAAACTACAATAAACCTCGCAAGGAGAAATACATTTCAAAAATCTATTCCATATACAACTTGCGTGCCCATATTTGGGCAAAAATCAGGGGAATTAAAATAAATATTAAAATAAGCTGGCAAGTTTTTATACTTGTACGTTTATCTTACGTGTGGACAGAAGGCTAAAACGGAGGAAAAAATGTCCATTTTCAAAATATCCGGATACGCGTGGACGGGGCCTCGTGAATTAAAGTCACATTTTTTAAAATGATCTAAAGAAGTGCAAATTAGGACTAGCTTCAGCCTCCTCATCAGGCGGTTCGTTTTTCGCTTGGTTTCGCATAGAGGCGAGCGCGAAACGCGAGTGACTGGTGACGAAGCGCAAAGGACATGCCAAAGGGTAAAGAAGGGAGGCGAAGCCTCCTTCCCGCCCTTCTTTGCGCGCACATTTTCATGGAGGGAGAGACGTCTGGGTACGAGACAGGACTAGCTCACTGTGACTACCACAAGCAAAATGTTTCAGTCGATAGCGACTTTCGCGCGGTTTAAAATACAATCTAAAAAATGTTGGGGCGTTCTAACTCTCTAACTAATAATTGTTTAGTATCATTAGCAAAACGTTTAAAAACTAGTCCTCTAATAGCCTGCGAGCAAGCTCTCCGGGACGCCCCGGAGAGCTTGCTCGCTCGCTAGTCCTCTGAATATAAAATACGGCAAACATTTAAAAGTCTTCCGGGTCTGGCGATTATCAGGACCTGAGAGAAACGATCCCTCGGTGAAGAAAGAAAAGGAGAAATAACATATTCCGGGCTAAAATGGGGTTAGGGTTTCAAGTAAAATGCTCATACCCACGCGGAATTGTCAACCAGATTAAATGCCACCTAGACACGTAAGGGCCCTACTTACGTGGTCGTCCCAGACCGCAAAGATTGGAAATGAAAGTCGATATCAAATCAAAAGAAAATATTACATACTTATTGTATCAAAAACAAGCGCTCGGATTCCCCAGGGAGGGTACCTTATGATTGTTTGGGTGCAGAGTGACCGCTGAGAAGAGGAAAATGGGAAATAGGCCCGCGAGAGAGTAAGGAAGACTTTTTTCTTTCCTCGCGCGCGCTATTTCTCTTCCCCCTCCCCTTTTGGTGTCCCTGATTAGTAGGCTGTATATAGCCAGCTAGAAGATTGACACAATAGTAAAATTGTTCATTCATTCATTCATTCATTCAATGGTCTGCCGCACAGGTCACAATAACCCTTAAATGTGACCTAAAAGAGGCAACTAATCGATCGATTAATCGACAGGAAAAGGTCGATCGACGAGAAAAGTGCTCGTAACTGCGTCACATTCTGGCATAACGTTGCTATATGCTGCTTGAAACTTGCTTTCCTTAGAACTTGCAAACTCCTCAATATTTAAAGTTTTCATTCCTTGTACTAAGAGCTCCTCTTATCATGGCTTCTTCCTCGTCATCTTCAAGATCCAGATCATCTTGTAATCTCGAAGCTGTTTGGTTGTCAGTAGTAGATCCTCCACAGAAAACTCGCAGTTTTTCCAAATGAAACAGATGACCGCGAATTTTATACGCGAACGAGGAATATAACAACCCACCGGTACCAACTGCACAAACGGACATGAGAGTTAAAAGCCCGAAGTGTTCCGGCTTGGGGAGAGCGATAACAAGACCAAACATGATCAAGCCTAGCATAGAGTTAAAAGACTTCTGCATACCAGCAACTATTCCTCTCTCTTGTTCAGGTACCGTTTCCTGGAAAAGCTGCGTGATAGCGAGATCTGACATCCATAAGCCAAGGCGGGACGTGACGATACCAGCTAAAAGCAGGGCGATAGAAACGTACGAGAACGCTTTGCTAAACGTGGGGGCTTCTGTCGCGTTTGAGCAACTTTGGGTAGGGGTTACAGTAGGGAAAATGGTTGAGGTTGATGACGTCTTGGAGGCATTTATGAAGACTGCAAATGAGGACTTGACAAGGGATGACGTCGGAGTTACAGTGGAGTTCACATACACCGTATGATAGCTTGGCATGGCACGCGAGCTTGATGGAAGTACAGAAGACATTGATGTATTTGCTAGCTCTTTGGTCATGACCATTCTTTGAAACGTCGGAGTTACCATAGGTGTGGGAAGATGAGCTTCGCCACACTGAGGCAGAGAGGAGCTTGACAAGGTCGCGGTACATTGGTGCGTGACAGTGTCTACCCTTAAACTCTGCGGCAATAGAAAAAATGGGGATCCAGGTGCGAAAACTGCCGCGACACACAAGAGAAGGCAGGAAAACTGCAGCGACATTGAGACTAAACCACACCGTACAACGCCAACGGCATTTCGCAGCATCGGAAAAACGAAGGTTGCGAAGACACCAAACAACGAACCAACACCTCGGACAATACTAAGAATGGACTCGCTCAGGCACTGTGTATATGCATAACCTGTAGTGATGGCTCCAAATGATATCACCGTAAAATACAACGAGGCAAGGGCCAAACCAGGACGGGATACTGGTTGCCTAAAATAAATATTCCAGCCGTTTTTGAAAGTTATAATTCTTTTCTTAAAACGCTTGAAGATCCCTGGTTTGCGTTGGACTGTTCGAACTCTGGTGTTAACAGAAGAGACCAATGCCTCTGTCCCATTTTGGCCCCTACCAGGGTCATCATTTTCTATCGACTCCTGGCTCCCTCTAGAGCCCTGTGGCTCCTCTTGGCTGAGGTCGACTGAGGAGCCTTCTTCCGTCTCATCTTTATGCCTTGTATCGAATACCTTTTGGGACAACGCAGACACGGACTGAAACACTTTCCATAAAAGGTAGTACTCCAGAAAGACCGAAACCACGTTCCAGCCCGCTAGAAGCACGACCCCAGCAACCTTGGAGATGTATGTCATTATCTGGCCAACAAGGATAGGTGCCAAGATTTTACAGCAAAGATCGATTCTTCGTAAAATGGAATTTGTCTCTAAAAGGAAGAGCATTTTAATTTGTTAAACATAAACTGTAGTAGCTCTTTAGAAGAAGCGTACTTAACTTCTGAGGTTGGTTACGGTCAAGTCGCCCAAAAGTCGAAGTAATAACACCCCAAATTTATGGTTAAGTCGGCCCTAAATGCTGAGTTATATCGCTCAACATTTTGTTAATGCTCAACATCCTAACATCCCATTACATTATATTCCACTTACTTCTCTATGAAATACACCTGATAAAACTTCGAGCGACATGACTCAGGAATTCGGGCGACATAACTAAAAATTTAAGGCCACATAACTCCGGTTTCGTGCGAGATGACTTTTCGCGCGAATTGACAGGTTACCGTTTCATTGGTCATTTGAATCAGTTGCAGATATTAAACAGTAGAATGCAAAAGTATAAAAAAAATTTGCAAGCATTACGCCTGATTTTCGGTGAATACCGCGGTAAATGACCTACTAAAAGCCCACTTCCAAATAAACACCCACTTTCAAATAAACGCCTCTCATCAAACAAACGCCCCCTCTACGCTGTTAAACTTGTATCAAACGCCCCCTTTTAATAAACGCCCCCTGTGTAATGAGGATTACTCCAAAATACTAGGAATTAGCTAAAAAGAGCAATTCATTCAGTTTCTTGTTTGATTAACTAGGGTTTGCGTATTTCATCTTCTTCAATGTCAAGTTCAAAGGAAGGATAGACTAACGATGACAACACAATAATCCGGAGCGAGGATTTTGACATCATTGTTGGGATTAGAAAAAGTAACATGGATTTCTAGATGGCCTAGACATTCAAAGGCAGTCACAGCCAAATTTTCTACTCAGTTTTGCAAGAAATATTTGGTAAGGACACCAAAGTGGAATTTACTATGGTATCAGCTCTTGGGGTAGGGTGGGAGAGGGAAAAAGAGGTTTCCTCCACACCCCCCCCCCCCCCACCCCCAAAGGTTAGAAATACTCTAGCCACCTACTTGCAAGGAGTGCTTTATCTGATCCAGCTATCACTACAACCCAGTCCTTCTCGACAGCGATTTTTGTACCAACACTGGACAAGTCAGCTATGGAACCAACGATGATGATCATAGCTTCAAGAAGAGTAACAAACGGATGCTGGATATGTTGCTCTAATTCCAACATTATGAGTAGCAAGACTCCACAGACAATCACAGCAAGATTTTGAATGACCAATGAGATCTGGGCAACTAAACCAAAATAGAAAATCATCTAAGTTCGGAAATGAAATAAAGAAAACTGACCTTTACATCTCACTTGGGGGGGTACTCCCTATAATGGCCTGAACGGATGGGCTCCACCCAAAAGGGGTATCTTTTTCAGGCCTCAGGTATATGAAAGAGTAGGGATTTCATTATTTGAAGTATATGATAGTCTAAAGGTCCAAAAGGGCTGACAGATGCATTTTGTTGCTGTTAATAAGTCGACAAATAGAACAATTTTCATTTAGCATAAAAAATGATTTCCAAGTTCGTTTCTTGTTTTGCATTCTCGGCCAATAGTTGGAAAAATAAAAACAAAGACTCTTCTATGTCTTGCCAGAGAAAACACTAAGATCGAAAAGGCACTGTTCACTTGCTTAGTCGGCAGCCCAGTTTCTTCTTGCCAAGTTGGTGTGTTCGCTAAACTAGTCAAAAGCTGTGCATGTTTGTTTCTCTTCTGTAAAACCAATCAAATTCTACAATCTTGTTCCTTTGATGTTTTTGTTTTCTTCATACATAATCATTTAAAGGGTTATGTGAGACAAAAATAGCTCTATTGCTAGTAAACATAACATTAAGAATTCAACAGGGGGAGTACCAGCTGGTAATCAATAGGTTGCCCAAAGTGTTGAAATGCTCAAAGCAGTTCCAGCTAGTCATGGTCAGAGTAGGGCTTGAAGCTAAGATCCCTTTGGTGATTGCCACTTCAGCACCCACCACTGTTCAGTGCATTATTATTTTGTCTTTGATATTCGAACTTTTTCTACGACTTACCTTCGTTTTTCAGATTTTCGATCATTGTTAAAAAAGAAAGGTCTCCTGAAAATTTCAATACAGAGACAAAAAATCTCCCCTAAAATTTTCTAATGAAAGTAAGACTACTCTATGTCCTTGAACTTTTGACCAGACCCACCAAGGTACCTAACAGTTTCAGATGAGACAAAAAAGTCGGTCACCGAAAAATTTCAAGATGACCAAAGTTCCCCTGAGACATCCAAATAGATAAAAAAAAATTTAGGGCACCTCATATTAACCAAACAAACTTCAAAAGCATAGAGAAAACCATCCAAGACACGTTTCACAAATCTGAGGATATTTGGTCATTGGATGCCCCTGTCAGTTATTACTCTGTCAGTTCCAAAGTAAGAGGTGCTTACCTTTCAGTCGTGGGTTTGCATCAACCCAGTCCCCTACCAAAGGACCAAATAAAATGATAGACAGGGTACTGATAAGTTGATAGATAGCTGTCAATCGTAAGGACCCTGGGGTGAGTTCAACCAGGTATAATCCAATGGCAAAATGCCACATGCGATCACCCTACAGTATCACACAATAATTTATTGATCAGTACATCAGCATGTCATCAAAACTTCATGTCTGTGAAATGCCGCCTTACGGCCACCTCGGTAATACGGTCACCTCATTGTTACGGCCACTTTTTCCTTACTGCGAGGCTAAACGACCATACATTTTCTTCTAAGAAAATCCCTCATTAATACATCACCAGTTAATACCGCCAATTCTTTTGGCCCATTAGTGATGTACTTATTGAGTTCCACTTTACTTCATACTTGAAATTCTTAACCACCATTAAGCAATTAAGTTAAGTTCTAGTCATAGTCAATCTTAATTTTATGACAATAGTCCAAGTTTTTTCAGAAATATTTAATTCTGCTAGTTAAAACTGGTACATAGTATTTTTAGGATATTACTTCTTCTCAAATTCCCTCCCCAAAAACTGTTGAGTGAAAAAAGGTGTAAGTGCATGGCATTGATCCATTTGGGGAGGGGGAGAGTGCTTCTTTACGCAATTGCATAAATTGTGTTCACTGCGATGATCATTTCTTCATCTTCATTTCATTTCTGCAGTTTATATATGATTTATTTCATATATCAGTAACACTCATTTCCTTCACAGGAATATATGAACCCACAATTGACCTGCTCCCACTGTCAGTGGCTTCATAGCTCAGTTGGTAGAGCATCGCACCGGTGATCGCGAAGTCTCAGGTTCAAACCCCGTTGAAGTCCTGAATTTTTTTCAGGCTTCTTTACACAACTGCATAAATTGCTTTCACTGTGACGATCATTTGTTCATCTTCAGTGCTAACTTTGTTATAAAAGGGCTTTTTCAGTATGTTTGTTAGCTGGATTTCTTGGCATTGATCATCATATAATAATAATATGAATGCAGAACTGTTGTTACCACCTTAACCTATCACCTCTGAGCCACTCATAACTGCCCATGCAGATACAGGAGCCTGTTTCTTGAAAGGCCTAGAAACTTTTCAAATATTCAGGCACAATTGACCAGAAAATTCCAATGAAAATCTTCATCTACTATCAACCTGCACTAAATTCCATCCAATACTGCGATCCTAAAAGTTTTCCCAAAACCGTCTCCCACTGAAATGAAGCCTATAGTAAATGAACAGTAAAAAAAAAAGCAAAAGAAGAAGAGAATTTTGCACATGCCCAAACTTCCAAAGCTGATATTTCGCGTCAGGAACAAAATTCTCCTGAATTATCAAGAGTGCTAATTGAGACAAAGACAGAAAAAATGATATTGCCACCATTTTGGAATCAATCAGTGTAAAATGCAGACTGTGGACTATTGTTTTCACCATGCAAATGAGTACATGACAAAAATAGTCCCATTGTTTTCTAACCATAAAAACAATAGTCCACAGTCAGTGCGCAGTCTGCATTTTACACTGCCCCTTTTGGAATTTAAGGTGCAAGTTTATGTAAATGCAGCGTTATAGGAAAAGGAGGGGGCGTAAGGGTTTGCGGTGATGCGGTTTTGCGTTATTTTTGGTGCGGTTTGGCGGTAATTTTTATTTTAACTCGCGGTATTGCGGTTTTAAAACACTAAGCGGTTTGCGGTTATTACAACCTTTAGGTCGCGGTTTTCGGTGAAAAAAAAGTGTCTGTGGTGATAACACTCTTTAGAACGCAGAGATGCCAACCTCTAAAGATTTAAAATCTGGAGACTCTCTGCTTTTCACTAGCCCCCTACCCCGGAAATTTAGGACATTATATCAAGTCTTACATGAAGTAGATACTATCCAAATTCGCGATCATCGTTTTGATGCCAGAAATAATCTTTGTCAGTGACTAAATAGGCGTAAAATGCCTCAGAAACCGTACTACAGTTACGAATAAGAAAAATTCAAGTTTTGAGCTAAAAATGGGCTAAATTTCAAACTAAGGCACAGAAAAGCTCAACAGATGATTTTATCCAGGAGATAAAGCGACCCGTACGGGAGACCGGGAGATTGGTGTCGTATCCGGGAGACTCCCGGAAAAAACGGGAGGGTTGGCATGTATGAGAACGGTCGGCATCCGGTTGTTTTGCAAGCGCGAGCCAAGTGTTTTGTGTTACAACGCATCAGGGTTCATTATACAATTTAACTCTGTGGTTTGCAGTTACGGCCTTTTCCAGTTAATAGGTAATGTGATTAACCGTTTTGGCCAATGATGCGTCGACTTCGTGAAATTACATGCCGGATGTTAGCTCGTACAGCCGTACAGCCTCGTGTTCTCGTTGCTTTGATTCAATGCGCGACAATGGCAACTGAGGTCGTCGAGGTCGCAACTGAAAGCGAAGAGGACGTAATAATTTATTGCGAGGCAATCTTCTATGAAGAAGGAAAGAAAGGGGAGAATTTCAGAAGAGCTGTACGTTTTAACAATCGTCTTCTCCACTGAACGTGAACTCTTTACGAGACAAGAAGGTCACAATTCCAGAAGAAACATTTGTTCCGCGTTCAACAACTAGCACAGGGTCGTCCAAAGTAATCAGTCACCCAATGTAAGACGTACAGGATCAGTGACAGAGTTTTTCAAAGTCAAGGGAGATATCAATACTCGTTCAAGTACATGACCAGCATACTTGGCATTTGATAATAGTATAGTGTAGTACAATATATAGTTAGCGTTATGATGTTATGTTTAATACTAACGCACAATGTTATCAGAATATATCACAAGTCTTGCTAACGTCAGTTTTCATATTGTGGCCTACATGTACGCGCGGTTTCGGTATTCGGGAAAAAATCCGATGCGGTTTGCGGTTTTTGGCGTATTTCTGTGCGGTTTTGCGGTTTTCGGACCCCCCTTACGCCCCCCTCGAAAAGAGAATCAGGAAATCAAAAACAAATCAGCGAATTACTTACCCACGCAGAGAATGCATGGCTGATACAAACAAGGTTCTGAGGCGAAATCTTACAGCATCTGCTCTCTGCACACAATGAAAATACCGAAAAAAGCACGCATTACGTAATTAACTTAAACTCGTTGTCAGCAGGACCAAAAACATTAATTAAATTGATCGGCTGCGATAATAACTGAGTAGAACACTATACATAAAAGTCACTAGGGATTCTGTGAAATCAGAGAAGCTTTCAGAGAAGCTTAAGCGCCCAATAAAGTAGTTAACTATATAACACGCAGCTCAATGTTCAATATTAAGCATAAATCTTGACCAGCATTAAACTTTAACATCGCATGGATGTTGCAAGGAAACACTGGTTGCAATGAAAGTGTCTCACCAGACTGACGTCGAAGGTTCGTTTGCCTGTCCTCGATCGAGGATTCTCCGTCTTCTATTAACAACTCGTCGCTTCTACCGCCTTGCATGTTTCATCTGGTTTACGGAATCTTCCCAAAATAACCCACAACAGAAGGTGTTTTGCTGAAAGAACATTCATATGAGCATCACGCGAGGAGGGTGAAGAAGTGGGTCTGGTCAGCAGCTATACATTTCTTGGTATATACGTTGTGTATGACGGAAGGAGAACAACCACAGGACAGCCAGGCAGGACAGCCAAATAGCTGACTGATCACTGACATTCCAGCATTTTTTTTTTTTTTTTTTTGGCTTTTTTCACTTTTATAACATTAAGTTCATTGGTTTGTACAAAGAATTGTTAAGAATCAAGCTGTTTTTGACAAAAACAAAAAAAAGAAAAACCGTATGTTATAAGTTGTAATAATTTTCTGCAGTACAATTTTTAGGTAACCCAGGCCACAGGTAACGCAGGCTTCGAAAGCATGGCTGTAGAATCCTCTTCCATGTTTCTATGGAGTAAATTCATACTCCTAAAATTTGTAGGAAATGCCAAATACAAGTAAAAGAAACTTACCCTGTGGGTAGTTGTTCTTTTAATGGTCACACGACGTTTCGTTTATAACATAGTGATAAATCTGAATTTCTCCCTCAATACAATAAAATACAATTTTTGTAGATTTTATTAGATGGAAGGAAGTGCAGGAGTGTAGTGAAACAACACTTTCACTGGAATTATTGGGACACCTTTTCATGCAGTGTTTGATTGAATCTTGGTCGTAGTTTTGGGTAAAGTTTGATGACTCGTCCCTAGGGCTTTCCACAAGTTGCTAGGCAACTTTTTGGCAACTTCTCGTATATTTCGAGCAAATCTTTTCTTTTAGAGCAACTTTTTTCATTCTGAGCAATTTCTCTAGTTATCTCCTAATTCTGAGGTATCGGAGTAGCTTTTATGTTTTAGTAGACAATTCATGAATTTCCTGTACAAAAAAAAGCCAAATCCTCCCCCCTGGGGCAGATCATTGGCGCGAGATAAAAGTAGCCGGGCTGTTAGGTAGGGGGGTTAGAGAAAATTCAAAATGGTGGACGAAGATTCACACTCTACTGACTTGAGTGTCTCGGGTGAAGAAGGTCATTCAACAATTTTATTGGCTCATTACGTTTTTTGGTTTTAGTTGAGGACAAAGTTTTTTTAGCAACGCTGGTTACGCCGCATAATTTCACAAAAATGCTTAGAAATCTTACTTTTGTAGTACAATTTGCATCTTTTAGCATCAGACCCAAAAACGTTTTTGCTTTTTGGAGCATCTTCTGAGCAACTTTCGTTAGAAAAAGCAACTTTTGATTGTTTTTTGTGCAACTTTTGAGCAATTTTTTGAGAAAATACGGGAATCTTTTTGGAAAATCTCGAGCAACTTCCGGAAAGCCCTATTCATCCCAGTTGTTTATCATTTGTAAGCGGTCACGGAACGGTCGCAACGGACTAGGACGACATCTTGTGCAAAGGGGATGATGGGAAGGTGAGGGATCAGGAAGAGAGTCTCCGATCTTTCCCGTCATCCCTCGCGCCTCACTTGACGGGGCTTCTCTCGTTAATATTGGAGAGCTTTATCTTAAAAGATACACTGTTTCCGTCTACGGGTACGGATAAACTATCCGTACGCGTAGTCCTAAATACGGGTAAATAGCCCCTTACCCCAGAGTAACAGTTAGGCTACCCGGTAGAAGGTTGATGCCATTATCACTTCTGGGAAATTGTGGTCACCTTTTGTAAAGCTAATCGGCAAACATGTTCCAGTTTACCCGTATCCGTAGAGAGAAACGGTGCATCTTAAGCGAGGTCACTATTATAGCCGGGAACTGAGAAACGATTGGGGACCAGTCCGAGCCGGAGGTATGTATAGTTACAAAGATCTTTACCCCTTGCACAAGTAAGACGTCAAAGTTGAGACTGATGTCATCACAAGCGGTACAAGAGACGTGGATCCACAGGGGTGGGGTGCCATGGGCTGTTCATGATGGGTGGGGAATGGATTAAAGCCCGATTAAGGTGGCTGAAAGTCAGTTCATGCAATTATATCGTAGATGTCAATAATCATCACAGTTAAACAAGGTGTCAAGACAAATTACTTCATAATGAGCTAGAACCACAGACACTGATACATGTAAGACGCCCCTCCCAATTTCTACCACCTGACAAGTCCTAGGTCTAGACTGAGAATACGATGAGAAAGTTCATAAATTAATTTATTTCTGTCATCCTTCTGATTTAATCTTAAATAAGACTATATGTTCACTAATACAAAGTGGAACTCCTTGGACAGTTGCATGTTATGCAAAAGGACAAAAATAATAATTTCAGATATTTGGGGGGGCTAGAACAACCCATCAAGTACAACTGTTCGGCCCAATTCAGCTGAAGTTAAACACTCATGGAATATCATAAAGCAAATATCAAAATTTCTCAAATACATTACTTTGATAATGTTTCATCTGCCTATCAACCAACTAGGAATGGGTAGTTCTAAACGCTTTGGGGCCTTTTCACTTTATTCAAAGGCTTCACTGCAGTACCCGTTATTACGAACTTTAACTCCTGGTTATCTTTGGCTATTCTATTCGTACTATTGAACAAATGCCCAGAGCAGGAATTAGAGACTTCTGATGGTTCCTGTTTGTCAAAGACTGTTAAAAGAGTATTTATTACACTAGCTACCAGACACAGACCACACAGAGCGGGAAAAGTGGCAAAAATATGGAAAACAGCTGCCGTAACACCGGCATCTTCTCTGGAAACAACACTTTCAAAAGGGATGTAATCTCCGAAGCCAACAGTAGTGAAAGTTATAAACCACGTGTAAAAAGAGTCGACGAAGGTCCATTTTTCCCAATTGACTTGAACAGCAGAACTTAATGAAAGAAAGATCACCGTCAAAGCTAACGTCAAAAAGGCACATTTGAACTCCAAGTGACTCACACTCGGGACTTTGAAAGCTCTTATCTCGAAGTTGATTATAGCTCTCTTTAAAAGCTCGGAGATCAAAACGCCAGCAGATTTTAGGGTCAGCAAACATAAAGGAATGCCAAACAAAGAGAAAGCAATGCAGAATAACTTCCCATATGCAGTGACTGGAGTTAAATGTCCGTAGCCTAGGAGAAGAGAAAAGTAAACAAGTGAACGTTAAGATTGAGTTGTTTTCCGCTGGAAAAAAAGATATTCTTTTAGTTCAGGACTATGTCGACCATTGTATCGTATGCCACCGAACTAAATTATCAATTTATTAGGGAAAATTAAACATCGATTGACCATCTCCTTTGTGCCACAATGTTCTACAGTAAAAACTCGCGAGTAAGAACCCGTATTTTCTTAAGTAAACTGGTTTTTTCATAAATGGCAATAAGTACAAATTTAGGGTATTTAGGCTCTTAAAGAGGTTCTTACTTTCTGAAAAAAAAATAAATAGTAGCTAAGAGTCTTTAGTAGCATTTTGCTTATTCCCTTCCATAAAATCAGTATACCATGCATTTCATTAAATTTGGAGTGAGAAGGCACCTATGTCTTCAAAGAGGATCCTAAATGTTGACATTTTATTTGCCCAGGTGTACAGAATTCCATGTTCTATTTCAAATGGGATAAACAGGTTCTTGAATGAAGGGGAGCTGCCTATCTGAAATTTTTAAGCCTAACAGGTTCTTCTAAAAACCAGCTTCTTACTCGTGGTTTTTACTGTATGTGCTATACCATTCAATTTTCGTGATCCTAACAAGGATGGGTTAGGATGGACCCTACCCTGTCCAAATTGGCTTTGGCTTTAAACTCTACTGAATAGGCAGTAGACTAGCCTGAGAAAACAGCCGACATTCCGCGACATCACCACTGCTTTCCACCCGAAATGACGTCGAGAAACGAGCGCAGAAATTCCATGCTGATGACGCATTACTACCCAGATCTGGGTAATGCTTCTGATTGGTCGTGCCACGAAAAATTTGTTTCAACCAATCAGAAGCACTACCCAGAACTTGGTAGTGACACGTCAACAGAATGGAATTTCTGCGCTCGTTCTTCAGATGTCATTTCTTGGGGAAACCAGTGGTAGCGTCGTCAATGTCGGCTGTTTAATAGAAAAACTAACCAATAGTTGTCAAGGCCGAATATGTGAAATCCACAGCCCTGAAGTAAGTCCAGTCCAATGTTTTACCAGTGTTCACAGCTCTGTACGCAGCAGTTAAGAAAATCTCAAACTCTTCATCTGTCATGTTGCAACATTTGGTAAAGTTCTTTTTCAGCTGTTGTATCATCCTTTTTGATGTCTCTTTACAGCTTTCCTCTCGCCTTTCAATGAGGGTAAAAATGCCGGCGCCAGCAAAACCGTAAAACAGAAGTAAAAGCGTTCTTATGAGAAGTGTTTTTCCTGTTGACAGCATCATGCACATAATAACTTGTAGTTTTCCCCAACTTTAGCTTGTATCACTGACTTAGGCTTGCGAAAAACTAAAGATAAAAACAAAAACTTTTATAGTTTGCTAACATGAATATTTGTTTGTAGCAATTGAAATGGTAAACGCATATCTAAATGTTAGACTGCGACGACTTTGCTTTGGAGCAGTGTTCGGTGGAAAATTCGTGGTGCCCCAAATGCATTATGTATGCCACAATGTTCTTTAATTTGTTTAAATTGAAATTAGCCTGACTAGCCTCGTTCTTCAGTACAAAATTCGCGGAAAGAATACATAATCTCAAGCCAGGCTAGTCAGGTTTATTTTAATTTAAACAAAAGAATATTAATCCAGCAGCCATTTTTGCATTGGGTCTAATAATTACCAATTATCAAATGAGGCTGAGATCGAGGCTCCCACCTTCCAAATGTGGTGGGCGCCAGTTGGTTATGAAGAATATATTAGCCGGGGCGTGATTGGATCCAATCAGAAACGGCGAAATATTTTGATCAGTTGAATAAGAACTGTGGTGTTCTCTTTAGGGCCTCTTCATATTAGCCCGGTTAACCGGGCTGGCTCGGTTACTGGGATGAATTTCGCCTTGGGTTCATATGAGAAAGTTCAGCCCGGTTTCCGAGATGAGAAAAGGTCAAAGATCCTGGGGACGAGTTTTGGCGCCAAATTTGGGAAACAAAGCAAACATGGCGAAACACAATTTTTTTTACTTTCGGGCTTCGGTAACTCTTAAAGCTGTATCACTGCAGTTAAATGAGATGCTTATGATGTGTAAAATACAGCAGGCAATGCAAGACGATGCCATCCGGACCACGAGAATTCATCCCGCCGTTCATCCCGGTAACCAGGATGAAGTGTTCATATGGCAAAATTTCTAGCCCGCTTACCGAGATCTCGGTTGGAAAAACCGAGATCTCGGGAACAGAGCCAGCCCGCCCACTCATATGAACACATAGCAATTACGAAGGATTTAGAGGTAAGGCGAGATCTCGGAAATCGGGCTCATGTGAAGAGGCCCTTAGTAGACCTGGTTCAGTAGGATCTCCATAACCAAATAAGAAATTTTTGAAGGTACCGATCCTTACGGCAAGAAGAGTGAGAGAAAAAAAATGTAAGGAAAGAAAACGAAAATCAAATTGTGAATTATATTTCTCCGATATTTCGGTTTGCAACACGAAACGTGAACGGGGGCTACAAAAAGAAAACTGAAAAAATGTGCAACACCCCAGTGAAGCCTGAGAAAAGCTTCCCTTTCGTGAACAGTCTCTGTCATTTTAAGACGCTTTGAAATTTTTTTTTTACCTGTTATTGAGAGTGTTTATATTAAAAAGAACGTAGATCACAGCCCAGGATCGAACCCGGACCTCGAATCCGGAGCTTTCGTATCTTAATCTCTCTCCCTTACCACTACACTACCACAGCGACCCGCCAAAATTCCGAAAATTGTATAAGTACATAAACTACCAAACTGTCTTTCTTAACTTTTACATCAATAACAGGTGACACTAGCCCTTTCCACAACTTTAAACGTAAATTCGACTTGGGCTTCAACGTCGTTCTTAGTACTAAGACTATTCAAAACCGTATTATTTACTTCAAGGAATATATTACATCTATCTTGACTAAAGGCTTGGTGACCAATGGTGGCATCCACGTTTACGAAAGCGCGCGAAATAGTATAGGTGATGCCATCACAGCTGGTTTCTCCATTTCGAGGGGAAACCAGTGGTAGTGTCGCAGTCGAAATGTCGACTGTCGTCTCATACGTTCCAAATATGTTCCTCGGGAAGGTTTTCTTTCGCTTTATCTTTTCCATAATGGCAAACGACAAAAACGATAACTAATAATCCCTAATACAAAAGGAAAATAAGGTTCATTTTAACATGGCTCAAATATAAAAGTTTGGCTCCGCTCTTATTTGTTGAATTTAGTAGCGTATACAGTGATGCATTCTTTAACATGCGTCGACAAAAAATAATTGATTTAAGTTTCGATTCATATTCAAGATATTTTTTTCCCTGTTGTCATGGTCATCTAGTTTGGCCCCCATATCCAGCTTTTATGACACAGCTGATTTTCTGTCATCTTTTAAACTGAGCCCAGAGCTGCGATTAGAGTGAAAGCATCGAAGGACTTACTACTGAAGTAAAAGTAAACATGATAGGACAAAAGCAAACAAAATATCTCTGAGAAAGGCAAACTTAATTGAGGCAAATATAGTCATAAACCTTACCTACATTTTACTCACCTTCCAGGCTTTAAAGGCAAAATTATATTTGGGCTGCCACCTATTAAATCGCTCGATCAAATCACATTATAACTCGAGCGAAAAATAAAATAGAAAAAAGCGAAAAATAAAATAGAAAGGACAAACGCAACATAAGACTTGACGTCAAGATTCTCCGGTCCATAAACTATGCAAACAGTGGGCAAACTGGAAGTTATGAATATTTTATAATCGATCACTTACCATTAAAACTTTCAGTTTTGACAAAAAAATTAAAAAATTTCGCGACAAGAAAACACTACTGTAGGTAGGAAAACAGCAGCATCATTCACTTCTGAGCGCAAGCTTGCCAAAAACGCTAAATCTCATATAAGCTTATGTACGAGCGTCGGCTGATTGAAGCGAATGGCGGATCTAAAGGAGGGGCTTTGGAGCGGCGCTTCCACCTTGTTTTTAGGCTGAAGTCGAGTCTACAAAAGCGCACAGAAAAAGAAACGAAATATCCTGTCTCCTTGACCAAATAATCTGATTTTATGCCAAATTTAAAACAACGTTTTTCTTGCGAGAAAATAGCAGGAAGTCCTGAGCGGGCAGCCAATAACAATACCAGATTGGCTTCACCTTAAAAAATAAGCTCGCAGAGAATTTAACTTTTGTTCTCTTAATTTTGGTTCTGTTTGTCATTTTATTTTAACCTTCATGAGGTACTCCCCACCAAATTTCTTTGGTTCTCGCTCCTCTAATGTTGTCCGTGGAAAGATACCAACGCCAGACGAGATAAACAGGCTTAAACTCCCTAATAAATCGCACCTTTCGCAGCAGTGCCTCTGACAGCAGCGCCTACGCTTTGCCAAAGTAGTTTTGATACAACTTCAGACGGGCGGACGATTTACCTAACTGGAATCTAAGTATTCTCGATCCAGATTTATTGAAGTGTCAAAGGATGGTGTTGACGAGCTTATTGCTCAACAAGAAAACGAAAATACGAAGAAAAAGACGATGTATGACTTGACACTGTTCTATAATGTCTCTGCGAGGTTCGGAATGAAGAGAGAGAATTAGAGAAAATCCCACCGGCGGAGCTGAATGTATACCTAAATGAATTCATTATTACAGCTAGAGCGAAGAAAGGAGAAAAATATGAGCCATCTTCTCTCGGAGGAATCGTAAAAAGCGTTGACCGTTAACCTTACAAGGCGCGAATGGGAAAACTAAAGGCTATTCATTGATCCCCAGTTTACTAGATTGAGGGACGCATTGAAAGTAAAGGAAAAAGAACTGAAAAACTAAGGCCGAGGAAATAAGCCGAACGCAACTACTGCGGTCTCTCAGAAGAGGAAATTGATATTATCTTTGAAAAAAAAGGTCTTAGGAACAAGTTCTCCACAATCGCTACTGATTGTGTCAGGCTCAGAAAAGATACAATCTAAATACCTTAACACCTTATATCTATATTTTTCTCTAAGCACACTTATAGACTTAAAATACACGTCTTTTTTTTTTATTTTAAAATGCCACCTAGTCTAAATTGCCTGTGGGGGAAAATCTCTATTCCTCATAAGCTCTGCTTCTCGGAGATTTCCCCGCTACAGTCACTCCTTCCGAAATGTATGCTCATTTTAAATTTAATATTAATTAACTATTTATTATCTTTTCTATTCTACTTGTAATTTATTCTGTGTGGCAAAATAATGAAAATAAAATAAAATAATAAATAAACACTGTGTGGGTGTATTTTTACACTTCGGTCTCAGAGGTTGCACAGCCCTTTGAGGCGATGTTGTTTTGGAGACTGACTGTCAAGGCAAAGAATATCTTGTTCATTCAGAGAGACAAACTAACAGTAGACAGGGCGACAACTCACGGAATGTTAGGAGTATGAAACCGTGAATTTATATATGAAAACAAAGAAATTCAAGAGGAGCGCAATCCACCATGCCAGTGAATGTCTGTACAGAGAAAAACGCCAAAGGTTCATGTTGGCACCAGACGCTCCATTTTATCTGACGGTCAACCACTTCAAATCCTCTGTTCAGGGGCAGTGGTTTAAAGCACAAGCTAGAGGAGTAACAGTATCCTAAAAGACATGTGCGACGCAGGAGGAATTTCCCCCAAAAAACCACTCCGGGACTTCCGGAAGAAAAACACTCGGGCAAAAGTTAAGTATTTAAGTAAGTTTATTAAATCTCCAGCCAGTGGCTCTTCCGATTTAATTTACAATAATTAGAAATCGAATAAAAACTACTTATAAAAATCACAATAATATCATAATAAAAAAAACTAATTCAAATAAATAAATTAACCTATTCTGAAAATTCTAATCCTAAAAATTGCTACGAACTATTATATATTTCGCGCTTTACTGCGCGCTTGAAAACTGAGAGTGTTGCGCCATTTTTCGTTTCTTCACTTATAAGAGAATTCCAAGCACTGATTGCTCTGTAACTAAAGGACCTCTGTGCTGTGGCTGTCCTACAAAGGGGTACGACTAAATTGTCCCTAGATCTAGTATTGTAGCTGTGGATAGCTGATCTTTTGTTGACGTAACACTCTAAATATGGTGGTGCAAGGCCATTAACTATTTTGTATAGCAGGATAATGACGTTCCGCCAAATCAGGTAATACAGATAACCGGTCACAAAAACCTCCAGTCAATAAACAACTACAGCAGCGACAGATCGAAAACATTTCAAACATTCTGTCAAGCACGACGTGCCATTTCGGAGTGGTCGTGGCTAGATAGAATCCATCAGAAGGAGGTGGTCGAGGAGGACTAGAAACGAGAGTTGCTTCGGCAATCTTCGGCTCGTGAGATAAGATGGCTGAAGGCAAATGGAAATGTTTTCTCTTTTGATTATGTTATAAAAAAGGTAAACACTGCAGCTGTGCAACCATCGAGTTATGGATGCATTTGGAAGGTTTGCTAAGCACTCAAGAAGCTAGAGTTGCTCTCGGCTACGCCTCGAGCAACTTTTATTACGCTTCTATCGTGCTTAGCAGCCTCCTGCGTCCATCCATAACTCGATGGTTGCACCCTGCACGTTTAACTTTACGTTAACTTTTGTTTCTAATTTTTGCCATTACATATTATATAGTGCTTTATAGTTTTTTCCAGCTCCTTAGTTTTTAACATTGAACTTTTTCTTGATCTCATCATATATTTAATGGAACTTATAAAGGCCTATAAACGTACTATATGCAGCTGCTGGCAAATTCTAAAAGATTCGAGGTCGAAATGACAGAACCACTCTTTTTCACGGGCGAGCTGGATGTAAACTATGGAATAAACACCCGGAATCAATCCGAGCAAAAAATAAAACCCATTTCAAAAAAGGTCATCACGATCGGGTTCCACGGCTGCAGCTTTTAACTATGAAACGGGAACTTACATTATATATGTTAGTCCATACCATAATACCGGCATTATGGTAGATTTTTCATCTTTTTGATCTTGAAAAAAAACGACTTATGACTCATTGGTATTTCCCGCAACAACAATTTGCCATTTCGTTAACTTGTAGAATGACCGCCATCTTGCAAGCGGACCGCTCACATCAGCAGGGCTTCTGCAGGTATATGGCATAAAAATCGGGAAAAAACAAAGTTTCTGAACTCGGGCGGGGTCAATTGACAGATGTTTTTTATGTTTTTAGAAAAAGCAATGTTATTGTGTATGTTTGTCAGCCATGCTGTTTCTTATATTATTTTAATTAACATACTCTTTGTTTATTGACTAATAAAAGTCACATCAAAATAATTTGCTAAAAGCAGTGTGGAATATGACTGACAAGTACACTCCTTATCGCAATTTAATTAAACTAACTATTTTATGAAATATATTAGAAATAAGATTTGTTCATGATTCGGTCTCACTTGTTAGCGGTTTGTTGCAGATTTTCTCGATAAATATCGATTTCCAAGACCTCTGAACCTTGCTTGGATGGCGTAAATGGCTTCGAGCAAAGAAATAATTTATTCTTGGTAAGGATTTATTTTTCATACTGATCATGAACACTTCAGAAGATCGCATGGTCCAGCTGACACTGTCTCTCCAAATGAGAGAGCGCTGGTTGGTTGTTGTCGAATGCACAGCATATTTTTCAGTCGTTTTAACCGCCTTTATGGGAAATATACTATTTGCTTTAACCTTTTACAAAATACGAACGCTACGAACTCCTCAAAATTACTACTTAGTTTCGCTTGCGGTGACGGATATCCTCAATGCAGCTGCTTGTAGCATTGCTCTTGTCGCCCTCGCAGAGGAAACGTGGCCATACGGTTATTTTATTTGTCAACTGCAAGGAGTAATAATGTCGATTTGTGGAAGTGTTTCAACCCTTACACTTGGGATGATCGCCATCAATCGCTACACAAAGATATGTCGCTCTCGAAGCCTCTATCAGAAAATTTTCAGCAAAAGAAATGTTTTAACATTCATCGGGATTTCATGGATTGCCACGAGTACATTGGTGGTTAGTGCCTTTTTCGCCCGCAGAACAGTCTACTTTTACCACCCAGGAAAGTGCTGGTGCTTTTATAAACTTGATATGGATGAAAGCCTTGGACTCTACATTTACATTACGATTTGTTATTCTATGGTAGTTTCGTTTTCTTTTAGTGCGATCGTTTTCAGTTATTACAAAGTATTTAGAAAAATCCACGCGCATTATGTTCAGGTCGGCAATTCCTTTCTTCGCGATGAAAATTCGAGAGCGTTGGCTGAAGAACTAAAAATCACATTTATGTTACTGGTGACTGTTTTGGCCTTTTTTATTTGTTGGACTCCGTCAATTATCACTGATCTTTACGAAGTTTTTGGTGGTTATCACACACTTCCACGACAAGTCTATATGCTGAACGTTTTTACTTTTGTAGGCAGTAGTGCTGTGAATCCCGTGATTTATGGTTTAATGAAAAAAGAATTTAAAGAGGCTTATAAAACAGTACTAAAATGTCTATAAGAATGAAGCGATGGTTTGGTTTAAAACTCCTTGGTGCAGCAATTTAAATTGATTGTGAATCGAACTGAATGAAGTGTCATCAAGTTTAATTGCAGCTGGCCATTGTAGATTAGTTGAAGTTCTAGTCTGATAAAACAGACGACATTTTGCGAAGCTACAACTGATTTCCCCGCCAAATGACGTCTGAGAAACGAGCGCAGGAATTCCGTACTGATGGCGCGTCACTACCCAGATCTGGGTAGTGCTTCTGATTGGTTGAAGCATAGTTATTAGAGGAGACTGGTTATGAAAAGCGGCAAACATCAATGAAAAAACAACAGTGCTGCAGTTTATGTTCAAAGCACCGTGAAAGTGCACAATCCTTTGTTTTCTGTTGGCAAATTGTTACGGAATAAATTAATGCAACGTTTTTATTGGTCAATACAATCAAAATGATAGGAATTCTTTTGCACGTTGTGCACTTTCAGGTCCACAAAAACATATAACAAAGGAGTCTGGCGGGTTTCATAACCATTCCACTCAATTAACTATGGTTGAAGCAAAGCTCCCACGCGGCACGACCAATCAGAAACCTTACACCTTCTTTCGACAAATGGGACCCTTTTCACGGTAACTAGTTCAGAACATTGCGATATCAGGAGACGCTGTTTTCAGCCTGTGCTGGGGCTGGACGGTCTCCTGGCTGAGTATTAGGTTGGACAGATTAACAGGGACAATCAAGGATTGTTTTCTGTAAAGGTCTGTAAAATATCTGTTCGGAGGAGCAAATATAATTTTGCCCAGAATTTCCTATTATTTGAGGACGGCTTAAAATTTCTAGATGATCGTTTACAATTCTCGAAGGTTCTCTATTTAGATAGAATATTTTTCATATTATACTCCCCAGGTAAGGCTATTTTTCTTTGAAAAAGAAAACCTACAATTTTCGGATTAAAAAATGTGATGGAGAGAGGAATCAGAAAATAATTCTCACTTTGTAAAACGTTAAATTGCATCTAAAATTTTCGGGAAAAGTATATTGAAGCCCTTGTAATTTCGCAGACTCAAGTTCCCCGAGGATGACCGAACAGATACAAATTTTATAGCGCTGCTTAGAATGTATTTCTGGAGATCTGGATAGCATGAAAGAGCTTTCCATGCATCTAGGAGGAAACCGGCGTCGTTGGGTGTCCCTGAGAGTACAACCAAGAGAAACATCCTGTCATGGAGTTAAGCAAGTAACATCATGCAAATAAAGTCTCTTGTTTTTATTCTTGATCAGCCTTGATTTCACTGACGGGTCATGCTACAGGTAAATATAATGAGATCAGAAACTTTGAAACTTAAAACGGATATACTCGTTATCTCGCTGAGTTAGAATAGCAGTGTCACAAACTTTATCGAGTTCAAACTGTGCATACTGACACCAATTTGCGAGAAGTATAAAAAATAACCGCTCAAAACATTGAAAGAAAGTATAAAAGAACACAGCATATAAAATACAAAAGAAGGCACGTACGGATGGACGAATTGAAAACTTGCCAAGCTGTGATAACAGTTTTTCAAAGTTCATTTGTGTTGTTTGTAATTTTTGATATAAGGAGGAGGAATATTTGTTTCACATGAAGCTGTGATTGTGTGCAAGTTATGCAAGTTATTTATTCTCTAACCATAGTTATTAGAGGAGACTGGTTATGAAAAGCGGCAAACATCAATGATAAGAACAACAGTGCTGCAGTTTATGTTGGAAGTACCGTGAAAGTGTACAATCCTTTGTTTTCTGTTGGCAAATTGTTACGGAATAAATTAATGCAACGTTTTTATTGGTCAATACAATCAAAATGATAGGAATTCTTTTGAACGTTGTGCGCTTTCAGGTCCACAAAAACATATAACAAAGGAGTCTGACGGGTTTCATAACCATTCCACTCAATTAACTGTGCTCTAACAATCTACACACACACTTTTTTTTTTATCTACACACACTTTATTATTATTAACAATCTACATTTACATAAAGTCCATTTCCCCCCGCAAATAGCAAGTGCTAGTCGAGGCCAGCGGAGATAATATGCGTTGCAAATGCGATTGTAATAATAAAGCTGTTACACAGCCCCTATTTTTCAACATTCTGCAAACACAGAACATGCCCACAATGGCGACATCGATCCAAAACCAAGACATTGTTCACGAGTAATCAACAAAAATGAAAGTTCACTTTAAAAGGTTTATCAAGAAAAGCCGAGTGGGACATTATTTTCAAGCTTTGGCAGTGCTTGGATTCACCACTTGGTCTATCCTTTTCCTTTACACAATGCCTGTTTATTCCAATCGATATGCCATCAGTGCTTGGGTAAATCAGGTAAGCGTAAAACAGCCGGAAACGGTTGAGAACGCTACACGTTTTAATTCCCCACTCTTTGCAGCCGAGTCAGAGCGGAAATTGCAGAAAGAAACGGATGAAGTAATAGACAGAAAGCAACTTTCACCGACTGATATACAAAGCAGATCATTTAGGCACAAAACGACCCTCATAACAACGAAAGTTTGTTTGCAGCATTACTTTCTTCTTATCCTGGTCTCATCAGCCCCCGCTTATATTCAAAGAAGGAGTGACATACGCCAAACTTGGGGAACAGATACTTCAATTGAACCTCAATGGAAGACCGTTTTTCTCGTAGCTCAAACGCGAGTGCAGAGCGAGTCAAACGCATTGTTCAAAGAAGACGAACTCTTCGAAGATTTAATAAGAGCAGATTACTACGATCATTACTCTAATCAATCTCTGAAAATACGCATGGGATTTGAATGGGCTGCCAGATACTGCAAGTTCTCTTTTCTGTTGAAAATGGACGACGATACCTTCGCGAACGCGAAAGCACTTATTTCGTTTTTGAAATTGCCGAGTACGCCACGAGAAAAGCTGTACTTGGGGCGTGATGCAAATACCGCAGTGTTAAGAGGTGGCAAATTTGGGGTTTCCAAACAAGAGTACAGCGGAAACCGCTATCCACCGTTTTGTCCCGGTTTTGGAGTTGTATTCTCAAATGATGTCATTCTTTTGTTCGTAGATCTATTTGATGTAGTATCAAAATTCCGACTCGATGATGTTTACATGGGTATGCTCGCGGATAAAGCTGGCGTGAAACCCTCCCGCACCAGTAATTTTGAATTTTCGGTAAACCCACCGCCTGCATCTAAATGCAAGTGGCAGAAAAGCACTTTATTGCGTCACGGAATCACTGGAGACTGTCTTTTCCAACTTTTTAACGAAACCGTTCACCGCGTTATAAACGAGTGATTTTCAAGATGCAATGAACACGAAAGGCAAGAAAAATCGCACGAGCCTGAGGATATAATTTGTTTAATTTTGACTTTTTGCAGTCTGCCTTAATTTATACAACAGTGATCACCTGAGGTATCACGAAGAGATCTGTTTCCAAAAAGTATTTTGACTGCCATTATGAACAAGGGATTTATGAATCACGGCGGCATGTGTTGCCAATATATATCAGATTGGTTACTGATAGACGTGATAGTGTACTTGGCGTCCTTATTTCAGTAACAACTATAGCTAGGACAAAAGTTGCGTTAGAGAGTCTTTAGATTAGTTTAAGATATTTTAGACTTCTAGTATTGAATTTAAGTCATAGAAAACATTTTTCGTGTTTGTCAAGAATTCTCTATAGTTATAAAAACATCTCCTAGGGTTCATTCGTCGTATCATCAACATATTAAAAAAGACCAGTATGAGATACACAGACATTGAGATCTCCCTACCTGGCCCTTTTGCGCTCCCATGCCTCTGAAATCTGGAGCCCGAGGTCTATTGCTCATGATAAAACTAGCTGAGGGAGCTCAAAGACGTGCGACAAGGGCTCTCCTGTCCTCGTTCAGCTGGCGGCTGGCAGGCTGTAGTTAAGCAGTACAACGGGCGCCCCCGAACGAATAGATCTACTCTATCTAGTTTACAGTAGAGAAGTCAGAAACCTTGCTACATTTTACAAACTCCCAAGTGTGGTTACCTATTCTAAACTAAGGTCCTTTTCAAGTAAAGTTAAGTAATGAACTATGATGATGTAGCTCAATTAAAAATAAGGTAACCTTTGTGTGAATTCATAAGGAAGTCTCATTACTGAATTTGACTGAATCTAAATTTGAGATAAAGGGTTGTTTTAAGCCAACAATGTCGCTATGGTAACGATCAAAATCTTACGTTTTACCCGAACAAACGTTGCAATTTGTCTTATGAATATGTTATTTTGTTCGTGATAAATTTGAGCTTTTCACTTTCAGCAAGGAGTCTTAGAAAAATAAACACACTACAAATCCAAACTGCATTTAGACAGTATTTAGCTACTTTAACTACAAAGGGAAAAACCACGCGGTTCTTCACAAAACTTGTAGCGGTCGCTTATGGGAGCAGACCAAGAGTTTTTCATCATAAAGCTTCCGGTCACAGTTCAAATGGGGTGTCAAAAACGACATAAATTAATTTGTATAGCTTGTTGTATAAAGGGATTATTTCAGTGCTTCGTCACGAGATCTCGCGAGGATATTTACACGGTTTCTATACGGTCAACTCCAGAAGTCAGATACTGTCATTACTTTCGCGCAGTGTCTTTACTTATCACAAAATACTCCTGTGGAGTTATGACTTATCGAATAATTTTCATCAGGGAGCCGTCTAACTATGAATCTTTTGGGGATTCATTTTTTGCCGCTTTACAGCAGTTTCGAATGACACGCCACCCAGTGTAATGCAAAAAGGTTGATTTCGACCCTAACCCTTGCCGAATTTCTCTGGAATGGCGAAGGCTTTTGCGAAATCTGCAAGATGGAGGGCTGTATTGTTTGGACTTTTTATTGAACTCACAGAGAAACCCGAAACCCTAAAAGACCTAAAAAGTTTTTGATATCGTCAAGAGAGGATGTTAAAATAAATTAATATCGTGGAGGTTGCCGGCTGTTATCTGAAACAAAGGGTGAGCGGGAGCCGAGTTGTTAAATAAATGAAAGAGTTGATCCAACTTTTACAAGTTTCAATCCATGTCCATCCTTGCAATCCGTAGCAATAGAAGACGAAACAGTTTCAATGCTTAGACAAAGTGTGAAATACCAAAAATGGACTGATTTTTTTGGAATTCAACTGAAACGAAGTTTAATATTCTTTTAAAAACGTAGATTTTCGCGCCAGCCGAGACCAGCGGCGGCTTAGGAGTTCGCAATGATGACTGGGTAATTTGTTTAGACCCGTCGTTGTATTGTATCGGAATGAAAGATCGTGCGGCGTGAAAGAGTTCATGGTTTTTTGCTCTCCAAGAGAACTTACATTTGATCTTCTATTGTTTACTGTAAGGTATCCTTAATCGGAATATGAAGGGTTCATTTTTGGGCCAAATCTTGGACAAAGCCGGACGAGGGATTGTTTAGTAACGGGCGATTGCCCAACGATGAAATAATTGGAATTGAACTTTACCACTGTGTGTAGAAATTAGCTCCTCTTTAACAACACTTGAAACTTCCTGATTATAGTGGGGAAATTTTTTCCAAATCAAAAAGTCTTCCGTTGAAAATGGACAGAGTGTTGGAAGTTCGGCGCCCGCCTGAACAAAGCCAAGTGGCCCTGTCTCGAGCTTCGAAGATTTTCTTCGGATGCGACATTTTCCAAGGTAAGCTTGCTGTTTACATTTCATGATCGTTAAGGTTTGCTCAGCGACGGTAAATTGATAAAGTGAGAGTACATTTCTTGTTTTTGCGTTGAAGTGAGACTGTTCCGATTGCGATCTTGTGGCGTGGCGTAATTTGCAAATCAATGATACAACTTTTAATTTTAATATTAAACTCGTGCACTTCTCGGTAAATTTCAATTGGTTCTGTCTGCACTGATCTGATAAAAGCTTCCTTGCGTAAATCTCTTGACCAGTGTCTAAAGGTTTTCCGCCCAGGTCGTTTTTGAACAAAATCAGGTAATCGATTGATTTCGCTGCCCTTTAGTAAACAAAGGATACAACAAAAGCCGTGACTGAGAGCTTATTAAACGTCAATCTTGCTTAAAATTTGACCCCTAGCGACGAGTTTAGCTAAACATAACTCAAGACGTTATCAGATGCGATTAAAAACATTATACCTCGGAAAGTGACAATGTCAAAAGATGTGTTAACATGAAGGTTATTAGGAGATACAGTGTACGTGTATGGTTGACGACAGATAAAAGTTTTTTTTTTATGTATACATATTTTTTGAAATATTAAAACCGAATAGATTTCAACTATTGTTTAAGTATACTGTTTTACTTTTGCAATAATTTAAAACTGCCGTAAGAATTATAAGAAAAAAAATTAAAATAGTAGTGTTTCATGTCTTTGAAAATTTTATTCTCCATTTTATACCCTATTGTGATTCTAAATATAAAAGACGTCTGATTTTCATAATTTAAACAGCAGTTTTGAACAGCAGGTGATCAATTAGAAAAGGAACATTATGGCTATCTGTTTTAGGATATTCATTAAAGTTTTATTCTTCTAATTTTTGTTGTTTGGTTTTTTAAAATGATTGTCAAAAATCAAAGAGCAACTCTTGCAATTGCATTAAAATTCAAAAATAGTAATATTAAATATTCCCTTAAAGGATGCTGCAAGAATTGTTTTAAACAAATTTTTGTGACAGGTGAATAATGTTTTTATTTATAGAATTTTAAAATAGTTTTTTTTAGTCAAGAGAAGTGTTGGTTTTTTAAAATGGCACAACCATGGTAATGTCATAAATCTGAGTATTGTTATTTGGCAAATATATTTATTTTCAGGTAGCATGTGAAACAATATGCTACTTAAAATATTTTTAGAAGCTGTAAAAAAGGAATTTTCACAAAATCATTATTTTATTAGTAAGTAACCTTGTTGATTCCTGATGCATTCACATTTAGAAACAACAAGGTCAGCCTGTCATGTAAACTTCTTTGTATTTTACCGTTTTCAAGGATGATACATGTTGTTTGCCATAAAAAAAAATAATATTAAAAAAACAAAGAATAGAATCTAAGCAGGGAGGGGTGGGGGCTAACTTAGCATGTGAAGGTCACAGGATACCCCATACTGTTTCAAGGGAAGGCAGCCTGAATCAATGCAATAAAAAATATTACAAATAATCATAGACTTTTCCCACTGGTTTATCCACCAGAGTTGCACTGTTTAAATTACACAAACAATTACCAGGTACCAAAAATGGTAGACTTTAAAGGGCTTTTCTTTTAATAGGAAAATAAAATTTTCCTGCATACTTTCTCTCACAGCTAACCCAGGAAAACCATGAACACCAGAAATGTTTTGTGTTGCGAGAAAAAAGCCAGTCAGGCGTGACAAAACCACAAGCAAGAATGTTCATTAGTTTGTGGTTTTGTGGCTACCGGTAGTTCCCGTGTCCTGATCTTTGCTGTGATTAGTCGTAACACAATAAGCATTCCTGAAAGTGTTCACGTTTTTGCCAGTTTGACTGTAATAATTTTAATTTTTTGGTGATTATATTCCTTAGTGATTGCTGTTGTAGTGTTTCAAGGTTCCATGATTGCTCTTGGAGATTTCAGTGCATACAATAATACTCAGGTAAATCAGAAACATCTAATCAAATGTACATTTGTAGCAAAATGTAACAGACTTTATGATATGGCTACAGTAGTATGCATGCTCGTATTGCAGGCTGCTAAGCGGGCCTTATTAACTTATAATGATGTGGCATTCCAAGCTACATGTAGGTGTCCATGGCATATACAATATTATTTTGTATGGTCAATGTTATGGTCAAATTGACAGCTGTCAAAAAGGGTATCCACTGACCATTGTCACATGACTGTATCCTGGGCTCAAGTGTACAACTCTATCGCTTGGTCAATGCATCAAGGCCTCAGTCTGAGATTTCCCTGTGATGACCTCACTCTTACTTAATAAGTGGTGTATAACTTATGTTATGCTATGCTGTCATCATTTTTTTCCTGGGAAACAAAATGAGGAAAAATCAGGGCTGTGGTCTAACAGTGCCTAGTGGGCTTTCATAACTTGTTGAATTAGTTATGCCCCCAAGATCAACAAACACATTCTCTAGAATGATCCATTCATTTCCTCAAAGAATTAATTTGTTCCTTAGAGAACTAATTATTTTTGGTGATCATTTTGTTAATTCTAATAATTTATTCTCAGTTAGTTTTATTATTGTGAAGGTGAAAATACCACTTGCCAAACTGGACAAGTAATGTGCAATGATCCACTGGCCCAGACTTGATTATGTTTTTGAGTGGGTGAATGTTAATTTCAAACCTTGGCTGAATGTAATATGTTTTGTATGTATACAGCACCCTGGTATGGGACCAGGCCGCAGGATTTACATGGCAATGTACATGGGGGCTGTAGTATACACTTGTTTTCTCTGCTTGTTTGCTGTAAGTAGCAATATTTTTTTCACTGTTTAGTTACCTTCCCGTAGTCTTATGTTTTTTATTATCCACCCTTTATTATATGGCTACAACAGTATGCGTGCTCTGATTGGCTGTTTTCTTGTAATGACCTGGCGTAACTACATATAGCTAGGTGTCCAAGGCATATGCAATCTGTGTTTAACTTGATAGTGGACATCCTCATCGAAAAAGGTATCCTCTGACCGGTGTCACCTGACTGTATTGCAGGCTCAAGTGTACCACTAATAATATTGTGGTGACCTGTTTATTTAAAGTTATCCGCTGACCAGTTGTTGGCTTTTGATCACAGGCTCAGGTCCATAATGAAAAGACCATAATTATAATAAATAACTTATTGACCTCATCTGTTCAGTCATTACAGGGAAACCTCAGGCTGAGGTCTGAGATTTCCCTGTAATGACCAGCCTCACTCTCAGTTTATAATTAACAATTATTCTTTGAAATCGAGGTGAATAGTGGCCAAATATTTACCAAGCCGTGAAAGCGGTGAGGTAAATATTCCTAAAGCCACTATTCACTGAGACTGAAAAGAATAATTGTTTTAGTATATACACACGAAGTGATCTCAACAAAATCACAGAGGAAACCATTAAAAAGTACGATTTGATTGACAGATCAAATCACGTGTAAGTTTAAAAATAGATCTTTGCAGAATTTTCAAACATGGCAATTCACAAGTTTATCATTTCGCAAACAACAGCGTAATGGCTTAAATGGAACAGCTAAAAGTTTGAACTGTTTTCTTACCTGAGAAGAAAAGTAGAGCTTTGTTGTTTTGTGTTGACTCGCCAAGTTTATAGCCTAAAGGGTTTGTTGTGTCGTTCTTTGCATGAAGTGCTGACTAAAAGGCGGCTCGGTTGCTCGAGGTAAGACATTGTCTTCCTGTATCATTCTTTTTCCTGTTTACTTGGAACGTAGAATTTCTGCAAACATTTCCTTTTATATTTGTTTGTCATGAATAAACTTCGATTTTTGAGCCAAAATTTTCTTGTTAGAAAACGCTGAGTTCACGAAACGGCTTCTTCTACGCAAATACACGGGAGTTGTAAACAATCCATCGAGCACAAAACTCAGCTGCAGTAAATTGAAAAACGCCGTATTGAATCCTTCCAAGTCTTTTCTTACCTTAAAAAAAGTCAGCCCTAGGCTTTTATCGACTTTTAAAAGATCGTTCTCTAAAAAAATGGGAAAAACACTGAGCTCACCCATTATCCACTCGCTAGGAGGTGAATATTGTTGAATAGTCCGAGATAGCGAACCAATCAGATTGCTTAAATCACCAAGATCACTGAGTGTGTATATACCAATAAGTAGTATTTACTGCCTCATGCCAGTTTTTGTCTCTCATTTTACTTTGTACACTATTGAAACAAATTAGTGACTTTTACTGTTTTCACTTCTCAGGACATTCTTATTTTTATCATTTCAACTATATTTTTCACCTCAAAAATATTTACTTTAGAAAACTAGGAATGTTGGAATAACTACCTATTTGTGCTTTGTATTTTCTTTCCAGGTAAAGAAGCAGAACTTTATGGAAATTATCGCCTTCGACTTGCAGAACTTTGCATTTGTGACCTACAGCTTCATTCAACGTAAGTTGCAGTGTTATTGCTTCAGCAAATCTCAGTATGAAAATTCCAAAGGATAGCATCTACACACATTCCTCTATCCCCCCCCCAAAACATTTTTTTTTCGAAGTTAAGTCAAGTCAAACTTTATTTTGCCAGCAAGGCTACACTCTAAGAAGAATTGAAGGAAGTCATGTGCTCTGAGACTGTGAAATCCAGGGTGCCCAGCATTGTTTTCTTGGAAAAAACTGAGATTTTTTAGTTACCAGGGGCCACCGGGAACTACTAGAGCTCAGCTTTGGGCAGGGTAGCCATATCTGCCATTGGCTGGTATCAAAAAGAGCCCTGTGTAAGTTATGATTACAATCTCAATGATTGTTATAATGAAACCTCCACAAATGGCCACCTTGCCATGATGGCCACTTTTTTTGGCAGACAGACCATACTCCATATGTAAAACAGGACAAAATAAAATTCAGGTTAAATTTTTTTAACCTAGGTTGAAGCTTAATTTTCTTTGTCTTCAAGCCCTAATTCATAAAAAATTAGGGCTAGGAGACAAAGGAAATGGAGAATCAACCTAGGTTAAAAAATTTTATCCTGAATTTAATTTTGACCTGTAACACATACATTGACTCCTTTTTAAACTTTTCTACAACGGCCATTGTAGAGAGGTTCAACTGTATTTGAAAATGAAGAAGAACATAAGTTATGTAAGTCATGTCAATAATATTGTTACCACTCACATGTTAATTTTGCAATGTACATTTTGTATTGCAGTTTATCATGTTAAATTCAAGACGTACAATGGATTGAGAACAAGTGAAAATGATTCTCTGCCTAAGATTGTGATAGGCAATGTAAGTTAATATTGTTTTAAGAGATCCTTTTTAAGTAATTAATGCCGTGACGCTGGCCAGATTGATCAGGTAATTGTCTGGTTAGGTGTGATAAGGTTTTTGTGTATCACACACTTGATGGCTTTTATGTGATTTCAGTGGGATTATTTTTATTGCATTACAGGCAGCCACACTCTTGTTGCTAAATATTGTCTTCACGTATTTGTCTTACAAACTGTACATGGAATTTGGATGGAAGATATACAAAAGAGTGCGGTTCAACATCAAGCTTCGAGGTAAAACGCAGACTTTGTCGTAAATAAAACTACCAGTCTTTATTTATTTCAGATCTTAGGAAAGTCACCTCTGGGTTTCAAAGGATATAATGAAGATCTTTTGAAGACTTTCTAATAATTTAATAGGCAGTTAGTTTTTATGTTAACCTCAACCATCCACATTTTTGAATTTTAGGTGGATCTGGACTTCGTCTCAGTCCACAAAATCGTAATACGAACTTGGCCAGTGTATCCAGTTATCTTGACTGGACAAGCTTGGCCAATAAAGGACTTATTATATGGCCAAAAGAAAATGTTTTCTTGCGTGATCAAAGCGGGAAATCCCGATTGAACAAATTAGGGAGCTTTTTCAACGACGACGGCGACGGCAACGAGAGATTGGCAAAAAAAAAAACTTTGCACGTGATGTAGCACACTTTGTAATGTGAAATTCCCTGACAGAAAGTTTTATGGAGGACGTAACCACCCCATGACAAATTTTTCTTTCTCCTTCTCAACTTTGGGTTCGGTCCCAAAAAGTCAATTCCAGAAAACTTACATATATTTGACGTTTTAAGCGAGTTGAAATAATCTCGATAAAAAAAGTTTGAAAAACGCAAAGATTTTTTAAATGTGACGTTTTTCGCTGTGATTGCCTTTGACGTCGCTAAAGGTCCCTAACAGACCCTCAGAACATGCCGACTGAGAAGTCGCGTAACTTTCTGGAAAAAACAACACTCTACAAATTGTTTCATGACACCATTCATGACCATTCATGTTTTCAAATGATTAATCTTACTCAGTTTGGTAATTATTCCGGAAAACATTGTTTTATCATGACTTATCCTAGATTGAAATGGATGCACTTTTGTAAATGAGGAGCAAACATACCGAATAAAGTATTGACAAGTGCCCTTTCTTTGTATTTTACAGGAATTTATCAAATTTATGAATTGCTGTCGTGCCTTTTAAAGATCGAAATTCTTTATTGGGTTAGTATTACATGTACTTTATGTTTTAAAACTGTGGTTTGAGTATATCTCGAAGGTTACCGGCCTAATTAATGTGAGTTTTCAAATTCCATGCTTTCTCGAATAATTCTGTACTTACTAAAGGTATCTCTTAGATCTGAGTTGATCGCAATAAATGGAGTTTGAAACGAAACTCAACTGCTGTTTTTATCAAAAGTTATAAAATAGGGATGTGGCTTCCACATGCAATCTGATCTTTCGCGTTTTTCACGATTGCAAAATATCGCGAAAATAAAGATCCGTGATAATAAAACCTCGCGGAATTTAGGAACGCGAAATTAAATGCTCATATAGAAAATTCAAATTGTCACAAAAAAAATATTAACTTGAAATGGCAACATCATATACAGGATATGTATCGACAATATAACTTGTTAACTGGTTATACTAGTAAACTTCAGAGTGAAGTAAGGTTATTTGTAAAGCTTTCACACATTGCTTTTCCAGTTTAACTAGAAATTTGAAAACTTTTTCAAAAATAAAATGAAGTTGAGAATGCTTAAATCGCGAAATTTAATGCCCTTTTCTCATATTTGCGTATTGAAATCGCGAAAATAGAACCCTCCAAAATAGCCTCTCGCAAAAATCGGGCACGCGAGAGCGCGAGGAGCGCGCGCGAACGCCAGGAATTTAGGGTGTCCGTAACAGCAACGCTGTCCGTAACACTAGAGTCAATTTATAAAGGTTACTTTTTTTTAACAGGGAATGTATGCAGTTGTTCACAGCCTGGTTCTCTTACGAGATACACATAACGTCCTGTTTTTCCTAAGCTTATCATTCATTCCTCTTTCATTGATTTATGCTGGCCTTGGTTTTTATGCTGTAAGTATAATTTTATTTTACGTCTTGCATAAAAATACTTTCTTAAAGGGTGTTTTTTTTTTCAGCCTAGAATGAATGTTCTTAATTTTCTCTCTCATTTCCCTTAGGGGTTAGTCAGGCGAGCACTTTAATTTACGCGATGTCGGTGCGTGAAAATCGCCACCTGCAATAAAGGTCTCTTTACTGCGCCAACCTCGTTCCCAGGACGAGGTTGTTCCCTGATCGTGTCACCTTTCTCGCGAGGGTGATTTTCACGCGCGCTCACGTATTTTGCTCGCCCCAATACCCCTAATGAGGGACTATCGTGGTCCACAAAGCCTTTAGCTGGGTACACTTTGGGGGACTTCGAAAATGCTGGCAAGGGCCTCTACAAACTAGTAGCTGTTACGTAAATTTTTTTATTGCTCCAAATATTTGATCTGAGGCCTGTTTTGTTGTTTCAGACCCGCCGCGAGAACAGGTTTTTGATGATATTTTTTCTCAGCCTGACTATTGGTGGGATTGGATATTTCTTGTACAAACTTTATGGGTAAGTGTTTAAATTGTTTGCGAAATGTAGTCATACTTGCTCTTTGGAAAAGTTGCTCTCTCTACAAGCAATAAAAATCTTATTACCCCTGGTGAGCATAACGAGTTGTGTTAAAATATTGACTGCATCCTTTCTTCCTTGCTGTCGTCTTGTCGTCTTTGTTTCAATCACGTGGCACAATTTAAGCTTCAAAACTTGGTTAATCCCTGTACGTCTTCCCAGGCCTTCTTGGTCAAAGCATTTCGGTGACGTAGCCGCATGACCCGAAACGCATCGGCCGCGCGCAATAATGAGGCCTAAGGACTAGGCAACTTCAAAACGTCATATAAATTGAATTCATTTCAATACATTTTGAGGGGGCCTTATATCCGAGGATGGCTTATAATCGGATGTACTTTTTTTGTTTACAGGTAGATGTGCCTATAACTGGGGCGGGGGTGAGGAAGCTTATTTTGCGGCATTTGACTGTATTTCTACGAACTATTTAAATGTTGCAGGTTCGTTACACGCAAGTGCAGCGGATGTGCAGAGTTTGTGGAAAATGGTAAAGATATACCCAGCGAAGCTTTCATGCATTTTGTCTACTTAGGTAAGATCTTTCAGCCTGTGCTGATTTTGTATGTTGTTTTGATGTGTTAGCATACATAGAGTCGTCTATCCTGTTCCAGGCGTGTAGATTGTGGGAATGGCGCAAACAGAGGTGTGCAGGAAAAACAGCGACGGGGTAGGGTGGGGTGTCCTCGTGCGATACTCCGCTATCCTAACGCCTGGAGCAGGCTAGGAGCCGTGAAGCTCATCATTGCTTAGGTAATATTCAGTAGTTTGCCTTTGGAAAGATATCGTAAGTAGGTCTGCCTCATTTAAGCAATAGAAAACGTTTTCCGTGTTTGCATAGCCTTATATAAAAGCGAGAGGGTTTGGGAAAATTCTCTCAACCCCCGAGGGAATGGGTAAATAAAGTAAACTTGTCGAGTTTTCAACTCAAAATCTTTTTCAAATTCGTGCTTGAGTGATTAGCTCGCGAAAAACAAATCATTTTGACGTCACAACCATGTTTACATACTTTCATGCAAACACGCCTCCTGGCCGATCAGAGCGCGTACTATCTTAAATATTTTATAATTCTTTGTAGGAACCGTGAACTTGCTTGTACTCATAGCAATATTTGGTGTTGCACTGAAGACGTACCGTAACTTTGGTGGTGGATTAGCTCAACATTGTAAGTAATAACATAAAAAGAACATGATTAGTGCGGATATTACCCTGCATTGCAGGCGTATTTTTTGGCGAACGAAGTTTATGTTACTTTATTCGCAATCTTTGATTTTATCACTGAGGAAGACTGGAGAGAGTAGGAATAAATGAAAGTGAAGAATAATCATCGCAGTAAATTTTCCAATTTAAGCAATTGGAAAGAAGAAGCCTGAAAAAAATCAGGGCTTCCCGTTGAAGCCCTGACTTTTTTTTTCAGGCTTCTTCTTTCCAATTGCTTAAATTGGAAAATTTACTGCGATGATCATTCTTCACTTTCATCTACAAACGCAGTTCAAAAATGAATTATTTCATATATACTTCACAGAGTAGGAATAGTAACCCTTGTTTTGAGAGGATCGCCGCAACTCCTCGGCTCCTACGGTTACTCATCCGAAGAAAACGCTTGCGAAGCAGGCTCTGCGGAAATTGTCATACTTACAAAACGCTGTGCGCAGTGCTTGAGTTTTAGCGCAACTTTTCAAGTAAACGTAGTATGTTTCACGGCATAAACTACAAGGAGTCCCTTTATTTTATCAGAGCTCATCGAAATGGCGGAAGAGGAATAGCATTGTTAGGTGTAGGTGGTTAGCATGGGCTCGATTGCTATTCTGACCACTAGCTATGTCATTGTGTTTTAGTAGTCCAGTGTTCAACTCTTCGACCATGCTTACCTTCTGCCAGGTGTTAGTCTGTTTTTCACTCACACTGTTATGAGCTAAACCCGTTTGGTTCTTGTGTTTGTTTGGCCTTCTTCGGAGACCCAAAGCGGGCAGAGTTTACGAAGCCCAGGCCCCGGTTATTCAAACGTTGGATAACGCTATCTACCGGATATTTATTTATTTACTTAGGTTCGGCAATTCTAAGCAGGGACATTACGGCAGGCCCGTAAAAGTCCCCCCCCCCCCCCCCCCCAACGCCTTATAAGAGATAGACCACCACATCCGGGACTACGTCCCTTACTATTTACAAACCATGTGCGGGTTCTTCAATATCCCACAGAATTTATATGTGCAACGGTTGTGAGACGGGGCCACGGTTTATCGTCCTTATCCGAGAAGACTATAAAATATAACCGTTTGCAGATGTTTTTACAAAGGCAGCACTCCTCAGTTAATTAAAGACGCTGAGTGTTGGTCCGGCAGGGGTTTGAACAGACAGCAGCCTCCCGCTCGGTAGACCAGCGCTTATCCAGTTGTGCAGTGAATAGGTATTAGCGAAACTACTTGCGTAGTCCATTGGATAGAGTTATTCAAAGTTTCAACAACTGGGACGTGACTTTTTAAAATCCTTTGGTACTTTGTAGGCCAGACCAAAAGTTCCGGTTAGTATTAATATCAAATAGGTGGTCACATGAAATGTTAGCAAAATTCATGTTGTGCGTGTCGTGCGTGAGGCGATTGAATTTGTCTACCGCTATAACTCATTGTGTCTTAATTCTTTTTTATCTTTCTCGACAGTTAACCGTAAGAAGCCTCAGTTAAAACTATCCGCGCAATATGACTTAAACCTGGGACGAGGTAGTCATAATTACCCAGAGGAAAGTGTTATCTCTGTGACGTCATACGAGTTTGACGAGTTTGGCGAAAGCGTAAGACTGGACCGAGGCTTGCTACACCCTGGAATGGCCGCTTTACCAACACTTACGGAAGGCGGACAGAATCTTATAGACAAAAGAAGTTGCAGTCTGCCAAATTTGTTGCCTGAATTGCCAGCAAGGTCCTCACCGTTTTTAAGCAAGTCTGGTGAAAATGGGTCTGTTTTTTTACAAATACCAAAAGAGAAGTCTGCAGCCCGAGTAATTACCAGTATCTGTGAGGAGAAACCGGTGGAAAATAACGTGAAAGATACCCAGGAATGTATTAAAAATATAAAGTGTGATGAAGTGTGTGAACAAGACAGTGAAAACGGGGCTAAATCTCCTAGTAATGGACATGCTGTTGCACCTATTCGTAAGAACGGGTGCGTGAAAGGGAGAGCTCAGACGTATCGAGAAACGCATTTAGCGCCCGAGAAAAAACAAAACGGTCATTTGCTTGGAAAGACTCGTTTTAAGACATCTGAAACAAACGCTGAACAATGCCAGTTTGAGTTACAAGCTGTAAATAGAACGAATTGTCACTGCGGTAACGTTGACAATCAATTTTCAAAACAGAGTTCTACGCAAGAAGTTGTTGGTGAAAATCCATTACTTGACAGGAACCAAACGTACCTAAGAACTGCGGGAAATGGACGGTCTTCTAATTCTTGTAGCGATGGGGAAGTTCTCGTTTCTTAGCTTAATAGCATAGATTGGTGTTTTAATTATTTTTAAATTATTTTTTAAATTTTTATGACTTGAATGTTAACCGTAGAGTTTGGCCTGCTTATTTATATGATTCCGTTCATAACATTACGTTGTCGATCACCTACGTTCTTATAAATTTGGTGTAAAAATAACGCGGCTGAGTATATTTTAACTCACTAGCGACACAATTACAAATAAAAAGATTACAATGTGTACATTTTACTAAGCATTCTCATCTGGGACTTTTACAACTAGGAAAACCTCAGCCTGTCCCAGGCTCCATGCGAAAGTGTCTCGAGAGTAGTTGCTCGAAAACCACGTTGTAGGCAGGGGAGGGACGAGAAAGTGGACCTTGTAAGCATTGTTTTCAATAGCCAGGCTAGGAGTACAGGCCTATGACTAGACATGGGTTCCTGCAATACCTCATTCCCGTATACCAGCTCCTGGTGTACCTCGTGTACTGTAAATCTCCTATTAAGCCGCTCGTGGGGGCTTATTTATTTCAAACACATTTGAGGGGGGTTAATAGAGACGGGGGACTTATTTAATTTCGCAAAGATGATGGTATCAGTTATCCTTAAAGAACTAGAATGCAAAGTGGAAAAGCTCATTTCCAACACGGTTGGAGGTCACACTTCCAGCTGGTGAATAAACCATCCTGGATTGGCCCACATGAAGTTTTACGGTCATGATTGATTAATATAGTCTATTAATTAGGGCCGGGAGGGAGGGGAAGCTTACTAAATTTCTTTCTCTGAAAAAGAAGGGCTTAGTAGAGGATTAGGGAGAGTTTAATAGAGGATTTACGGTAATTTGTATGATTGGTCAATATTGGCAGCTTATGTCAATACTTACGTCACTTGGCTTCTCGCGCGGAGTCGGGAAATCACAAGCCTGTGAAAGCTGAAGTGATCCTCGCAGTTGAATAAACAATCTAAGTGGTTGAAAAAGAACCTGAAAAAAGGCTTGACTGGCAATCGAACTATGCGGTGACGGGACACAATGCTCCATCCACCAAGCTAATCAAGCCAACTGGAGAGCAGGACATTGTGAGAGAGCAGGGCGATTCCAGCAATCCCGATTCTCGGGGCCCGATTAAGCCAGAATTTTTTCAGGTTCTTTATCCCTAATCCCGGGCTAGATTTGATTTTGAGATAGCAAGTAAAAGGCTCCTCTTGCGCTTGCATGTTAGTCGTTACGCTGGACATGGCTAACGCGGATACTGCCCACGCAACAACTTCAAGTTGACTACCAGCCAAAGCTCGCCATTGGAAAATAGGTTTAAATAAAAAGTACTGGGGAAGAGGTTGGGAACTCGCCATCAGCCATCCGCCTGATAAACAAGAGAGATTTTGGATCACAATTTTCCAGTGACGGCAATTTGTACCACATCACAATAAAGTCTCCCTCTAATCCAGGTTAACTCTCGGCGTCATGATATCTGCACAACACTAAGTAGCTTCATACCTGCCGAGTTTGACAAGCGAGCGAGGAGCGAGGCAAGCGCGTAGAGCGGAGTGAGCGAAGGGCCCTCCTAGGACCCACGAACGTGCGGGAAACGGGGATGGCGGGACGCGCGAGTCTACATAATGCGGACTTGTATGCAAATGAGCGTAGTAACAAGCCCGAGGGACCTTCCTGAACACCTGAATCAACAAACAAGACAGCCAAACCAAAAGAGCAACGTATGTACTAGTAATGTATGAATTATTCAACACAAACGAACACCAATGGAGATTCGAGAATTTTTCCAAAGCCGCTGGCAAAGAACAATCGATGGTTAAATTAACCGGTCTGAGTTGGCGTGATTTATTTGAATGATGAAAGTCGCTTTCCTATATTTACGTTCTTGTTGGTCATCAACAATCTGTCATGTCGGCAGCAACTCATCGGAAATCTCATTCCTTCGAAGACGTAGATAGCCATCATGGTCGTTTGAACCCGTCCAGCGTGGCTGTTGAAGAAGGAGCTCGCTACACTAGTAGTTTCCGGCGAAAAATGAAATCTGTGCGGGGATTGAGATTTCGCCCTATAATCCCAGCAATTATTGGAGTGAGTCTTGGTTTCGCCTTGTCAATGTTCTATATTCCTGTTGTTGAACAACAATGTTTGTACGATTTAGAAGAATCACAAGTTATAATTTTAGGACATAAACAACCCGGCTTGTCTGATTCCAGAAAAGCAAGAAGCGAAGAAGTCAACTCAAAACCCGTCTTGCATAACACCGTTGCTCCGAAAGTGTCCCACTATGGTTACAGTTTACGTCCATTTTACGTTGCTAGTGAACTTGGTCATAGAGACAAATTGCTCGTTGGTATTTTAACAACGGAAGAGAAAATTGATTCATTAGTCTTAGCTATAAACAATACCTGGGCTCCGCTTTTGCCGAAAATTATCTTCTTCACTCCATTCTCGAGGGATGTCGATTTTTACGAGAAGTACAACAAGGTTTTGGGGCTTCCAATCGTTCAGTTATCTAATGTGGAAGATGAGAATTTTTCCAAGACAAAATTTTCTTTCAATATGTTAAAATATATGCACGATCATTACATTAACAATTACGAGTGGTTTATGAGGGTCGAGGATGCGATGTATCTCAAGGCGGAGAAACTACTGGAGTTGCTGAACAGCGTGAATAGTTCTAAAGATGTTTACATCGGAAGGCCGTGCTCTTACAAAGCTAATGGAATACAACTAAACGAAGATCTATATACCCATGAGAAATACTGCCTGGGAAACGCTGGAGTTGTGCTTTCAAGAAGCACCCTTATGAAGCTGGTACCGAACTTAGATACTTGTCAAGAAGACGCCTTGACTGAGCTTGAAGACGTGGAGTTGGGGCGATGTTTGTATAAGAACCTTGGGCTTCAGTGTACGTGGAGTTACGAGGTAAGATCATATTTTTAGGATTTTTATTCTAAAACTTTTCCAATAACATTTTAGCATTGTTATTTACAAATCACCCGCTGTGTCGATAAAAATTCATGTTTTCAACAATGTCAATTAGCGCACTAGGGCAGAAATAATTTAACTAACGTAAGATTAATTGAATTCAGTTTTTTGTATATGGCCTAATTCATTCCCTTACTCATTTTGTATTTTTTAATTTCTCGTTTGTGTCATAACTTGATTTACAATCAAAAGTTAACAGTTTACACAGGTGTAAGTCTGGTTGTTTGTTTATGTCCTTATAAAGTGAATTTAACATTTCTGTATTAAAAAAGCCAAAACAATGAAACAAAAAACATTCGTCACACTTTAGGATTGCAAATATTTCATTTCCTAGCAACAGTACAGGTATCCCCAGAAAAGCAGAAAGCAGGAAAAATTTGCGCTTTATTTAGACGAAATCTTTGAGGCCTAGATCAGAGTTGTATTGATTTATTTAGAAAGACCTAACGCTCCATCATGTGTAATAATTAAGAGAGAACTTTTGTTCATTGAAGCAAACTCACTTCAAGAGTTCGAGGTGGGTGTAAGATACATTTAGTTTCAAACTAAAGGCCGGAAGGGGGGCACTAAAGACTTTCCTTGGCCCTTGTCCAACTAGCACATGGGCATGAAAAGTTACTTCCCAGGAAGTAAAAGGAAAATCTAAAATTGTCCCAGACTACTAGAAAGGACTCCACTTACATGCAACAACAGCAACATCTTTTATTTAAACACGGTGGTTCTTAAAGCTAATATAGCTTATGGGGCCGTGTAAAAAATGTTAATAAAATAATAAAAATTATTTTAAAAAAAAATGAATGTGGTCAATAAAAGGTGAAATATGTACAATAAAAAATATGAATAGAATCAATAAAAGACGAAATCACAGTCAATTTGGGGACAGCCCATTTGCAATGACTCTTCATTAAAGTTCAAGTCTCTGAGGGTGTGAGACGTTTTTGCCCTTTAGCATAATTCCTGGCGCTGACAGCGGATGGTTCTAAAAGATTCCAGATAATGGATCCTCTGTAAGAAATACAGTTTTTCATATAATAAGTTTCAAAACGTTGTTCGCTAACACGATTTTGATGACAAAGGTCATACTTAGATTCTTTCCTTTGGATTAAATGCATTGCAAGATTTTTTTAAGTATTCTTTTTATATCTTTATTTGTAGGCATCAGATTTGTTCTACCACTTCCCTGAAGAGAGTGAATCTAGCATAATGAGTTTCATTAAAGAGAGGAGAACATCTCATACTGTTACGTTGTCCCCCATCTCTAATCCTGTGACTATGTACAAAATACATCGCTATCTCACTGAGTTGGAACTAAATAAGACCTTTGTGGAAACAAGAACTCTTCAGAATGCCATTAAAGACATGTTGCCATATTTACCAGATGGTAAGTACAGGATAATTTTACAACTTCTTGTGTAGTTTCTTTTAACCAGGATTGTAGGTGAGTTTTGAGATTCTCAGTCATTCTCAGACAACTAGAGAGACAACAAATCACTGAACAAGCTTCCTGTTAAGAATTAGGCAAAGGTCATTTGCAAGTTGTTCTCCAGGGCCGGATTGTTCGAAGCTGGGTTAAGGTAACCCAGGGTTAGTGTGAAATTTGAACTAGCAAGAGCTTAAAAAGAAAATTCAGTTTAATTCTCCTTGTTTACAATTTGATGATTGGATACTCTAAAAAGAATGGAGAAAATTATCCAAGAGAGTGCTTTTGATAAATAGAAAAAGAAACCCAGGTTAAAATTTAACCCCGGGTTAGCACTAACTGGCGTTTGAACAACTGGGCCCAGTTGGAGAGCAAGGGTGGCACAATGGTGTGGCCTAGGGTCAAGTCCAAGTATCAACCCCATAATTATGTGTTCCTAGGGGAGGAGGATATGTCCCTAAATTTACCATGGGGGTGTGTCACTGAATCTTTGACACTCTGGACCTGTTCAATGCGGAAAGAGATGAATTTGCCACCATGTTCAAAGGCAAAATTTAAAAAAATACTGTGTTCTCCCTAGGTATTTTAGGCTAGGTGGGCCGAAATTATAGGGTGAAGACTGAAATAGGAATCCTATTCCAGTGGCCAGCTCAGCGTTAAAATGATGAAGGGAGTGCAGTTTTGCACCTAAGCTTTATCAAGTACAATCCAGGATTACTGTAAATGACCTAATAAACACCCATTTCCAAATAAACGCCTCTTATCTTAAATAAACACCCACTCTACGCTGTTAACATTTTATTAAATACCCCTTCTCAAGTATATGGCCCCTGTCTAATAGATGCCCCCTTGTGAGAACTACTCCAAAATATGAGAAATTAGCTAAAAGGAGCAAAATTGTTCAATTCATTCAGTTGATTTACAAGACTTTGAGTGCTTCATCATGTTCAGTGTCAAGTTCTAAGTAAGGATAGACTATAAATGATGGCAACACTGAGCTAGGATTCTGAAATCGATGTTGGAATTTGAAAGAGTGATATGGATCTGTAGACAGCCTAGATATATGAAGAGAGATGATTTTTATCCCCTTTATTGATTTTATTTTATCATTGCTCCTAATTGTTTAAGAATATGTCAATTGTTTTTTCCTCAAAAGCACAGCTTATAAAAATTTGAAAAAAATAAATGATTCCTCACAAAGTTTATGTAAATGCAGCAATTGGGGCTCAGAAATAATCTAAAATAAGGGAAAGTTCATTTAATATGACAAGGGGGGGGGGGATGAAGATATTGGGGGGGGGCTCCAAAAATTTTTAGACGCCCGAAGGGGGGGCTCTGAAAAAATTGTTGCGCTAGGAGGGGGGGCTTGGAAAATTTGTATACTTCAAAACCAACACATGACATCATCATACAGATCGGAAGGTTTTCAACTCAACAATTTAATGACCTGTGCCAGGGGGGGCTGGCAACGGCCTTTGATCTTGCCGCTTTTCGGCTTTCCATGATCGCCCCAGTTAAGAAATCTGTCAATCGTCCGAAAACTGTAGCGAGCATGCGCGGAACGGGTTGGGAAAACAAGTTCGCCTTAGCAGCTTCCTCGCAGCGATTCGGCAGTGTGAAGTGAAGTTGCTTTTGGTCCCGTTGGTCATTGGTTTCTTCGTTTTGTTCCGCGGTAACGTGGAGCTTACGTTTTCCTTTCTTCTGGTTTTGCGTTTGTCATTAAGTGCGGCCCGGTTTACTACGGTAAGAACGAGACCAGTGAACATGTTTCTCGATGCCCGACCTTTTGATGATTTGTTTCTGTTTAGACGACCCACGAATTGCAAGAGTAAAAGAAGGGCCAACCCTCCAATACGTATGTAGAAGAGTTTATATTTTCAATCGAAAGGCCCAAAATTAATTCTTCGTGGTATTAAAAAAAGTGCGGTGACTGGCATGTGTTTGAGTAGAAGCGTTGTCAGAGTTCAGCTGAGAGTTGTTTACGGCTTCACTACACCTTTAAGACGACAAGAAATGATTGAGATTCTCAGTTCTACATCCTTGATTGTGAACTTACCCTGGCAGAGTTGCGTTGGATGATTGAGTGGCATGGTCAAATCTCGTAGTTCATGTATTTCTTTATGTACTAGAAGCTAAATAAATTTTGCCAGGAGATCATTCTCTCTTGATTTTGCACATGTTGATATGCTTAAGTTCTTTTCTTCGTGCGATTTTATTTAAACTTTACCGTAGTTTCTAACAAATGAATCTTATGCAGATGAAAGGGTAATTATCTTGTGTGTTTGGAATTCTCTTTTCATGACAGCAGTTACTACACTTCCTTCAGTTTGAGTCCTAATTCAAGTGTGTTTTGTTGCAAAAAATAGGGGAAAATTATAAATTTTAAAAACTACACTACCCCTTGGAACAAGATTATGGTTTAAAAAAGATTAGCTAAGTTCAGAAAATAAATCTTCAAGTTTTCATGTTTTGACAAGGACTACATCTGGCTAAATATGCTTCCAAGGAAATGTATAAAGTCAGGAAAATCGTGACATTTCTATTTTTGCCTTTCCTTTGGCCACGATGATCAGTTTTTGCCATACAGTTGCATGTAATTTTTTACACCTTTGGACATCAACCTGCCAGGTTAGTTTCCCGGGGTTAGTTTGTGTCTGTATAAAAATGTTGTTAACGAAATCAAACCCTCTCAACTTAAAAATTACCTTGTACTAGTGGATATGAAAAAAAAAAAAGAATCTCTAGGAAAAAAATGTAAAATGATTATTAAGATAATATTATTAATTTTGTAGTCAACAATAACAGTTAGAAACTTGTGTTGAGGCAGGCAAAAACATTTTTCAGAGACCATAGACCTTCACTGACTTTGCTGTTAAAGCAAGTGGTAAAAGGGTATTAAAATGTGAGATCACCTCCCTGGGCTTGCACTGAAAGAGAGTATGGGTAGTAGGACACATTGTTCATTTCCCCCACCCTTTTTATGCCAAGAGACCTGATTTTATAACCCTGATTCACTTCAGTTAGCATACAGAATTAAGTTAGCTTTTAAACTTAGAAAGATGGAAAAACTTGGGGAAAAAATTGGTGGTACCAAAAATGTAACTATAGACTGCTCTTCATCAACCTCCACAGCCCAAACAGACACCCTGTTCAAAACTCTAAAGGGTGAAATGGTCACCACCCTAACTCAGCAGTACAAACCCATCTAGGCCAAATAAGCCAAGGGTAGTATGTAGAAAGAACTGCTGAGGGGATTGGGCTCAAGGGACAATAACTTCTTTTGATGGTTGATAAAAAGTCAATTTTACCTTGTTTATTTTACTTGTAAATCAAATTCATAACTTACACAAACAATTTATTGAAGTTGTACATTTTTCAAGGTCCTTCTGATTCTCTTTATAAACTTTGCAAAACATTCAATTTTCTTTTTTCTGTTTCTTGTACTTCAGTCCTTTGAGGGATTTTCTCAATGTATACTGAGCATACCCCTCTCTGATGTACTCACTCTTATTAGCAACTGGATTAACCTCTTGTCCCCACACTCAGATTCAAGTATAATTCAAAACTATGGGGTAATTTTTGTACAAACAATTTCAAGGAAGTACTTAAAACCGAAGTCACTATCTAATATAAAACTACTAAATACGGTATTGCTGTTGGAGCTATTTATTGATTATCACTCAAACGATATTCCAGTGAAGGTTTTGAAGATTCAGTAAGCCCTTCCCTGCAGCCTTTTGATATTAAAAATAGCTTATACTGACAGACCCAGTATATGTGAAGCAAAGTGATTGGAACATTTAACCTGGCTTTTACTAAATTAGCCCGGTATTCTGTATTTACGCCCACAAATATTTGTTGTGGCTCCCTGTGTACAAACAAACTTACGAACAGCGAAGTACAAAATTGGTTTAATCCCGGGGGGTTTAATGAACATTCCAGTATGACTGTTGCAAGACTCATACTATAATGAGCTCGTAGCATATGTTTAGGATAAGGCAGAGAGTTCTTAATACCACCGTAGGTGAAAAAATATATAAGAGATGGAGCAGGCTGCCCTGAGGCTGGTCGCTCGAAAATTCACGAAGCTTATAAATAACTGAACTTGCCAAGGTGCCGAATCATGATGAGCGAAGTCACTCATGAACTGTTCATACATCACGCCTCCTGATATCCAAAAATTTCATGAGAAAAGTTCATGAAAACCTTTTCTTGATCTTTGGATGCCGTAAAACGTAAAACCGAGCAAAAACTCATCATCTTTCAATGTCCGCATTCTCCGCCATATTTGTTTTGATGGAAAATTGGTACTCAGTCTCACTCGGCCAAATTTCTTAACGGGGGCGATCATCTAAACTCGGTTCCAGACCTCGCTGCCAGCCCCCCCTGACCTGTGCAACTCGGCTATATCACGTGGTTTACAGATATAACAAATGTAGTCTCAGTAACTATTACACTCTTGTTCATCCCAAAAATGCTTTAGAAAATTGTATCACAACTGTATCTCAAGTTTGTCATAGTAATCTTTTTTCAGGGGAGCAAAGGAATTGAAGGAGGAGGCGGGGGGGCTCTGAAATTTTTTTGACTACCAAGGAGGGGGCTCCTAAAAAATTGAACCGCTAGCGAGGGGGCTGCTAAAATTTCAAGCTTCGAGTTTCAATATCTTCATCCCCCCCCCCCCTTGTCATATTAAATGAACTTTCCCTAAAGAATATGATTCATCATCACCATCTTCATGTTTCATTCCTTTCACGGGGTTAAGATGAACTCAACAAATTGGCCTCCTCCCAATCCATTGGTCATCATAGCTCCACTGGTTTGTTAGAGGACTGCAGTGCTAACGCAGAAGCCATGGGTTCGAATACCGTTGAAGTCCCGAAAATTTTTTCGGGTTTATTTGCAATTGCTTAAATTGCAATTACCACTGCGACGATCGTATCTTCATTTAAAATTTGTATTTCCGCAGTTCACATAATCTTCATGATAGGAGTTTTCCTTGGCCATCAAAAACGTATAATTGACGTATATATTTAATCAGTCCAAGTGTAAATACGAGTGTATCACCCACAAAAGAACACCTATACAGCACTCTTATATTATCAATGAAACGACTTTAGAATCCTATGATACAGAGAAGACCTTAGTGTGTGGGTGTCAAGCAACCTTAAAGAAACTCCTTGGCTTTGCAATGCACCCAAACGCTTCGCACACTGTATCGTTCTATCGTTCGGTGCCGCCTCGGCCACGCAACCCGAGTATGGTCGCCACAGTCCATTGGCTAACTAAATTTTGAAGCTTCCCTTCCTTTGCGATGAAACCCATACGTCCGGCCTCCAACTAACAAATCTGTCACCCGTCTCATACTGGCACGAATTTTGGATATATTGTTTTTCTGTGAAGCTGTAAATAACCTAGTTTTTGTAGTTAGTGAAGCTCTGCCTGTTACTAGACAATTAACGAGATTTACCAGGTCATCGAGCTGCAGGCAATGCTATATATCTCTAAACCAAGTAGAACTGTTACTTATCAACGCTCAATGGAATGTTCCCCCCTGAGTTACGCACGAATCTCATTTCTCTAACTTCTTTGAAACGTTTGGGCCTCTAGATCTGTGCAACGCTAACGACATCAAAACCAGGAGAACAATCTGTCCCAGGTGCAATATAGCGAGGACTCTCCTGCTCCCGCTATCGTGCTTAGCAATTTGAACTTCGTCTTTAGTCATTAGTTATATATTTTATTTTTATTTATTTTTTTAACCTGGGATCCTCTGTAGTTTGCTATAGCTAGGCTGTAGTAGTCTCCCTGCCTAATAAATTTATCGAAAATTTATGTATATAAGTATTGTTTTTTAGTTAGGCGAAGCGAAATAAATAGATGTCGATTACTCCATTATATAAAATTGGGAGTGGAAGAATTAGTACTTCATAATTAAGTTGTTTTACAACAAGAGGCTAAACTAAAAGCAAAAAAAACCTGAACAAGCAATTACAAAACTACATGGCAAGCAACTCTGTACCGCAGATGATATTAATGTTAAAATGGGCGACCACTTACTTTGCGTGTAGACCAAGATAAGATTTTTTAACTCGCTTGAAAGGGCAGCGTGTTGTGATGAGATGAGGATAAAACGCCAGATTGAAAACTAATCAAGGTAAGACAGAACTTTAACGAGGGCATGTCTTATTTCGTTCTATCCGAAGCTGGAAGACGGTGGAGTTTTGTTGCAAAACTGTTTTGGATGAAGATAAACATGCATGATTGCCAACGTTAAAACTGAAATTTGGGCTACGCTTTCATCGTAAATTTGTGATATTCGAGGGAGCGGTTAATCTGACACTAATAAATGACGTAAATATTGTGCACAAGAATGCATGTGTCTTCTCCCTAATAAATGAAAAAAACCGGCGTCTTCATCTTGGATTTCATCAGGCCACACTACAGCTCGTAATGTTTTAAATTTTCCTCCCGATTATACAGCGTAATCGTACACTGCAGTGGTGCAATTGGAACCGAGAGATGCCTTTAACTGTTGGTGACAAAACCGAGATTGACTTGATTTTCACGTGCGACAGACGTAAAAATATAACGACCTTTTTTTGAAAACATCCTATACTTTTACACAAATGTAATAGCAGAATTTGGCCATAGGAAACAAACGTCTTAGGGGTTTCTTTGTCGGTTGTCTCAGGCATGTTTCCCGAAAGTTTAGCTCCTGCAGCTCAGTATAATATACAGGGGCACCCAACGAGAATATAGTTCAAAACCACATAAACATAGCATTGTTGAACGCACTTTAGTACTTAAACGGTAGATAAAGGCTTGTTTTTATCCCCTAAAAATTTTTCATCTGTTCGGATTTCCTAGCTGAAAGTATAGTGATCCGAAAATTATAGCAATCAAAATTTACCTTTTCGAAAATTTCAGCCAGAAAAAAGACTCCCGAAAATTCTAGGTGACCTTTTTAGGGTAAAAATCCGTTAAAATGGGCAATTATACCACTTTTCTGATGTTCGAAAATCCTAGGAGAGGCAGGCAAGCAAGAAATTTTACAGAAAATGATCCGAAAATTCTAGATCTCAAATCGTCTTCCGAACAGATAATTTTCCGAAAATTGTCGTTGGGTGCCCCTGAATATAGACAAGAAGATTTTTTTGGCGATTTCTTCATTCCAAGGGTTTGGAAAGAGAAGGGAAGTTGGTTTGTGGAAGGAAGACAATTTTTCCAAGAAAAATGTACGAAAGAGTACCTTTTCCTTCAAAACTGTACGAGATGTTCTTGGTAGGGTAAGGTAAGGTAACGCCTTTATTTAAAGAGGGTAAACACATGACAGTTATGATAAAACTGATAAACTTGTGGCCCTCGGGGGTTGGACGGCTTGGAGTGGGCCGCCGCATAAATGAATTTGTTGACTACTCCACTCAACCCCCCTCGCGGAGTCATGATGGTCCACTGATAGCGCATTCCTTTTTTTCTCAGGGGTCCCCGAGAAACGACCATCGTGGCCGATAGGATTTCGGCAGCCATTCAAGCCTACGTCTCGGTTTGAGGTCTTACAGTGGGAGTACTTCACTGATACTTCTAGTTACAGAGACCAATCCTACAGTAAGAACCAATTTCCTTGTTTATTAGTCCATTCGCTCCTGGAATTTTGAAAAACGCGTTTTTTCGAGTGGGGTCATCTGATCTAAAATTACCACAAACTGGTTTAGGTCGAACAAGGATCCAGATCAAGCTTGCGAAGTTCGGGCATGCGCAGAAACAAAATTTTAAAATTTTAATCTCGTGGGCCCAGGTAGGCTTCATTTTGGTGGGAAGAGTTTTTAGGAAATCGACGGTAGCTGGGTAATGGAACAAGATTTTATGGAACAATGTCAGGTGGTTTTTGCTTGTTTCTCCGGTGTCCTTTTTTCTCATTCGCAATGAACCAAAACCTTGTCAAACGTTGTTTTCTTGACGTCATTCACGGGCGGTTACGGGCGGTTCAGGGGCGAATGGGTTAAGGTAGTCAACCACAATCTCGTGCCCGCCTGGCGAGATTTAAACGTCACGCAATGAACCAAAAAAATTGAATGTGCGTTCATTCAAACTTTATTACGTTTATTTAGCCTCTTTCAATTATTCAATTATTGAAATATCAAGGGTAACATGAGAAAACAGCCAACATTTCGCGCGCTACTACGGGTTTCCCCGCGAAATGACGTCTGAGAAACTGAACGAGCGCAGAAATTCCATACTGATGACGTGTCACTACCCAGATCTGGGTAATGCTTCTGACTGGATGAAGCAAATTTTCAACCAATGAGAAGCATTACCCAGATTCTTGATGATCGTAAAACACGTTTTTTTTTTCATGATCAGGTGGCTTTGCGAGGGGACTACAAAAAAGATGTTGAAGATGTCAAAGAAACAGCGATAAAAATGCTATCACGAGAATACAGTAACCAGCATAAAAAGTTCCGCTTGATCAATGGCTACAGACGAGTAGACCCCAGACGAGGAGCGGAGTATATCTTAGATATCGGAATTAAAGCATCTCCGGGCAGTGAGCAGGAAATTATCAGGTATTATTTCTAGTTCTCTATGTTGCTTACCTTACTACTTTCTAGAATTGAAGTTGAAATATAAATATCGTTAAGGAAAAGAGAGCTTTAGCAACGACGACGGCGACACCAACGAGAGCGGCAAAAAACAGTGAGGTTAGATTAGCAAAGCAACAACCTTTCACTCGCTTCACGCTTTTTCTTTTTCTTTTTCGGCGTACATTTCTCTGCCGTCGTCGCAAGATTACGCCGTGAAACGTCCTAATTTTACGTTTTATGAAGGACGTGAACACGAAACAACGACTTAATTTTCCTTTTTCTGAAGCCAGATACAAACCTTGAGAATTCAACTCTAGAAAAATTGGCCAACGTTAATTTTGACAAATTGAACGATGGAATAAGAAGTTTGAAGCAGCGCGAATTCAGTTTTTGCGCGACGTTTTCACTGCTGTCGCCGCGTCGTTGATGCTAAAGCTCCCCATTCTATGTAAGACAAGGACGTCTACGAGAACGATATTTTTTCAATACTAAGTAGTACGCGCGCGTGAAGAGGCGTCATTTTGGCGGGAAAACCTGATAGCCTTCATCATTCTACGACGGGTTTTAAGGCTGAATGTCGTAGTGTCGGAACAAGTTAACAAATCGTTGAAAATCCATCATTTTGCAATCGCGAGAGGGCTTAAACTCTTCAGTGAAAATACCTGTCTCACCTTTCCTGGTGAAAAAAGGAAAATGAAGATTTCCAGGGTGTCTTTTTTGTTAGAAAAACCCGTCGTCCTCGAATCTAAAGGTGTCTGGTACATGAAACTACTGCACGGCCTGCTGCACTGCACGACCATGCTTTTGTTCTTGACGTCACCTGCGAATAAGCAATTGTCATAAACTGCAATTTACGTGACTACTGTTTGTTTCAGACGTGTTCACCTTCTGAGGCCATACACCAAAGTAGAAAGCATTCAAATGCCGACTGCAATAGAGCAGCGTGGAATTCATCTTGTTCTTCCAGTCCAAAAAAACCAAACCAAGCAACTCGAGGAATTTCTTCAGATGTATCAAAAAATCTGTCTGCAAACTGGCGAGAACGTGGTTTTGCTAACGGTGTTTGTTAATGTTCGAGAAGGTTCCGACGAGAATAATGGAGACATATTTGCTGAAGGAAAAGCTCTTATTGGGCGGTAAGTCAAGTCACTTCAAGTAGTTTTTCCAAATTTTTTGTTGTTCTCGTGATCTTTGCGCCATCTCCAACTGCATACGGTCAATAGTTTGCTCATGTAGAGTACAGAAAAGTTGTTTTACCTTTCTAGGCCCCATTTGTATATAGAAAAGTTGTTACGGTAGAGGGTCACCCGCCTACCCGAGCTACCCTGGGCGAGCTAATTTTTATGCTTTTCCTGAAAAACGTGGCGAACCGTTTACACGAGCTTCTTATATTCCGCGTCACCTTTTGTGATGGTAGGGTCATCCTCCAAGCGAGGCCGACTTTTCTCCGTATAAACACTTTGGTCCAGGCGAGAGACAATCAGAGCGTGCCCATGTGCTGTTGTCAGTCCTGTCTCGGGCAAATGGGTCAACGTTTTTCTCATGTAAACGCTCGCTTAAGTTGACTTAGCTGGGAGGGTGAACCTCGTATCCAGAACAATGATCTGCTCATGCGCAGTTACACAAATATTTCGATCAATGAATGAAAGGTGTTTTGGCTGTGGTGTTAGCGACCATTCAAAATCGTTGCTCAAATGGAAACCAGTCTCTTTATACGGAGCGGAAATGTCCAAGTCAAATAAAATACGTCCTTTCCTTTAGAGTACTTAATCATTCGTTTTAATGTGCTTTGTAACCAGGTACAAACAGAAGTACACGTGGGCTCAGTTACCTTGGATACAGATTGGAGTGAAACAGCACTCACTTACATTACTGATGGATATAGTTACCTTGAAGCTTCCGGCCAACGCCCTTATCTTTCTAACTGCTCTCGGCGTGGAGTTCAACGTCAATTTTCTTAACCGATGTCGTGTGAATGCACTTAGCGGAGAGCAGGTAAGGAAAAGAAAACTCAGTTACAATGAAAATCGAGAGCTTTAAATCCTGAGACAAGGACGACTACGAGTACGAAATGTTCTCAGTACTAAGTAGTGCTCGCGCGTGAACCAACGTCATTTTGGCGGGAAAACGTGGTAGCCCTCGTCATTCTACTACGAGTATTAGTGAGAATGTCTTAGTAGCGGGAACGAGTTATCAAATTTTAGAAGTTTAATTATTTTGCGACCGGGAAAGGGCTAACCCTTCTCCAATGAAAATAACCCCCCAATTTTTCGGGTAAAAAATAGCAGAGTGAAGTTTTCCGGGTAGAATATTTTTCGAGCATACAGCGCGAAAAAACTCGTACTCTTAGTCGTCCTCTTCCTCAAACCTAAAGCTCCCCAATAAAGACAAGTTTAACAAATGTAAAGTAAAAAGCTTTGGTGTTGGTTAACTTCGGAAATATTTAGTGTACACGAAGTTTTGAGATTACTGAGCTGCGCTTTCCCTAGTTATAAAATGTAAAGAGTGGAAATTGCTGACTAGGGCTGTACATGTATATTAAAAAATCTATATTGCGAGTCTCAAAAATTAGAGCTTATTTATTGCCATAATGAAAAATTGCATTTCATTGTTATCCAGGATGAGTCTACAGTTGTAGAAAAGTGAGCTATTAAGTTTTAGAGCAAGGAATCAAAAGTATTGTTACCACTGTCACATCAAAGAGAGACTGAAGAGTTTGGATGGAAACGTTTCCTTCTTCTGCGCCACCGGGGTGTTTGAATTTGAACGGTTGTTGTTAAAACATTGCTAAGGTTGAATAAGTTAACCTGAGTGTGCCAAGAATACCTTTGAGCTCGGTTTAGGTCTCTTGGTAGAAGATCTCTGATTCCTGCGGCTGGAATTAGCTCTGTCGGTAGAGCGCTTGACTGCAGAGCGGGAGGTCGCGGGTTCAATACCCGGTGCAGGACCAATACTCAGGGTGTTAAAATAACTGAGAAATGAAGATACTCGCTTTACCCTGCAAACGGCTAGGAGTTCTTCGCGTGGCTCGGATGACCACGTAAAATGGCGGTCCCGTCTCCAGTAGGACACGTAAAATAGTGTCCACAATTAGTACTTTCGTGCTAAATACATGGACACTCAAATAAAGTGCGTTTTGTAGTGTTTTACCTGTTAGATACGTATCTCATCGAACTTTTTTTCTGTGTCTTGACTTCTGTAGGTTTTCTTTCCTGTGCCTTACGCTTACTACGATCCCAACATTGTCTACCGCCAAACCAAGATCCCGGATGTTGTTCCCATTCACAAAGACACGGGGCACTGGGACCAAGGCGAGAGACAAATGGCTTGTTTTGATAACAAGGACTATAAGGATATGAGAATGAACAGTGATGACTTCCTGAAGGAGCAAAAATCGCAAGAAAGAGCATTGATGCAGGTAAAGTCATTTTTTTGGTCTAATATCAATTTATTATATTTCTTGTTGTTTGGGTCCGCCCATTACTCGGAGCATTTGTAACCAATGAGTGAGAACTGGCCGCCTAGACTGGAGAGGTTTCTCGAAATTTTCGCTCAGTCCTATCACTGCCGTGCATACTATTCAGGAGTAGAGGAGTAAACTGATCTTGCGTGTTAGTCCTTATTCCTCCTTCGGATGGCAGACAAAGGGTCCGAAATGTCAAATGTAAACGCAATGAGTTTACTACAAAACAGTGAATATTCGTCAAATATAACTATTTTTCAAAAGCTCAAAACTTTACGATGATAGACGAGGAGAAATATTAACAATGCAAGGCTTTCTTTCAACAACAATCATCATGTTAAAAACGTATTTCAACATCCAACATAAGTAAGTGGCTTAAAACGCAATTTGCAAGTTTGAATGATTACCGTTCTATGATGACGTGATGATCAATGTGTTTTGCTTTCGAACGCATTGCAAGACGAATCTCCCCACGTATATTGAAGATCTCTCTATGACAAACAAATCTGTGCACGGTAGCGAGACGAGCCGTAGCCATATAACTTTGAAGGCTTTGAAACTGATTTTTTTAATTCTTATATTGATGCTGAATATTTTGAGGCCTTATTGTAAATTTTAGGGTAGGTAGTTTAGTGGAGGGCCACTGTTTTACTGATGTAGTAAGTCGGTTGAACCTGCTGTTTCTTCACATGCTCTCCGTTCTTTATTTTGAAGGTATTTGCGGCGAGCTCCTTACATGTTTTCCAGGCAGTCGACATTGATTTACGCAAGCGGTACCAAACGGTCACGTGTGACCCGCACCTGAACGAGGACGAGTATAACAAGTGCCTCGCTTTCAAAGCAGAAGGGATGGCTTCTCGTTCCCAGCTTGCCCTCCTCATGTTCGAGATGGAACAGAAGAGTCGGGGGAATGGGGCAACAGAAGTGCATCAATTACATTAGTTATTGTAGTTCCCTAGAAATAGACGCAGATTTCTTTAATTCTAACTAAAGTATGTGATAGCTTTCCAACCACACTAGAAAAAGCTTTTATTACATTTAAGTGTGGAAATTCTTATTAACCACAGATCATCTAGGTCGTCTTTGGTCATGTTTTAGTAAATACCCCGCGATTGCTTAAAATGATATCTTTCAGTGGGGTGGTTAACCTATAACATGTATACATGTATTAGTTTCTATTTTCATACATTTGAACTATCTTTTATGGTACCTTTAGCTACTTTTTCTCAGCGAATATCCGTTATTAATCGTTTAACTCTATTTAACTGTCTTTGTACGGCTATATTTAACAAAAGTGTTTCAAACTATGCCACCAACTATATTTATGAAGAGCAGATGCTGAATCGCCGGGTTGAATGCTTGCATGCAGTGCATCTGTAAGTAACAAGATCGCGTGTTTCGACCTTTTTACTTTGGCAGAACGAGCGCCTTTTGTTTTACTTACTAGCTAGCACACCTTTCTTCCCACCTTTCTTGTTCAGTGCACAGTGATCATTAAACCTCAGAAGTTTGTCCATTTTGTAAAATGTTTGCGTTTGTTAATAGACACGGAGTAAACTGATTGTTTCAAAAAGATTACCTGGTTACTGAGAACAAGATTGACAAGCTCCTGAGTGTAAATTCCAACAACTGCGGACCAACTTAAGAGCATGGGAATCCAAGACAGCCTTGGATTCTGGATTTCGCACGGCGTGGTTTCCGGATTCCAATCATTAATGGGGTTCCGGATTGCTTGAGCTGTCTTGCGGATTCCAGAGCCCAGGATACCACAAGCAAAAATTTGCCGGATATCCGGAATCCGAATTCCCTTGCATAGTGCGAGTAATAATAATAATAATAATAATAATAATAATAATAATAATAATAATAATAGTAATAATAATGATAATAATAATTCTGTTAAATACCATCAACAGTATTTATAGCACTAATGCTTGAGGGGCCGAGCAAATGGGGCGAAGCATGCCCGGGCATTATCCACCCACACCCACATTGCTGCAACTGAGTAAATTTCTGCGTGGCTTGCTGTGTAAATAGGTGTAATTTCCGTGCGTGTAGTTCGTAAGATGCCGTATTATCACAAGGAAATCTTTTGACGTTATTTGATGTTATTTATTAGGTCATTTTGTCCGTCTCGACGCTGAAGAAAATATCGTTTGGTGTATTTTAACCACAAGGAATATTGTGCACTTCCTTTAAATATAAGGTTGAGGCAATGAAGGGAAATTCTTTAGGGGAAGAAACCTAGTTTTATACAAATTCCAAATAAAGAGTTCATTTACAGACGAACTAGACATTGTCAGTTGCTGTTTTTTGAGGGACTGAGGCGGAGAACAGGCTTGTTTTAACAGGGGGGGACTGAGGAAGGCAAGAGGTGTGGGAGAACAGGAAAGTTCTATCAAAGGGGGGAGGAGGTAAAGAATAAGGCCAAAAATAAACGCGGGAGGCGAGCCAAAGGCATCATCAGAGACAACGCGGCTTCTCATTCACTGGACGATAAAATGGATCTGCACAAATTTGCTCCCGGCAAATATGTCGCAAAATTGTAAAAACTGAGGAGTAAAGATGGATAATGCCACATCAAAGTCACGTGATCCTTAATTAGCCAATGACAGTCGGAGGTATATCTAGTGGAAAATGCAGCCAAATAACGACGTTGACGACGGAAGTGAAAAAGTCGCAAAAAAGATATAATTTACGTCCTTTCAAACTTCCTCGCGTCTATTTGGACCCGCTCAGTTTGTAAAATGGAGGCGACTTTTTCTGGAGTTGAATTCTTAAGGACTTTATCCAGGTTCAAAAAGAGGAATAGTCTATTCCAGGTTCTCAGATGGTGGGGAAGACGCGAAAGTAAAAGGCACGCGAAAAGTTGCCGTCCCTCCTCTCCCCAGTTTCCTCCCGTTTTATTTTCGTCTTAGTGATTTCTCAATTCTACGGGCCCAACTATCTCGGAGCCTGGAACAGGCTAAAAGAGGAAGGAAAAGTCACCGACGTATGCTCACCTCCCGCCCATGAGGTTTCACGTCGTAGTTGTCCGGTGGAAAACATAAAAGAAATGTACTAAAAAGCGTGATGCACGTGTATGTCTGCTGTTTCGCTCATAAAAGCAATTGTTATACTCTTTCAATATTCAGAGGTTTTACTTTATTAGCTTCATCAGATAATGATAAGCATATGAGGCAAAAAATGTCAACAAAGTAACCGAGAGACCAAGTGGTCGAGGTTGCCTTGTTTTGGTAGTGCAGTACAAAATGGAGGAACCTTTCACACGTTTCGCCTGGAAATAGGCGAACTACTGCCTAAAAACACTGCAAGAACAGCAAAAATACAACTCGAAGGACAACATCAGATATTTGGAGAATATCTGCAGAACTGAACATCCCTTTACCCCCCGGAACTTGCCGAGAAACAGGCAATTGAAGACTAGCCTGCTTAGCAAGCGTTTCCGTTTGGTTTCAGAGCAAAGAAAGACTGAGGAACGGGATTTTCGGTTTTAGCCTCGTTCTTTGCTCCGAAACCGCATGGAAACGCCTGCTACGCAGGCTAATTGAAGACGGGATTTAACATCGATCGAGGTAAACATATTTTAGCTTGTCCTTAACCTAGGAGTTATTTTGAATGAATGATAAAACAATTATTGGATTCGGCTTTCGTATGATCTAAAGAATTTTTAAGATCTCGGAGGATGTTATCGGGACTCGGCGGATAACACCCTCCTCGATATCCATAATTAAGAAGCCTCATTCAATAATTGTTAATTGTTTTTTGACGTTGTAGTTGACGTCATCGTCGCGGTCGCTTAGAAATAGACTGACACAAAACAACTAGAAAAGGCAAACATTTTATTTTTTTGAGCAAGCCTACAAGAGTAAAAATTTCATACAAAAATGTTAAGTTTAAAACTTCATTGCTCTTCCTCGCGAGGTACGGTTTCTAATTGGTTTAAATACGTGTTGTCGGAAGACTTGTCAATCGTGTTTCTTATTTACAGGTCTGACAGGTTTTGTAGATTGTCTAACGTCACTGGTACAAACTAAATATAGATTTATTCTGGTACAAAAATTCAAACTGCGACTTGCGTTAACGAGAAACTTCCCACCCCTCCCCTGAAATAAAACTATGACACGACTGCGTGTTGATGTTTGCAGAACGTTGACTGGAGTTGTGCGAAAGAAAAAGCATTTAGACTTGTCCTTCAAGGCAGTGATTGTTCGTACATCATCCGTGGTAATCTGTGGAAGAAAAGAATTTGGTAAGTCAAAATGATTTGTGAACGAAACTGAGAACAAAGCAAGACAACAAGCTTGTTCAAAAGGTGGATAACGCTATCAACCGGATAAATCACTATCGAGTGGATGGCGCAATTGGTTTCCCTCATACTTATCCATTGGATAGTGATTTATCCGGTGGATAGCGCTATCCAACTTTTGAACAACTGGATTGCGCTATCCACCGGATATATCTCTATCCAGTAGATAGCGCAATTTGTTTCCCTAATCCTTAACTACTGGATAGTGATTTATCCGATGGATAGCGCCATCCACCTTTTGAACACCGGAACAACAACAGTCACATTAAAAAATAGTCCATAAAAACTCTACCGTAAAGCAGCAATAATTCATTAAAACAATGGACATCACATGAAAAAACGAATTCCAGTGCTGCGCTAGTGGCAGCGGAGTCAATTAATAAAACGAAAGTTTTACGGGATGTTTATAGACAATGCAGTCCTTTATTTCCGTTGAGAGATATTAGGCTGATTTAACAACAGGACGGGAACGTCAGTTGACGACGGGAAAGCGCGCGGAAAGGACTTAACACGACTTCCGGTGCTCAATTTGCCGCTCTGCCATTGGTCAATCCAGTTGTTTGATTTGTGCGCGCCGTCGTCAACTGACGGTCCTGTTCTGTTGCTAAATCAGTCTAATTAGAGCGAGCGGAAGAAGCAAGCGCGCATGAAAAGAGCTATCCGCGCGAAAAAGAGAGTGTGGTATCTCGTATCTCCTCTCGGCAAACAATCACGGACGAGTAGTCTCTAGAAAGAGCAGTTTTTAAGTTCAAACCAGTCACTATGACCAATCAGAAAACGAGCGCAAAGTGTAATGAACCAATGATGACACCTCCCCCCCCCCCCCCCCAGTACAAACTCCTTTGTTCACAGGATTCTCAGATTGCCTATTTTTCGTCACTGCGTAAGGAAAACAATGTGCTGGACAAGATAATCATGACACAAATCATACCTTTTCTTTCTCCCTCTATTAATCACTGGTTGGAGCTACTTCCTCCCAACGGTCTTCGAAAAACTTGAAAAGTCTTTTTCCAGCTTGGCCAACCTGTAAAAATTCACCGGAAAATTAGTGGAACAATAAAATTTTAACTAAAGAGTACAGCGCTCAACCACAGTCCACTAATCCAGGACTAAGAAGAATTCCGTTTGGGCCAATACAAGTTTAAGAGCCACAAAAAGGATTTGGAAAACAAAATAAAAGAAAAGAATAACCTTATTCTACGGAATTTCACAACCTTGATTAAACAGTGAAAATTCGATTCGTACTAAGCAGCTGATGCTTTTGTTATTGCTATTGCTGTTATTGTCGTCTCACCTCCGAGTCATCTTCGTTAAATTCTTCACAGTTAAGAAAAACTGTCCGAGCATCGTCCACAAACTCTAACGGTGAAGCGTACCTATAAGAAACGAGAGAGATGACATCACAAAATGCCGGAAAACGTTTCATTAAATACCACCCTGGCTCCAGAGGTCCATTCTCTAAATACCTAGGGGTTTGATAAATCGCTCCCGGGACGTTTCTCTTGGCGCTTCGCGCCTCGCTGTCGCAGCGACGCCGCGAACTATAAGGAAATAGGAAAGAAAAAATCCTCTGGCACTCAGGGTTATTAAATACAAAAGGACAAGGAGAAAAAAAAACATTTTACCACTTACTGGCAGTCACGAAGTTTGATTTTCATCGTATGGAAATCCATTGGTCTTTTGATTATCTTGTAGTATTCTGGGAACTAAAGAGATGGAGGAAAGACGCTCAGAAATGCAAGAAAACCCATCAAAATGAGAAAGGTGCTTGTCAAGAGTAGTGCAAAGTTGCAAACCCCTTCCCTAATGTTGCTCTGTACTGCACTCTCTCCACACACCCCCTCAATAATCCCCTGCCCTGCCTTGTCTAACTAAATCTTAAGGACTGAGCTTACAAGTCACTGAATTCGTTTTAGATAATGTGCTTATAAATAAAATATTAGACATGCGACTGTTAAGTTCGAGTGGGTAAAGCGAGTAAAAGATGATGCGCAATTTCTTCCTGAACTGCTGGGGTGTGTCCACACGAATCTGCCTAAATCCGTCACCGCATGCACTGTGCTATAAGTATATAAGGCAAAGGCAGCAAATTCACAAACTTTTCGACGTGGCATACCCATATTGTATCTAGCCTGCGTAGCAGACGCTTTGGAGCCCTCGCGTTCTTTCTTGCACCCATTTCTTCCAAGGGCCTGCTAAGCAGGCTGTATTGTTTCGCAAGATCGCGATATCGAGTTTAAATATTGATAATCATAACGAGGAGTATTGTTGTATGCACCTGTTTCGCATTTACGGGAACCAAAAATGGCCAGGCATCTTCATGTTTCTCCATTTCCGCCAAAATCAAGCGGCACGGCGCCATATCCTTGGACGACTGCTTCCGGTTGGCGTGCGGACGAACTTCCTCCTTGGGGGGAGGGGTGATGGGTCTTCTGTCATCTTTCTCTTCGTCATCCTCGTCTCTGATTTTTCGCCTCTTGCGTGGCTTGCTTCGCTTCTAAGGACAAACACGATAAGAATTACTCGATAAAATTACTGAGAAAAATGACTCGAAGCGTTTCTAACAAGACGTCTGGTTTTGGAACCACATATTAGAGAGTCAGTTATTGACTTGGCTACTATTTACAAGGAATTTCATCTACCGACAAGGTCTTCACCTACTAAAAAGGAAGACAGTGTAAACAGTTGAGCCTTGTTCATGTGTCTTTTGTACGCTCTCTAAAACAACAATCTTCTGCCCAGGATCCTCCCCTCTAGTACTTACCCTTTTGCAGTTTGGACAAGTCCATGACGCTCGAGGAACCCTGGATGGTAAAAAAAAAGTTTCAATAGTTCTGAATAAACACCAGGAACCTACATCTAAGGCCACAAGTTGCCTTCTTCAGTAGAAGAACAAACTCTACAAAATTCAGTCGATCCACACAACAAACACATGGCCTGAGCCACGACCGACTATTTTAAGTGTCCCTGTAAATTTAAAGCCTTTTTACACCACTCTTATAAAAACTGCATTACATTTAGCTAAAGAAAAGAGAATGGACTACGCCAGACCATAAAAAGAAGAGAAAAATAACCATGCATGCAGAGTGAGTTAGAAGGGGAAGATGTTGACTGTCCGCAATACACATGAATGTTTCTTACTTGCTCAGAGGTGGTTCAAGACACTGTAGATGGAAGTTCCTTGGGCAATTATCACACTTCGCCATTTTCCCAGAAGCTCCACCACACATGCAACAATTATCTCCTCCAGCAGCCTAAAATCAACAAGAGTTTAAGAGGCAAATCGGGATGAGAAGCAATGATAATAAAAACACTACATTGTCCCCACGCAAACGTTCTTTTGGCTCAAGTCGCATGGCGTGACTGTGAGTGTCCCAACGAACTTTACGCAAACGTGATTTTTATATAAGCTAGTCATCACTGACCCTCCACATGGATTGCGTGACAAGCCAACACAACGTTAATTTCCGACGCCAACGTTCTTTACGCTCGTCAACACATGACCCTCCACAAGGATTGCGTGACAAGCCAACAGAACGTTAGCATCCATCACAAAGGTTCTTTTAGTTCCTAACGAAACGATCGCCCAAAGGGACTGCTTGAGAAGCAAAACTAACGTTGGCCACTACGCAGAGGTTTTTGGCTCGTGCTGCAGCCCTAGATAAAGCTTCGGACACAGTCATTAGATTGACATTTCAATGTGTTAGGCATACTTACCAGAACAATACAGTCAATACAGTACCAGTCTCCCTCGGGTATGGACGACAACTTGGGCTGACAGAATATAAAGACAATAGTCTATTAGTCTACCAATAAACATCAAGGGAAAATTAAATAATCGCACAGTCTCGCCTCAAGTTACAATGACGGCAAATTCGAACCTTTTTTAATTGGGAAATAATATTGTCTTCAGTAGGTGGCGGTGTCTTATAAGTGTACTTTGGTTAGCTTCCTGTCCCATCTGCTGTTTCTATTAAGCAGCAATTGACTAAGTCTTACTCCAATCACCCAGTTTTGAAATTTTTGAACTGAGATACATCACTCGTCATCATTTGAGGAGCTACAGCTTTACATTTAACACTCAACACTTTGTTTAACCCAATAACCAGAGAAAGAGAGAGTGATGACCAGGCTACCAAAGACGTAAGTGCCAGCACACTACCTTGATGTTGGCATTCACTTGCTAAGTACGATAGCCTTAAATTTCATGAACTATTTGGTTCTCTCTTATATTCCCTTTTCCCCAACGATCAATTAATATTATAGGAAACCAAATGAAGGGCAGGGCTTGCACTCTTATGTCAAAGGATGATTCTGTGAGCTTGACCTTGTATGGAACTCTGTATCTTATAGTTTCAAAACCCACCCAGATGACCGACATATCTGTAAATAAATACACAAGACATGCATCTAACCGTGCAGCAATACGTGTGATATCCTCTATCACAGCCGTCACACAATAGAAGCAACTCTTCATTATCACCTTTACGGCAAATCTGGCAAAACTGAAAGCAAAACGGAACGCGTTTGTTAAAAGCCAGTGTGCAACATTTTATATTCACAGAGAAATCAAACTAAACAATGCCTGGATGCTTCCAAAAGTCAACATCCTCCCCCCAAAAAAATACGTTTCTTGTCCCCACATTTCACAATTTTTTAAGACCAGAAAGAGGTAGAAATCGTCATGTCACACGCTGGGAGGATTCCAAGAAAACTCTTTGAGTCCCAATCAGGTTTCCAGCCATAAAATCCTAGACACCAGGCAGGCATTCTATCCACTAAGCTATGGGAAAAATCAAACAGAGCAAGGCCATCGCAGTGCTGCATACTTTATGGTGCAATTCGATTTCATCACGTTAAATGTCTATACGCCTTAATTGCAGTCTTATGCAAATAGCCTGTTTTGATATATTGAAGTGGCTTGTTATCAAAAGTTGAATTTATTTTGCACAGAAGTGAATGTACACTTACCACTTTCATGATAGACTTTTCCCATGCCACACAGTCATATAACATGGATATACACATGGATAACTGAGCTGCTGACTGAGCTGAAAGCACTGCATCGCGCCAGATCTTCAAAGCTGGGGTCAGTATTTCAACATCGACCCTACAAAAATATCGATACATTTGTTACGTCGTCCTCAAACCTGTTAATAATTCAGTCAAACTCCGTTAATATAGGGGTTCATAGGCGACCAGGTCCAGTTACTCCCTATGATGGCCTATACGCGGAGGCTCCGCCCGAAATGGGTATCTTTTTCAGGCCTCAGGTATATGAAAGAGTGTGGAATTCACTACCAGACATATATAAAAGGCTAGGGAAATCTGTCAATTTGGTCTGTGACAGGGCCCAAAAGGGCTAACAGATGAATTTTATAGCTTTATAACCCTAAGATCTCATTTGTTGCCGCTGTTCATTTCCTACAGAAGCGGTGGGGAGAAGTTGATAAAATATCAAGCAAATTCATCTTGTGTTATCATGTCCCAAATGCTCATGACCACTTTGTTTTACAAAGCATTGATATCACAAGGAGAAATTTGATGCTGATCACTCTTAGGGCTTAAAGGGTTAACTTCATGCACCGAGAGACAGTAAAAGTTTGAGGGAAACAAATCATAAGAATTATCCTACTTACTCCATTTTTTCGCCTTCTTTTGGCTGCCCATCCTCTCCTACATAAAATACAACGAGTTAGTGCTGTTAGGCTTCCCTAAATCACAAGATTTCAAAACGTCACCATTCTGTTATAAGATCACCCAAGGGAACAATAGAGTCACCCCTCTCTAAGATGGATTCCTTTGGGCCTCCTACTAAGTGTCCGTCTAAGAGCAATGTCTACTTTATTAAGGGTCAAATTAAGGAAGTAAAGAAAGGTAGGGACCAACTCTAGGTATCCGTTTTAGCGAGGTGTTCATCTCGTAGAGATGTCTGTAAGAGAGAGTCGACTGTACTCACAAGATACAAAACTTACCTGAGGGTACTTCCCCTGGGGCAGCTGCTGTACCAATGTTTGATGGAATGTGAAGCTTACTGTTGAAACAAAGATCCAAATTATTCAAATTATTTTAGCAAAGACGATTGTATCGATTTTCCAGAAAGAAGTAGAATGCAAACTGGAAAAGCTTAGCCACATGAAGTTGGAGCTCATGCAGCTGAAGATAATCTGAACTTCCAGTACAAGAATAAACCATATCGGATCAGTCAACATGAAGTGTTACAATCATGATTAATGATTTCAGTCTATCATTTAAGAATAAGGAGAGAGGGGGAGAGTGGGGTTTTATATTTTTTTCTCTCTGAAAGGAGAAAAGGGAGGCTTATTAGAGGCAGTGATTTTGTTACCTCTGCGTCCTGCATCCCTGACGCATAAGAATCCGTAAAGACGCAAAATAATTCATGGTATGCGTCCCGTACGATGCAAAGAACGATCAATCGATTTAAAGATTTTTCGGTAGAGCATCCTGTTCGTGTGATTTCTGTGGCTGTTGTTAAAAATGCAAATTTAATATTAAGTCTTTTTTATGCTTTAAATATATAGCACGACTATATTTTAATTTCAGTAAACTGTGATAAAGAGTTTTGGCACCTGTCTCCATATTAACTGTCTGGTTACATACACTGTAAAAGCCTAAGTATTTCCAATTTCGGACTCCTTGTTTTTTTTTTACTGGGACACACTGGTCATGGACAGGGACTCACGATTTTTCACAAGAGGAGTCCCAGGACTCACCATAACTATTTGTCACAAAATCACTGAGAGGGGGAGCTTAATAGAGGATTTACGGTAAATAACTTTAAAGGAGGGTCAAGAGATACACAACAGTAACTCACTCATTCCTCAGTGGATGCTTCAGATATCGTCTTTCTATTCCTTTCTCTAATGATGCCAGTCTGTTTATAGCAATCACTAATGGGCTGTCCTCAGAACTCATACTGGATTCTGTAAAAGTTATATTCAAAACCTTTAGCACAAAAGAAATAACAAATGAACTACTAAACTGGTGTAAACCAAACCCAAAGGAACACAATGCATACACCACATTCATAACAAAGTGCTAAACATTACTGGTTTATGGTTTATAATGTACTTTGTGTTTTTATATTAATAGGGACTTAAACGTTACAATCTCTTGCCATGAATGTATCTTTTATTATCTTACATGCAGGTCTTCACAACCAAATAATCTTTTCTGTTACTGATAACGGTGCAATGCAAAAACGTTATAAGATTTCAAAATTGATTAGATTAGCAGTATCACCATTATATTGGAGTTTCTGTTGTGGTACATAGTACTATCAAGGTTCACTTCTTAGCATTTCCAAGCTTGAGATCACTGATCAACATATGCCTTTGTCAACTTGGCCATATTTCAAATTTGAGTGATAGTAAGGATGGAACATGTTCTGAAGTTTGCTTGCAAATGTTCTGTCTTACAGAGTAAACAGAAGTGTTTCCGATCACTCACCAGACTGTGGATTATGACTTAACCCTTTTGATGCTTTTGGGGGTAACCTCCAACCCTGAAAAAAGATATTACCTTCGTTAGGTACTAAATTTTAAGCATATGATCCATAACTCGTTCCAGCAGAGCTGCAAATAATTTTCCTTTCATGAAAGGACATAGGCTTGGCTAAGTCACCATTTTGGTCTCAAAAAACTAAAATGCAGTGCGACTCAATTATGTGTGTTCCACAAAAACTGTGCATGACAGGCACAGGGTTCAATCCCTGCAAGAAGTGGTCATAGGTAGACAGATAACTGTCATATAATTATTCACCGTAACAATGTTTTTTTCAAAGGCACAATAACTCACATGTTCCAAGGTAGATTTTATTCAACTACAAAAGGACAGTCTTTGGTACTGATTTTGTCAGGACATCTTGTCCAACCGCCAAGGTCAGGGCTTAAAAAAAGTCCCATCTGCTAGTCTGGGACAAGTAGATTTCCTTTCTGGGCAAGTAACTTTTAAAACTTACTTGCCGAATAGGCAAGAGGGCAGGTAAGTCACCCTCTATTAATTTCATTAACTAAGACGGGTTAGAAGTGGCCCCGAGCAAGCAAAGTGTAATAACTGCTTGCCCAAAGGACAAGCTTGAATTCAAGTTTTTTTCAAGCCTCCATGGCCTACTGAAAGGACAATTTAACATATTATTGGGTAGGCTAGCCTGCGTTGCAGCCGGCCCACGTATTCGTCTAAACCATTTGTATAGTCCGTCTGCGAATTAGTGCACAAAAGCTCGTTCTAATATCCTGCAGAGTCGCAAGGACATATGTGAGCGTTTCTAATAATAATAACAATCTTTTAATAGGATGCTCCATCACAAGAGTGGTTTACATAGAGGTCCTAATTACGAGATGTATATTATATAATACAATTAAAATATAAAAAGGTTAAGCTAAAATCGATATATATGATACAAAAAAAAAAAAAAAAAAAAAAAAAATTCAAGCTAAAAATCGAGTTACAGAAATAATTAAAACATACACACTACAAGTACTCAATTATAAAAAGCAGAAAAAGACACTTCTTAAAAATTGGAAAACTTGCTGAGTTTCTTACAGTTCTCTCTAATTCATTAAAGTCTTTGAAACAGTGGTACCATGAACGTTGTTTTCCCCAATTATATTTAATTTTGGGGAGCTTGATAGTATCGTTATTATTGCGGCGTATTGTAGGAATGTATATCACTCTTTCTTACAATGTCCAAAGAATGATTAAGTTGGCCATTAATACACTTGTATGCATATATACATCGATGACATTTCCTACGTTCTTCAAGATTCAGCCATCTCAAGACAATCAATGCATCGGTGGATGAGGAGTGAGGTGATCTATCTAATATCAACTTAGCTGCTTTGTTTTGGAGAATTTGCAATTCCTTCATAAGTGAGACATTGTCCTTGTCACCCCAGACTAAATCAGCATAATCAAAAAATAGGTAGCACTAAGCTATTATAAAAAGTAAACGGGCATCATAAGGTAAATAATACTTAATCCTACGTAGGAGACCAAGGTTTTTATTAACCTTACATGAAATATACTCAATATGGTCGGACCATGTGAAAGTTGAAGACAACATAACTCCCAAATATTTAAAACTACTTACAGAATTTATATCAGTGTCAAAAATAGATAACGTGAAAGAGGAAATACCAGCAAGTTTCCTATTACTGCCTATAATCATGGATTTCGTCTTAGTAAGATTTAAAGTTAACTTATTTCCATGTAACCACTGGGCAACTTTCAAGAGATCATCATTCAGTGCCTCTTCTAACAGGTGTGGCTCTTTAGCAAAGTAGTACAGGACCGTGTCATCAGCATACAAAGTCACTTCGCAATTCTTTATAACCAGCGGAAGGTCATTAATATAAACCAAGAAGAGAAGCGGTCCTAGAATGCTCCCCTGTGGCACCCCAAAGGTCATCGGGAGAGGGTCAGACACAGCATCGCTACAGGCAGTCCGCTGTTTACGATGATTCAGGTAAGACTTGAACCACTGTAGAGTGCTGGGCGAGACATCGATAGCCGACAATTTAGATAGCAAGATCGTATGGTCAACGGTATCGAATGCCTTGGTCAGATCTAGGAACACTGCACCGCACAGTTCTCCACTCTCCATATGCAATAGGACCTCATCTGCAAAACTGGTGAGAGCCGATGTTGTAGACAGTTTGGGACGGAAGCCAAATTGTTTGCTTGAAAGGAGATTATTTGAATTCAGAAAGTCATAGAATTGGGAATGGACGAATTTTTTCCAGAATTTTACTCATTGTTGGCAGAATAGAAATTGGGCGATAATTTGACGCATCTCTCCTATCTCCAGTTTTGAAAAGTGCAGCCACTTTCGAGCATTTCCATATTTCAGGAAAATTGCCAGTGCGAATAGAGAGATTCAGTAACTTGGTGATCGAGGGACAAATAGCACGCGCGCCACACTTTAAAAGTCAAGCACTGATGTTGTCCAAGCCAATAGCTTTATTTGTCTTTAGAGAAAGCAGATGCTTGAGTACTGTTTTCTCATCAACTTCGTCAAGCGAGAAAGACTGTAGCATCGTGGCCGATCTGACTGGGAACATAGCAGCAGCTGATATTTTATTTGCAAGACTTCTGCCAATGGATGAGAAATAACAGTTGAGCACGGATGCAATAGAGGCTGGGGTGGTGTGTTCAACACCATCAACTACGATACATTGTGGGCTCGAGGATTTAGTCTTGCCAAGACACCTCATTCACCGCCTTCCAGATCTTTCCTGAATCCCTTTAGCCTCTAAAATCAAGTCACAATAATACTTGGATTTTGCTGCCTTGACTTCACGATTGACCCTATTTCTTAACTTTCTATAGCGAGCCCAGTGAAAAGCAGAATTGGTTTTCACGGCTTTACGATGGTGAAAATCACGATCCTTCATCACCTCACTGATTGTATCATTCAACCACGGGAGCGGAACACCTCGTATTCTTCGCCTTTTCACGGGCGCATGCAGGTCAGCTATTTCAGAAAACAAGTGATTCCAAATAAACACGGCGTCGTAATAGGCGGGTTTCTTACGGGTTTCTTACAAGCCGCACGATTGGCCTAATTTTTACGTGTGCGTGACGGTTGGGCGCTGTGACATGTCAATTAAAATTCACAGAAGGGAGTTGGCAAGGATCGTTTACAGTAATCGAAAGATCAGTTCGAACTTTAGAGCCGTCTTCTGAGCAAAAAAACGCTTTGAGATATTCATAATTCCTTCAAGGCCAAAATTTGCTAGTAAATTTGCCGGCTGGTTTCCCAGCGTCTTCCAATCGCTGCAGATGTACTATTGCGTATTCTGTAATCTAGCCGACAGTTCTAGATTCAAAACAAATGAAGAAATCATCACGTTATTCACGATAAAAAAAAAAAAAAACTACACACATGTAGCTATTCAGGTCCAAGCGTTTTCGTTGAAAACCAAAGAAAATTAGGTTATTTAGCCGCAATAAAGAAGCTTAAGGCTTAATCAGAGGTAAAAGAAAATCATTTATGCATCTGTGATCAAATCCTCTTAGAAAACATTTGCCAAAAAATAAACTACAGGAACTAATTACTCAATATGTATGAAACAGACCAGCTTCACAACCTCTAAATGTAGCTAAAGGTGAGACTCAAAGAGGCAAAAAAAAATTGCTCAGTCAAATTGTAGAATACTCCATGCACTGTATAAATTACGCAAAAAGAGAGCAAGAAAAACATCTGTTGTTCAAGCTACTCTAGGGGTCTCTAAAGTCACGTTTCACACTATCACGAGCTTAATCTCTCTGGTCACGAGCTATGAGTCATGTTTGGCCTGTCAACGCTTAATTCAAATCGGACTAATCACAAACTGCGAAAGAAAATAGCCAATCAATAACGCCGACATATATCCATGCTACTCTACGGGATTCGAACACGATATTGTGCACTAATTCGCAGACTCTCTATACAGAAGGTTTAGAGTGTCTGCGACGCAGGCTATGGGTAGGCCTGATTATCAGCTTCCATTTGGGAAATGAGTCCTTGATCACCTAGAAATCAGAATTAATACTCAAGACATTCTTCACTTACTTTGACTTGCAAACTTGCAGTAAAAACTTTTTCCTCCATCTCCTCCACCTCCCTGAGAATTGCTTTGTCAACAGCAAATGCCACTTCAGGAAATGTCTTATCACCTATGTCCATGTTAGCATCTGTTTCTTGTTTCTTCGACTTCTCAAGAGGCTCATCGTCATCTGAATCACTCTCGACTGTTGGTTTCAAATACAGAAGAACAAACTGTCACCTTACAGGCTGCAAGTTAACTTAGTACTTTTATTGTATTGTTTCTCCTTTTTTGGCAGAGAGGGACGCATGGAAGAGCCATAATAAGTAGCAAGAATACAAAGTTTGGAAGAGTTCGGAGTCAAGTATATTATCTTTTAGACAGTGTTCTCAAAGCCATGTCACATCTATGGTGTTCCAGATGCTCTAATATTCCCCTCTTTGATTGTTACAAATTTGAATTTCAATCTGAATTTGGGTGGTTATTGCTATTGCACTGTATTATGATACAACAAACGTTCAACAATATGGCCATTTATATGAGGAAAAAATAAGACGCGAACTGTACCATTTATAGGAGCATGTCTTATCTAAGACAAGAACAGCTCGTATAAATGGTTTGCATCTTATTTCTGTTCTTGACTCGTTTTCATATGAATGTTGCCCATAGCAATGACAATCCAACATGGCACGCCAAAAATAAATGCACACGTACTATGCAGTTGCATCTTATGTAAGACACAAAGGTCTTACCTGTAAGGCATGTCTTATTTTAGGCAAAATGTGCCGTTTATATGGAAAGTTTGCATCTTGTTTCAGACGCGTCTTATTTTTCCTCATACAAAATAATGGCCCTAATATCTCCCTGTGTCCAGGTTCATAACAACAAACTGCTGATTTAGTGCTGAAGTTAACCTTCTGATGGATGAATATCCCATTCAATGGAGGCAGAAATTTTTTCAGGTACTTAATGCTTCAGAAACTGGTGTTTGTCTACATTTCTGAACAAGATGCTTCATTTCTATTCACCTTGGTCGCCCTTGGTACATGAACTGTTTGCATACTCTGAGTACTTCTGGCAACTCTTTTGAAGAATCTTTTCTCTTATTCCTCTGCAAAAAAGCATTTTAGTAAAAATTAACAACAGTGTCGCTAGTGAAGGTGGGTGGCTAGGATGTCCAGGGGCTTCCACATATGGTACAGCCAGCCCCTAGACATGGTTATGCCCCCATGGCTGGCAAACCAGCGCCCTCCAGCCATGAGCCCCCACGACAATGGAACCAGGCACCTGTCACAATGATTTATCAGTGGAAAAATAAAGGGGGGAGGGATGGGGGTAAAAGAATGATCCAAAGGCTAAACGAAGAGAGTGGCCGCCGGGAAAACCCTGTACTGAGCACATGGAGGTGATGCAAGCAAAGCTGATAGCGTTTGAGCCAAACAACTGACCGGTGATCACCCCCTCGCTACTTGTTGTTAGCTGTGTTAAATAAATATTTTATTTAACTTCATAAAAAAAACAGTAACCTTTATAAGACACCACTATTAAAGAACAATGTTGGTATCATAGTAATGGTGCCTTTTCAGGACGGTGCCAATAAAGAGATCCTTCAAGTTTTGCTGCAACTAAAGCTCCAACAAAAAACAACAATGCCTTTTTTAGGTCTTAATTACCTGGAGTGTAAAATCTTGATGATTTCTTTCAGTTGGGCAGGCTCTGTTATTCTCCACCAGCCATGTTGTAACTCTAAAGATAAAAAAAACTTTGTGATGCATATGGCTCAAGACAGATTTGCAAAATCTGTACATGAAAACACAACACTTTGTGAAAATGGTCTTGAAGGTATTTTTCTGTTCAATACCTGGTGGTATGGGTGCTGGCTCCTGCATTAACGATTCCAACACATTCTTTTTTAACTCCTCAAATGACAAGGACATGGTGGACACAGACTGTGTACTGGCAGCCATGGTAGATGTAGGCAAACCTCCACCAGGCTGGCCCTCGATATATGTCAAATTAATAGTCTGATATGATGATTTAGGTGGTCTTCCAGGTGGTCGCTTGACAGCAAGCTGTGGAAGATACTGAATTGACATTGCTTGCGTAGGAATGTCTCTCGGAACAGAACTGGGACCAGGTTGATTGTCATTTGGAACAGAAATCCGTGGCGGTCGACCTGGTGGCCGTTTGATGGAAGGTGAAGCACCAGCAATGTCCGTATCCAAGCTTCTCTTGCTGTAGGTAGGAACAAACTGACCGCTGTTGTGGGTATGAGAGAGTGTCAGTGAGGATTCATCACATGGCATACGTGGCAGGAGATTAAACCAAGAGTTCGTTTCTTGCGGTTGCTGAGCAGCAGAATTATTATGGTGAGCAGAGTCTGTCTTGAAAAGATTTTCAATTCGTTGAATTTCCATAGCATTCCTACTGGCTGCCGCAGGAATGTAACCACTGTTCAGTTTTGGTTGGAAAGCTGTAGCTGAAGTGTTCGAAGCCTTATTATCCCCTGAGGGAGCCGTAAATGTTTCTTTGTGTTGTTTAGCAATACCCTCCTGCGATAAGTGCGTGGGTGAATGAAGGGGAGATTTCAGAGCTGTTTTAGTAGGAGACTTCAAGCTTGCCTCTGTTCCGGTATGATTTTCAGTACCTCCTTGACAAGCCTCAGCCTTCAGATTTTGATTTGCTCCATGAGGCTCCATTCCCACTTTCATTATTTCAGCATGGATATTTTCTTCACCCTCAGTCTTCAAATCAAGCACAATTTCCTTTTCTGCTGTTTCCAGTCCTTCCACAAAGATCCCACCCCCATGGGGCAAAATCCAGTAGCGCCTTTTGTAGCGATCCTGACCCAAACACAAGGCTCGCAAGGCATGAGATGAACCAAACAGTTTAGAGCGAAACTGGGCATGTTTCTGAAAATTGAACAAACAAACAAACTTAGTTAACTAAATGCATTTCCAGCATTAAAACTCAAAACTCCAAAGGTTTCCAAAATCAATATTCAAGAAATCTTTCACCAATCTTATTGTATCATGTACATTTTAAGGAAGTATGTATGTAGTCTTATCAGTTCCATCTGAATATTTACCAGAGACACAAGAACAACATTATTATCCTCAACTTAAACCTAAGGACAATTCTGCTAAAACCCACTCCTTAGAAAAGTCAAAGTACTACTCATCAGCTTTGATTTTAATGGTTACCAATATATAAACTTAAATAAGAATTTCCTCCACAGACACTCAAAATTTAGAACCACAATTTTCATGGACAGTGCTAGAGGAAAATAATTCATAATGCTTATACTTGAATATAATTAGAAGAAAAAATGGATTACAGATGTACACAGTGAATGAGTTGTTGGTTTTTGTAGAACCAAAAGGAAAGGCTACCTTTTCTAGTTTTTTAAGCCTTCGTTCTAGTTCTTCTTGAGTAGTGGGCTCTGCAGCATCCTGCCAAAAAAAAATTATATACTCTTTTAACACAGTTACATGTAATTTGACAGAGAAAACATGAAAAAAACAGTGTCACTACTCATGACAGCAGTGTTTACATACAATTATGCCCAGGTGCTAAGATTCCATGTGCTCTTAGATGGAAAGGCAGTTTAGTGGGAATACCGTAGTCAGCATTTTTTTTACATGCATTTCAAGACCCTCTTACCTCTTCCTCATCTGACTCCTCACTAGACTGTGTCCCGTCATCCCCTCCTTCTCCATCGTCATCATCCTCCTCCTCCTCTTCCTCCTCCTCTTCTTCTTCCTCTTCATCCTCCTCTTCATTACCCTGCATGCTGTCATCAGCTGCGGCATTACTATTCTCACCTTCAGGGTCCACTACACTGCTAGTGTCAGCTCTTGGTCGACCAGGTGGTTTCTTGACCTTCACAACAGGGTACTTCTCTGCTTGAATGGCTTTCAACCTAAACAAGAAATACAGTCAAACCATCCTAAATTGTTAAGATTATGAGAATTGAACCACAGGCAGTTTTTTTCTAGGTCAAGGTCCTGACACATACTCTTCGGATGAGAATAAATTGCATGCAGGTTACCGTATTTTATTCGATTAACCACCCTGGGTGCTTATTAAATTTCTGGACCTTGAGGGTGGGCGCTTATTTGAGGTGGGCCCTTATTCGAGGCTGGGCGCTTATTAACTTTTTCAACATTTTCAGCAAGTGTAGTATGTCTATTTTGCAACAAAACAATAAATGGTAATAGCAAAATGCGAAGATGTAACAAAGCAAGGTTTCTGTAAAAGACTCTGAAGAAAACTCCATCTTCGGGGAAGTCTCTTATTACATGGTGGGAGGGGCACATGCACATGTGGGAGGGGCACATGTGTCTAGCATCTGTAGATCATCATTTTATCATCTCAGGAACCTATCTAGAATTAGGAAGTATTTCACTAAAGAATAAGCAGAAGTTGCTGTTCATGCATTTGTCACATCGAAACTAGATTACTGTAATGCATTATTATACGGCCTACCTAAGTATCAGTTACAAAGATTGCAGTATGTACAAAACACGGCAGCTAGAGTTGTGTTGCAAGTGAGTAAGTTTCAGCATATCACACCTGTTTTGTGTGCGCTTCACTGGCTACCGATTCAATATCGTATTATTTTAAAGATTCTGCTCGTCGTGTATAAATCACTGAATGGGACATCACCTAGCTATTTAGCTCAAAAACTACATTATCGTTCTCATTCTAGATCATTGAGGTCTGTTAGTAATGAACTTTTAATGCAACCTAGATCGTATACCAAGACCTACGGAGATAGAGCATTCGCTGTTCACGCACCAAGAGAATGGAACTTAATACCCTATGAAATTCGGAAGTCCAACACCATCTCGAGTTTTAAAAGATCACTTAAGACGTACTTGTTTACTAAATTCAGTGATAACCGATCATTGTTTTTATAGATTTGTATATATTGCGTTAGTTTTTAATTTTTTCCCTTTTTTTATCATTATGAATATGGTTTAATAGTTGTTTTAGTTTTAATTTTTTCCTTTTTTATCCATTGTAAATATATTAGGATATGGTTGTAAATTTGTAAATATTTTTCAATAATGTTGTTTACATGACTGTAAAGCGCCTTGAACATAGGATAAGAGCGCTATAGAAATAAAGTTATTATTATATTATTATTATTAAAAGGGGGTGGGGTGGGTTTAGTGCTTATTCAAGGCTGGGCACTTAATAACTTTTTTCTGCCTTTAGGATGGGTGCTTATTCGAATAAATACAGTAATTGTAAGTAATGATATGTGTAGTTCCAAGTTATCCCTAAAAGTTATTTATACACTTTGGGAAGCATATTACAACCCATCAGTATAGAGATCTCAGGTCATGTATCAAGGGGTCGCCTACAAAAGGGTAAAAACAATGGCAAATAGGAAAACCATAACCCCAAAGGGTGGTTGTGGTCACTTACAAAAGGTGTTCTTTTGCAAGGGGTTCCAAGCTTTGTCAAGGAAACATGGTCGTGCATGGAGGTAAGACTGTATGCAAATACTGACTCATTAAGAAAGTCAACTTAACTGTTCTACACAACCAGTGTGAAACCATAATCTATGTATCTATGGGTGCATTCCCTTGGGATGATCCGGATCAGGATCAGTGATCTGAGATCACTCCGATCATGGTACGTCAAATGAACCGATGAATCCACTCTTAACAAGGATTCATCGGTTCATTTGATCTACCATGATCCGAGTGATCTCGCATCACTGATCCTGATCCGGATCATCCCAAAGGAACGCACATTATGTGACATGATTGACACATTTATTTTTTGTTGTTTGTGCTGCTGAAAGAGAAATTGAGCATGACAAAGAAAATGGAGCCATTCTGTCAAAAGGCCACACAAATGACCAATAAGTACAAACTCACTTTCTAATCTTGCCTTCCACAACCCATTTGTCTCGTCGTAAATTTGACATGTGCTCTATGCTGCCTTCGATTTCCCTGGAAAATATTAGTAATGAAAAACACACAATCAGGCAATCAATAACATACAACATGCTCTTTTGAAGAGCTGAAATAGTGTCTTAGAAAAGATTTTTTTCCAACACAAATTGCATTTGGTTAACTAACTGGGATTCCAAGCATAGTAGTGTTTTTGCATGGTACTGTTTGTTAATTAGAACATTACAAAATGAAATTGGGAAAAAAATTATTATTATTATTATTTTACTCTGGGAGAGAAAGATGTAATCATTTTACAATAAAACAACAAAAGCACTGTACATACTTGCATATCGTTCTGCTACAAAGAAGTTCATTGCAGAGATAAGCCATAACTCCAGCTTTCTGTGTCATGGTAAGGGCTTGGAATGGAGTTGTCGAAAGTGCATCAGACAACTAATCAAAACAGCAATACAAGCACAGTTGTAGGACTAAGTAGAATCCAAATCATCTCAATCTATAAGCTAGGACTATTCTGTGGTTCAATTTTGTTTCCTTCGTCATTGGGTATGGTTTTATATGTTGATAAAACAAAGACCAGTAACTAACATTTAAACCAACGATAACATAATTGAAGAACCACTACAAATACATGTACAAACTGATTAGACAATGCCATCCTTGGTGGAACAGCAACTTAAAAATTATGTTCACCAAAATGAACAACAGGCTGATTTAGCAACAGAACGGGAACGTCACTTGATGACGGCCATAGGTGGCATCTGTTTAGGTGAGATTTGTACAAAACTGTAGAAAAAGTGTTACACTACCATACATACCGGGTGTGGATCTCCAGCATTTCTTGACAGAATAAATAACCTGAGAACTTCTGACAAGTTTGTCTCATTCAGCTCAACTTTAGCTAAAGATACTCCTAGCATCGTGAAAGACTGTTAACAAAAGCAACAAAATTTAAGCCAGTTATCTTACCCACTCTACTACAGAAGTTGATAGATGAAAATCTCATGAGATCATTGAAATTAACCAACTGCCTCGCTTAAGTGGAAGGTGGGTGCCTGGGATACCCAGGGGCTTCCACTGTGGCCAGCCAGCCCCTAGATAGAAAAACTGCCCCCATGGCTGGCAAATCCCCGCAACCCAGCCATGAGCCCCCATTCCAGGCACCCGTCACACTGATCAAACAGTGGAAGGAAGAAAAATAGGGATGGGAAATGAACCGCTCCACAGACCACTGCACAAACGCCGATGAACAACTCGCAGATCCTAGCCATGTACAAAGCTACCACACACCATGTGAGCCTGCACTTATGGGATTGACCGCTGGATGCCCGCTACGCTCGTGGGCCGCTTGACCGCTAAGCTTGTAGACCGCTTGACCGCTAAGCTTGTGGACCGCTAGACCGCTTAACTTGTGGACCGCTCAACTGCTAAGCTAGTGAACCGCTTGACCGCTATGCTTGTGAATTGCTTGACCGCTACGCTTGTGAACCGCTTGACCGCTAAGCTCGTGGTGGTTAACTTAGTTAAATTACATTTAACCAAATTAAAACACCCCCAGGAGAAATGAAATTAATTCTGAGAAAAGAGCCAACATTTTGCCACACACTGGTTTCTCTGCAAAATGACGTCTGAGGAACGAGTGCAAAAGGTCTATACTAATGACATGTCACAACCCAGATCTGGGTAATGCTTCTGATTGGTTGCAGCAAATTTTTACCCAGTTAGAGGCACTTCCCAGATCTGGTCAGTGATGTGTATCAGAATGGAATTTCTTTGCTCAATCCTCAGATGTCATTTCACAGGAAAACAAGTGTGTCAGCTATGTTCTCTGACTATTTAAAACGTTAAATTAAGTTTTCCAGTTTCTAACAATATGATTATTTATTTCCTTTATAACTTTGACAGATTCTTTTCTTTTTTTTTAAGATAAAAGGTTAGGACACATCCATTTCCATTTCAAGTGCACACATTTGCTATGAATGTCATTAGAGACCTTTAGATTCCAGGAAGAGAATGACTAAGAGTACGGATTTGACTTTAAGTTTTTGTAAGTATTCTTAAAAAATAGACCGCCCAGAAAGCTTCACGGTTTTTTTTTTCCACCAGAAAAGTTAGCACTGTTATCTTAACTGAAGGAAGTTAAGCCCTATCCTACTCGCAAAATGATTAAACCTCTAACGTTTGATAACTTGTTTCTGTCACTATGACATTCTCTCCAAAACTAGTGGTAGAATGACGACAGATATCACGTTTTCCCATCAAAATTACATTGGTTCACGCAAAAGCACTACTTAGTAATGAGAAACTCTCGCACTTGTATTTGTCCTTGTGTTGAAATCTAAAGCTCTCTATTATCAAATGATTGGTATTACCATACATACATCCACATCGATAATGTGTAACAGCACCAAGAAAGTCTTTGTTATTCATTGTCAAAGCTATTCTAATCTGAACTTCCCAAAATTAAAGATTTTTTAATGACATAATAAGTTAACAGCATTTGAGTCAGCAAATCAATTCCTACAGCAGGACAACTAAATAATTTGGCACCACTTGTGTGATTTTCTTGTTTGGCATTTTTTTCAAATAAATTACATTTACCCACAAAATGTTGTTTGACCATTTCAAGAAGAAAAAGCTACTCACATCTGGTCCTTCACAGCCTGGATCCTCTAAAGCAGAAAGAAGAAGACTTTGACCGAGTGGCACAAGAACATCCTCACTGCTTTCATTCAACAATGAAGACTGCATTTCCCATAGTGAAGGAATTTCAGAAGAATCTATAGGATGACATTCATAGACAAAAACTAAATCAGTACAGTAAATTAATCGCACATCCATCAAATTGTTAATAAGCATAAGTTCTGAATTGTACAGGAGTAAGTGGATAAAAAATTCAGCTAGAAATAAAATTCAAAATTACATCAAAAGTAATGATGATGATGAAGATGATGATGATGACAGGAATTTTTCACAAGACTACATACCATCACTCTGTTAACAAAATGCTAAAAAGTCTTCTAAATTAGACCAGATGACAATGAACTGATAATATTATAAGGGAAAATTAAAATGCAAACTCAGTTCTCTTACCTAGATCCAAGGCTTCCCCAAAGTTGTGTACAAATTCTTGAAGCATCAACAAGTCGGCAAAAGCTCCACCAGGCACCTGAAGACCTTTGACTCGAGTCAGAGAAGGCAACACCTTGACAAAGTTTAAACATCATCGTAAACCACATGGCAATAAACTCGCTGACTTGGGTTATTGTATCGGATTTATATAATTTTGATACCATACCTTGCTGTCCTTTAGTACCATATCCTCGACTGGCTTCTTCAACTCCCGAGCTAAGATCATCTCTCTCCTCTTTTGTTCCTGAACAAGGGATTAGAAACACCACTTTTTTTAATCTCTCAGCAAACTCACATCAAAATGCTATCATGTACTTTACTCTTTTGTATAAACTCCCAGTTATGCTGCATTCCACTTCCACTTCAGTAACCGTAAAATTCCGAAAATAAGCCCCCGGGGCTTATATTTTTCAAAGGCCCTTTCTGAGGGGCTTATTTTTGGAGGGGCTTATCTACGGCGGGAAATTTGCGTTTCAAAATCGATTGGGCTAGCCTTATAGTTGGAAGTAAACTTACCATTTTTGCTTTGTTTTACTTTGTATTTGTGGGCAATTTTCCAAGTACAAGCCCCCGGGGGCTTATATTTGGAGGGGCGATTTAACGGAGGGTTTTTTGCGTTACCGGATTGGAGGGGCCTATATTTGGAGGGGATTATACATGGAGGGGCTTATTTTCGGAATTTTACGGTATTTTATTTTAGATTATTTTATTTCATTTTATTTTTTCAAATATATTTTTACCTATATACCGGTACTATATACATTGTAACTATGACTTTAAATGAATGCTTGCAGATGACAAGATTATAACAGGGTTCATACAAAAAATTGAAACCATTTTTAAGGACTTTTCAAGGACCACCTACCAGGAATGTAATGTCACTCACTGTGCAAAAATGCACATTCCCAGTCCATTCTGACAGGAAATTGAGCCTTGAACTCTTTGCTCCAACAAACTTCTCTACATTTTTCGGTTCACTTGTCTTAAATTGATAGTTAATTATTGCATAGAATAAAAAACCCTTCATGTAAAACACCTTTAACTTCTCTGAGCTTGAGTTTTCAATGACTTGCACTGAAATTTTGGGAATTTTCAAGGACAAATGGAATTCAAGGACTTTTTAAGGACTTCCCCTAAAATTCAAGAACTTTTCAAGACTGTGAGAACCCTGTATGACCAGAATAAACAAAATTTCATTTCTTAAAAACTTCTGTCAAGCAGAAGCTTCTTTTCAATTACTGCAACTTGACTTGCATACATGACAAAATAATGATCAAAATTTTACAATAAAATTGTTCATTTCTTACAAGCTTTTTCTCTCTTAGAAGCTTCTTTTCCATCTTTTTCTCCTCCTTCAATCTTTCACGCTCCTAAAAGTAAATTGAATCTGTAAGTAATTGGGCCAACCAGTGGATAGAAGGTGCAAACTTCAATGCAGATGATGAGAAAAAGTCATTTTTTGTTATTACAGTACAACCCGGTAACTTGAACTCTGACCGGAAACAAAAAACAGCTTGAGTTAGCAGGGGGTTGAGTTATCAGGGTTATTCGAATCTTCAATTTACTGCGTTAATATTGATAGTTTACTGATATTTCAGCACTTCAGTATACAGTGATGTGCAAATAAACTTATCTCATCAGAAATTGCAACACAATTATGAATTTTTATGATAACACAGGGAAATAGCTATCAAATACGTGATCTGTTCATTGCACTTATGAAGAATAAAATAGCTGTAGTCTTCGTTTTAGGGGTTTTACTGATTGCATGACAGGAAAAGCTAATGGGATGGTATTTGTGGTGAGTTGAAAGAACCAGAATTTCAGCTATCGAGGTAAATTTTGATCAAGGGAAATGCAATTGAGTTTGAATTTGAATTCGAGCTATCCGAGTTCAAGTTATAGAGGTAAATTTTGATCAAGGGAAATGCATATTTAGTTTGAATTCGAATTCCAGTTATCCAAGTGCGAGTTATCCAAGTACAAGTGACTAAAAAGTAGGGTCAAATCTAAGGGAAATAAGACTTAGTTCAAGTTAGCAGGGAATTTGAGTTATCTGAGGTCGAGTTACTGGGGTCCTAGTGTATTCACCTCTTGTTTCCTCTGGGATTCAATTGCCCTGATCATCATCTGCTGTTGTCTTTTCTGTTCCTTTTCCTGGAGATAAGCAAAATATCAATTTCAAACCGTAGCCATATGTAGCAAGAACAGCAAAAAAAGAACTCGATGGATGACAACTGCTATTTGAATAATATGTGTCACACTGAGCACCTCTTTTTACCCTGAAGTTGCCCAGGAACAAACGAAGACAGGATTAAACTTTCAGGTAGCATTGTTCAAGATGTGCATATTTTTAAGTAAGAATTTATTTTGCTTTTTCTTCAGATCATCCTCAGCCTCATCTAACAACTGCTAGTAAATTGTTTACTTCAAAATCTCTGAAAGGCCCCTAAAAAGAGATGATAACTAATAGTATGATTTTTTCTTAGTATTAGCATTATTAAAAACCAATAACCTGTTGCTTGAGAAGAACAGCTTGCTGACGTTTGAGTTCCCTTTCCTGATGATATAAGGAAAAACGAATAAACAAACTCCCAGCAGTAGAACAATATTAATCAATGACATAAGGCAAACCAATTGACTCCTTTCAATTCTACATATCCAAAGTGACACTACAGTTTAATTTACATAGCACAATTCATGTATCTTCATGTTACTGTCACAATCTTATGCAAAAAATCTACTTTTCTGATTTTTTTTAGCCCTGCAGAGCCAAAGTCAATGTTTTTGGAGATGGGCAGCATAGACTTCAAAATTTCAAGTCACCCACTGAAAGCCAATAAATTTATTATGAAACTAATTTGCAAACATGGATCTATCTTTACCTTTGCCTTCTTCATGGCATCTTCATATTTTGCATTTGCAGCATCTTCTTTCTTCTTTCGCCGAGCCTAACAAACAACCAGATATAAATTAGCAGGTGTAGACAACATTGATCATCAAATTAATTGCACACATGATTGAGCTGACTGAAAATAATAATACTTTTTCTCATTTTATGGTGACTTGTTACAAGACATTCAAAGAAAATAATGCATGTCATTTGATTTAATCACATCAGTTGTGCACTCTGAAAGAAAACTAAGGGTAAAAAAAGCATACGGCACAAAGGAGTTGTTGGATCTTGAAAGCCCCAAAGGATCAGCAATTTAATTCAGAATATGCACCTGACCAACAAAAGTGTCATGCCATTACATCACAAATCTGGTGAAATAATTACCTGTACCACAGACCTCAAATTAATATGTAATATTATTACTGCCAACACATCATGTTTGTTTATAATTTTATTTCTTGCATATTCTTTTAGTTGCCTTTCTACAGTAGTAGAAATAAACTGATTGCTGTTGTTGTTGGACGCAGATATTCAAATTTCTGTGCCCCGGGGAACCCCAGGAGAGCTTGCTTGCAGGCTAAACATATCATAGTAGAACTACCACTCACCAACTGTCGCTGCTCTTTAGCTCGCTCTTTAGCAAGTCGCTTCTGCTCTGCCAGCATCCGCACTGAAGAAATTCAACATAAGTAGTTACTGGTTGTTCATAAAAAGAGCAGACTTAATGGAATAAAATAATGTAAATTTAAAAAAACATTTTTACATCAGCCAAACGTCATTCACCTCTTTCCTTTTTAGCTTCCTTGGCTGCTTGAAGCGCTTCTCGTTTCATGGCTTTGCTGCGCATTCTTGCTTCAGCTATAAAAACAAAACCACAAGTTGAAGTTTATGACAAAATATACACTGTGGACCTTACACTGTATCTGTGTTTTGTCAGAACTTTTCAGTATACAATACCAAAGATTGAGAGAAAATGGGGTAGCATTAAGAATACCTAGCTCAGAAGGAGATATTCTGTTCTTTAAATAATCCCCATAATTAATGTTTTTCCTGGCAAAAGCACAGGACTAGATTGTTAAGTGATGAATCAAGTAGTTTAGAGCCCAGGAATATGAAATTTAAAAAAACACATTGTTTTGTGGACTCAAGAACAAGATGTTTGTTGTTCAGATGTTTTTGTGAAGTACACATATATCTGACTTCAGAGCCACAGTTTTAGGACAGAGATAAAAGAACAGGCTGCCTCTTTCTGAGCTATGGTATCTTAAAGCTAACTGGAAAATGGGCAAGAATGTCAACTGCACACAAATCTTTAATTCTGTATCGACCAAGGTAAAAATAATAATTTGAACAAAAGGGTTATATAACCCTAGATTGTATTTGAGGTCATGATCCTGCAGATTTCTGTACCAATCAAAACATAAGGTCATTCTTTTTACTTTAAACATTTTTTTTAGCAGTTTGGTGTACTATACACCTTTTACATTTTTCTAAAATGAGCACTTTGAATGTTCAGCCAACATTACCTCATTTACATAGTTAGAACTTTTATCCAGCAAAGAACAAAATTAATATGTGAATTTAATAAAAACCTCTCTGTCTTTTTGCCATCTTAACCGCTTCCAAAGCAGCTTCACGTTGAACTTTTTCTAGCCGTTTAGCTGCTGCTGCTTTAACAGCTATTTCTGAAATGAAATCACCACTTATGGCCAAATGTATAAAGCACAATGTTAGAATGAAAGGCAAGTGCGGCCTGCAATGAGTCTGCACTGCAACACCTGCCCTTCTGAATCACCCTCGTAAATGCACAAGTCACCACTGTAATGCAATATTGATGACATATGCATTGTTAACCACTTCACTCCCAGGAGTTGCCAAAGCCAAAATCCAGCAAAATTTCAAAATTTCATTTTGTGAAATCATGAAACACAAATTATTCCACGTAAAGGTACTGCCAAAAATGTTTCATTAGTATGGTCACACCACAGGAATTCGACCACAAACTCTAAAGTTAGAACCACCTTGTACAGCATAATAAACAGTACCATAGGAAAGTAGCTTTCATTTGAATGGTTACACTTCAGGATTTCATCTACAGACTCAAAAGTTAGAACCACCTTACAAAATGCATCAATCACTCTAAGGATAAATGGGCTTGAGCCACATCATTCCCAGGAAATCCAAACTGTTCTTTCTTCATTTTCGAAAGATGGATTCAATTAGCACTTTTGGCCACTTCTGGGAGTCAAAGGATTAACCTGTCAAGCCCTAATAACAACAAGCATTTTCTCCTCAATACTTCCTGATATTTTGTGTGATACTAGTACTGAGAATTTGTTTTCAAATCAAGACTTTCTGTCTTCAGAAATTACTGCCTCTACACTCAATATATATTCATATATTCAATATCAGGAAAGGAAATTATAAGGAGAAACTAAGTGCTAGTCAATGTATGAGGGCTTAACTGTTTAAGTGTAAAGCTACGTATATTCTTAATTAACCTCTTTCTCTCTTGGCCATTCTGGCTTCATCCAACGCAGCTTGCCGTTGGGCTTTTCTTACAAGCTTAGCTTCCAATGCTTTCTGCACCATTTCTACAGTGAGAGCGAGATCACTCAGCAAAGTCTCAGATCATTTCTCCCACCTACCTGTACCTATCACAGATTTGTTATATACCATCTGAGGACAACTAATTCAGAACAATGCCCTTTTCTTTGTGGTGACTACAAAAACTGACACTTAAACTTATGCACAGTGAAGTAGCATTTCTGAATAATTAGAGTATTAGTTTTGACAGACATCAAACATGAGGTTGTCAAACTGTTATGATTTAGGCAGCTTTATGGTTACTATGGTGATCAATTAAGTATTATGCCATATTTTACTCAAGATTCAGAGGAAAATTATGTAATTAGTAGGCAAGAAATCAAACAGCTACATTTAGGAAGTTATTTAGGTGATATTTTCCTTTCGTTTCTTTCGAAAATATCCAGGAACCATGGTTAAAGCAGCCAGGGGAAATCCCTGAGCCTTAGTAATAGCACTGGTATGTACAGGGTGCTAAGATCTAGCTTAAGAAAACATGTGCAGCAAAAAAAAAAGCTATAAGAAATTTAAAATACACCATTTCTCTACCTTATTATCTACAATATAAAGGCATTCTAGTTTTCTTTCCCTAAGTGCTTACAAACTACAAGCACAGTTGTCACCACACAAAATCATATGGATCATTACAAGTTTCTGGGAAACTGCCCAGCTACCCCTCCCTGAAGCCAACATTTTGTCCTAAGTGAGAAGTAAGCATTAATGTAGGCTTAGGGGAGAGGTAGGTGGACAGTTTCCCAGAAATGTATAATAATCCACCTGGGTCTGGTAGCACAAACAAGCTCAAATGCAGAATAGGTATAGCAGAATTCTGAGAGTGCAAAATGACTCTGAATCCTTGAACAAAATTGAAAGATCATGGAAGTATTTTCATACCTGCTTGTTTTTGCTTTTTCTCCCTCTTGGTATTTAACTTCTCTAGTTTAGCCCTGTTTTTTTCGTCTGCTTCTTGTTTTCGTCTGTTGACCTCCTCCTCAGACAGAGGTACAAACTCAGTTCCCTGTTAACAGTTTGAACAGTTTTTATTAAGCAAAGAAAACTCACTTTGAGAAGTTTTAATGTGTCCACTCAAGTTTCTTTCCAACATTTCCCGGATTCAGCACTGGCCAAAACATTCTCTTTGCCTAGTACCATATACTATTGGCTATCCATGTTAGCTTAGAAAGGTTTCATGCAAAACTATACATCGGGCTCTTGTTTTGAGCAGCACTGTACCACTACATACTGTTACACTGTCACGCTTGTCTTGCAACTTCATAATAACAAAACTGACCATTAACAACACAAACCTCTTTACACTCCAGAAACTCTCCAATGTGAAGTTTTGTACTGAAGCTGAAGTTTTCAATAGATATATCAGTGATGCCATTCTTGTTGAGATACTGTAAAAAGAGAACAAATCAATTCATAAACTTTCAAACAACTCATGAAATCTTTCTACTAACAAGCACATTGTACTCAGAAGCAGGGGGCGGGATTTGTTAAAAGTCAAAAGCATTTTCACACCAAAAGAATGAAATTCTAATGTATTGTACATTTTGTACTTATTATCTGGCATGCCTCTCATCAGTGTTTATTAATAATATTAATAATAATAATAATAATAATAATAATAATAATGAGATGAGGCAGGTGAAACGGAATGGTGAAAATAAAACGAATTGACGAATGAACAAATAAAGGATATGAGGGAACTTATGCAACCTCTTTGAGCCGAGCACGTTTATAGGAATTAAGCTTCTTGGTCTTGCCAAAATATTCAGCAAATTCTCTCTAAAAGAGTTAAGGCACTTAAAGCAATACAAAAATGGTGGCCCTATTAATGTCAAGTTAAAAGGAATAGGCAGCACTTCCAGTTGAAAATGCATCATTACACAATAGGTATGGTAATTGTTTACTCACCCTCGTGACCTCAGGATAAGTACGAAGCTTTTTGCTACACGGAGCAAAGTAGTAAACATCCCCTCTTAATCCACCTGACGCGCCCACTTGACGTAATCGGGTCTGCCGCCGCCACCTGCGCATAAACCACAATCACGAAATCAGAGGATGACAACAAACAAGACAAAGGTACAGTGATAATAGGTAAAGACCATGGTTGTGAAGATTGATAAAAAGAATGAGAAAGAGACTAACCCTCTGGTAACGAGAGCAGATGCTCTACCAGTGAGCTACAGGAGTATCGTGCAAGATAAGGCCACTAAACTATTGTAGGTTCATAAGACAAACATCCTGCATACTGCTAGGATTGGAATGTCAATAATGTGCTTATCCGCAATGCAATGACAATACAGTGTTGTAGCCAATACTCTAAAAAGTCTGGACTATACATTTGATCGGTACTTACAAGTGCGGGCCCCAATAATTGTTCAGAAGGTGGATAGCACTATCCGGTGGATAAATCTCTATCCAGTGGATAGTGCAATTGTTTTCCCTAATACTTATCCACTGGAGAGTGATTTATCGGGTGGATAGCGCTATCCAATGTTTGAACAACCGAGTCAGATGGATGATCCTATATACTGTAGCTAGCTCCATGAAATTAACTAAGAACTTAAAAATGGACAAGTTAGACAAAACAACAAACATGTACAAACCATGTCCATTAAGTGTTTTTAACTTTTTTATATTTTTTTCGTAAAACTAAAAAGCTTTATCTTACCCCTTTTCCAAAGGAATTTTGATGGCATCTTCATTGACTGCTCTACGCCTTTTCCTTGGTGTGCCTACAGTACAAAGAAATATTTAAAAATTAGAAAAAAACCACTGATGCTTATTGGAAAAGTTCTGCATTCAACTTGGGACTTTTGGAACATTTCACTGGAACCTTAATAACTGCATTATCCAAAAGAACTATTGAAAGGATTTCTAAAAAGACATCCAGATTTGAAAATTCCTTCACATGTATGAAATAACCCAGAAAAAAATGGGCATGTTTTTTACATCAATTGTCAACATTTAATAAAAAAAATAAAAAATAAAAAAATGTCAACATTCAGCAAGCAAAGAACAACACGTGCTTATAATTATTAGCATTATTATCATTGAATTGTGACTCTGATCATTAAAAATTTTCACATTATTACCTGAAGAACCTTCTTCAAGTTTTCTTTTGCTGGGTGACTGAGTTGATTCTTCAAATGAGACACCACCTTCTTGGCTTTCCATGTTTACATCATCATCATCTTCATCCTCGTCATCATCCTGCTGTTCAGCGCCACATTCTTCCTCCTCACTACCATCGCTATCAGTATCACTGCCGCTACTTTCTTCTTCATTCTCTCCTTCTTCTCCTTCCTCGCTGTCATCTTCGCTGGCGCTGCCGCTTTCACTGTCACTACTGACATTGCTACTATCACTGTCATCATCACTACTCTCCTCGTTATACTTAACATCCCTGAAATGCGCTATTAACGGTGGCTTTCCTGACGAGACTCTTGGCTGAGTCGCCGGCAGCTTTGAAGAAGGCTTTTGACTGGCTGGTGAAACTTGCGAAGTACTGGCCACGTTTTGCTCAGACACATTTTTCAGTTTGCTTTTCACTTCACCGCTAACAATATTCTGTGCTTTTTCAGTCTGTTTAGCTGTACTAGCCACCACCTTTTTACTTGGTTTCAGCATTTCCTCTTTGAGCATAGCAGAGAGATCTTTTCCCTTTTTCACAGGTGGTTCTCGTTTCGTAGGAATAATTCCTTCAGTCGTATTCAAAATCGAAGAAGGCACCTTTAATGGAGGTGGCGGGCCAGACTTCACTTTCTGCAACTTTGGTGGACTTGACTTAGCAGTGGGCTCTAAATTTGCTGTCTGATTTAATGAAGTATGGTTCTCTTCTACAATCCCTGCATGTACATTCTTGTCATTTCTCTTTTCTAAACCAATATTTTGATGCGTTTGAATGTTGCTGTTATCACTGTGGGCAGCAACATTTGATGGTCTTTGGCCATTTTTATTATTATGCTCAGTATTTTGCAAAACTTGTGTCTTATTTCCAGACATTAAGTCTTTATTTTCAGGAAAGCTGTTAGAAGTTTTTGTTTTTTCAAGCTCCCTGTTGACTCTGATATTGGCATCTTTAACTCTTTCTCTGTGATGCAAAGCTAAATCACCCGATCTCAACTCACTGTTTCTATCATTGCTTTCTTCACTACAGTTAGTCAATTTCCTGTTTAGATGTGATGGGGCCATCTCCAAGTCACGACTGTTCCCAAGATCAAGACCACCCTTTCCATCATGGTTGCCGTGGCTACTCCAATGTGAAAGTGTGTTTTTTGAACTACTGGTGGTAGGACTAGTTTGGCGAACAAAGCTATGCACCGACTGTGGACTTGCTGGTGGAGGATAAAAGATCCCTGACCCACTTCCAAAAACACCAGACGAATTTACTCCATTCATCATGTTACTTCTGGACCTTGATGGAGGGTATAGACATTCATCAAGTCTGTCATGATTAGAAATACCACAGTCATGTTCATGTGTTAGCCAGCTTCCAGGGATATGACTGGGAAAATACTCGGGTGTCATCCCATGAGCATGTGGATGTGGGGGCATCCACCAAGCTGCACCACCTGCCCCAGCAGTTAATGAGCTATGTAGTGAGCCAGGAGAAGTCAAACTGCCTGGAGAGCTTAGAATAGGGTCATGAGGTAATGTTCCTCTGAAGTCTGGCAAACCAGGTCTTCTTCCCATCATAGAGAAGGCACTTGCATGCATTCCGTAAGACGGATCGTGGGACAATGGAGGTGAGCGAAGATGGCCTGAAACAAAAGGCACAATAATGACAAGTCTGCTCCAAATATCAGAGTTACAAACTATTAAACAAACTAATTTTAACTTCAACAATTCATGAATAAGAGCACGGTTTAAAAACAGAGGAAAGGGAAATCCTCGATGGGATCGTTGTAACGACGAAATAACGCTAGCAAAACAAATTGAACGAGCAACAAAGTTAAAACTACGCTCACCTGGATTGCCATCAAAAAAGCTGTGAGGGTGAGCGGGGCTGTGATTTGGGACGTCTCGAGGATCCATTCCAAGACAGCGAGGAATTTATGTCTCTCAGTTATGCCTAAGGATTAGAAATACGATGTCAAAGGACGAAACAATGGCTTAATAGATACGAAGATGACGACGAAATGCGTGCTTACGCCGAGTCAAGAATATCGAGATATAAGGAAGAGAATATGTGAAGTTAATACACATGTTTATTTACAACTGTTGGAAAAACTATTTCAGAGTATTGTTTCATCGAAAAAAGTAAAAGAAAATGTCCAAATACCTAGCTAAAACGATTTGCTTCGCCGACTATTTCCCCGCCCTGAATTTAACGACAAAATTCAAGCGAAGTACGCAGAGGTAAGTTACAAACTATTTGATAAGGATAGGAAGCCTGGAAACACATTAAAATCGAGTTCTTACCGGCAAAAGTCGTTCTATATAAGCTTCTAGGATGATCTGTGCTTTCCAGCCTGTCCCCTACACATCATCTTGTCTTCGTCGGGGAAAGACAAAAACAGCCATTTTGGATGGCGTTTTGAGGGAATTTTAAGTCTCGAAAGCTCAGGAAACCTGCAAACCGAGCTCTGGAAATGCTGCAACACGTGTGCAAATCTAGTTTATGAACAAGTTAAGAGTTTCCAAGGTTCGATATACTGTGGAGAAATGAAAAAAGCAGCGAAAGTTGGAATCAAAGTGAAAAATGAACCTTTTAGGGTTGTTTGGTGCGATATTGAGGAAAGAAGGGCGAAGGAAAGCATAAAGCGCATGTGGTACGTGACGTCACAGAATTGTAAAACAATGCCTCGTGAAATAATCAAAAGTAAACTGACTCGATATGCCACGAGTTACGGTAAAGAATTACCACTTTCATCTCATTACTCCTCCCCTAAAATACTCGGCAGTCAGCTACCGGAAAAGCTTCGTAAATGACAGTTTTGCTCTTTGAGAGTTCCTTAAGGTAATCAGCTTTGCTCGGGAACCGAAAACTGCCTTGTTGACGAGAAAAATCCTGGCAAATACGCCGGTGGGCACCAATGGCCGCTGAAGGGAAACCCATCGCTGTAGCTATGTAAATTTTCCAAAACTGAACATTCGAAAATTTTCTGGCCCCTGTTATGGCTATTTTTCTTACTGTTCGCTGACACGGCCGAAGTTGGTTCGATTTTAAAAAGGGGAAGTGCGCTCGATCTATCTTCGGTTTTGTTTGAGGAAGTTTGTAAAAAATGTTGTTCTGTCCGGCCGAGTGCCGTCGGTCCCGCGCAATGGTGATCTAAAAATACACGCGATCACAGTATGAACAATATAGAAACCAGCGTAAAAATAACATAAATTGAAGAAAATATATTTCTTGCAGCCTCGAGCGTTTGAAGCTCACAAACTGATGTAAATACCTTGAAGGTTAAGACTCCACAATAGAACAGGTAGATCAAGTAGCAATTTGTCCTAAAATCTCAAATTACTGAAGAAACTACAGTCTCCGTCATACGAGCCAGACATCAGGGTCCGTCATTTCAACCAAAGAGAAAAGGGAGATCGAGCGTGTAAGAATTAAAAAATGCGGCTTTTTCATTATTAAAACATTGCTGTCGGGTAGTTTTTATACAGGAAAATTTTATTCTCCATCGACAGTAGGAATTCACAAAAATAGCACATAAATAGAACTAACAAAACTCGATGAAGCTATTTACATCACTTTTCGATTCCCCGATTCGTTCTGTCTCACTTTAACAGCGAAGGGAAGTTTTCTTGATGTCCATTTATGGCGCGCCTTTGAAATAAAAGACCGTCTTATGTAAAACACTCGAGAGTCAGAATTCTCTTAGGAACGTGAAAATATTACGACCCCACGAATGTCGTACGACGAGTGATAACAAAATCATAACCCGTAAAACCATTGAATAGTCGCCCTGTGATTGGCTGGCGCTCACTCCAGTTTATTTGCATTTTATCCACTTCGTTTTCGACTCGTCAAGTGTCAAATTGGACAAAAGAAAACCAAAACAAAACGGTTAATTGGAGCATCAGCGATCGCGTCTTGCCGAGCAAAGCGCTCGGTAAACCAACACCCCGTGGCTCTAACATGACAAAGATTAGCAAAGGACCATACAAGTCCCTTTTGCGAGATTACTAAAAATTTCTCTTCGAGAATTTTAATTCACGGGCGAACTGCTCTCGGTTGAGCGCGCAAATGGCCGTGAATGTCTATTAAAAATTGTGATATCCGAAAAAATAAACTAAGTACTGATCAAAACAACTTTCTGAGAAATTCTTAAATTTCCGCTTCAGCAGAAGCTACTGCACTGTTCACGCGTTTTTTCATGCACGCCACCGAAATATGAAAAATGACAGCCAAAAACAATTTTTGTCTTTTTTTCTTTCAGAAAAGTAGATAATTCAGAAGTGCCTTTTCTTATCCTTGAATGTTACATTAGCTGAATGATTATTCTAACGTTCTGTCCAACCCCTCCCCCGATCAAAAATTGACTCATCAAAAATTGGTCATGATACTGTCTCAAAATGACATATTTACTCGATTAAACGCCGCGACGTTTGTAACATTTTTAGCGTTTCCCGCGGATGTACCAAGTTGCATCATGGGTAATCCATGTCGGGAAATCTGTAGCGTACCTGACTGTGAGCCAGTTAACAACGGGCTTAAAAGATTTTGGGGGAAAATTTTATTCTCACAATTATTTTGACGATGTGGGTGTCGACAGCAATTCCGGAACGATCTGTATGTATAAGGGTCAAGACGTACTTGCGCTCTAGTATACGAGCAGAGAGGTCCTCTGGGCTCGCGCTCCTAGATGCGTACGTGGACAAGGGCATCGACACAGACCAGGTGGTCTGCGAGTTTGCACGCTAACACAGCTTTGTCTTTGCGTTCAACATGACATTGTATAGAAGTAGGAAATACAACATTTATGTGAAGTGATTGTAACCAGGAGCCGGCTCCCGTTGTAACTTAAAGATCCAACTAAAGATACTTTACGACTTCTAAAACCCTGCTTTAATGAGCGTATATCAGCAACATTCTGGTTACGGGGTTAAAGCTGGAAAATGCCCAGGAACGCCCCTGAAAGCCAGCTAATTCTTCCTGAATTCATGTATTTGCCACTTTCTCTTTGAAAAGTGTAATTTGTGAATTCAAAGAAACAACAAGCTGAATCTGGAGTGCATAGTAATACAAGATCAGTTTTTAGAAAACCTCAATTTTCCCATACATATTCTGTAAATCTGATACTGTTGAATTACAGAAAATGTATGGGAGAAATCAAGCTGATCACGGACTTCTTTGCACTCCAGATTTAGTGTCTTGTTTCTTTGAATTTGTAAGTTACACTTTTCAAAAAGAAAGTGTCAAATATATGAATTTTGAAAAGCAGTACTGTCTAAGAACAGGGTTATCCCGCAGTATAAAACTTTGGAATCCTGTCCACATTATGAGTAGTACAGGGCGCATATCGTAACCTACACCACTTGAGAAGCTATTCTTAGAAGTAAAAAAAGTTCGGTACGAAACCTGATACAATCCTAATATACATAATGATATGAATCTCTCTACTTAAAAAGCCAATTTAGAATATTATTAAATTCTTATACTCCGCAAAACCTACGCAAAGACATGATGATATAATTATCTCTACTAGAAGCCTATTTAGAAAAATATTTAGGTTTTATGCCCTCATTATCTCTTATAAACCTACACGAGGCCATCATAATGTGGTTATCTATTATTATTATTATTATTATTATTATTATTATTATTATTATTATTAAAATTTATAAACGTTTCCCTCTTCCCCGGGCATCTTCGCTCGCTTTGACGAAGACCAAATTCAAAGCGGAAACTCGTATGTGCCAGTCGCCTTCCTTACCTGCTCCTGAAGAGCTGCAGTGTCACAGTGATATGGGTATCCCCATTCCAAAAACCCTAGTGATGTGGGCATCCCCTCAACCATAACCCTAACCCTAAGTCACTACGGAAAAGAGTGATAGCCTGGGACCCAAACTAGGCGCGTGCATTTATATGGGATTGTTTGGGGGAACAAGTGGAGCAGCCACCTTGAACTATGACGAGACATGCAAGTCGTTGTGTGCCTTTGTGCACAAATAACTTCAGGAACTCCCGTGGTCTGGCATTTTATAGAATAACAAAGGCAAGACGTATCCAGCGAGAATATATACCTACGTTTGCTTCGGAACGCTAATTTGAAGTTAAACTCCGATAGCACACGGTACATAACTTTTACGTTCACGAGCCACACTTGCACGTTACCTCTATTTTATTTATACGGTTAAAATTTCCGAACGCGGCAGAGGAAATCTACCCTTACTCCCGGAAATGCAGCGTGTCGTTTAAGTAGAAAGCAAGACCGTCGATCTTCACTAGAAAGGATGAGTGTTCTAGCAAGAAAATTTGGTGCCTTTGTCAAAGTAATAAGATGTGACCTTAGTGAGACCCGATTCCCGTCCAGCCCTTAAACGACTCAACTATCAATTTATTAAAATTCCCTCAGACGGGTATAACACCAAAGTAAAAAACGCAAAAATATACATTTACGCATTCCTTTATAAAATAAACTGTCAATACTCAAGACCAATAACAATAGCCTGCAAAAAGGATAAATGCGACGATTTTAGTCTGACAGTTCGTTGAAAACTAGTCTGCATAGCAGTCGTTTTCGGCTACTTTTAGCCACGTGGGAGAAAAGAGACGCGCTAGGAAAGGAGCAACCTTTCCTTCCCCGCCCCTCCCCGCATGATCCTACTTTTTTTTGCACCTTTTTGCCCAATGCTCTCGCTTCTTTCGTGCTTCCCCCGATTGACTTAAACGAAACGGAAACGACTTCTAGCTACTTCTAGGCAGGGTAGTTTAAAATCAACATGTTCATGAAGACTTAAAGTGCCTAGAGACACCCAAATGTGGGTTTTAGAAGTCAACTTTCACTGAGCCTTGTCCCACGAGTTTTCTCGAGGATTCCTTCCCATTTTACAAGGGAACAAGATTGACTGCGAGTACCGATTTATTTTCCTCTAAAGAAAAGGCGTTGTTTCCATAGGCTTTCCATATGACCATATAAATCAGGGCGATCTTTACGACTGCTCTATGAAGTTCAGCGATTTGGACGATACCAGGCAAGAAGACTAATAAATATGATTGAGTGTATATCAAGGCCTGATATTTCGGTTAACACAAACCCTCTACGGAAGTTAAATAGTAAAAAGTAACTGAATGATGGTAGCGAAAAAAATCTGAACGATAATAGCGGTCGCAACAATTCTATAGAAACCAAGGCGCCGTTCCAAAAATTCCGGCTAAGGTCGATTATAAAATATATAACGCTGATCCAGGATGAAACTGTAAGTTTGCTATTGTATTAATTTTATTTTAATTTTTGCATTAATCATAACATCATTTTGAGTAAACGTAACTGGATTTTGGATTAAACTCAACAGTATTTTAGAATCTCCAGCTACATGTTCCAAAAAGAGAAAACTTTGAACAAAATTGGCTTAATCCTGGGTTTATCTAAAACATCTTTCGAGGAACCCGGCTCTGGCCTTAGGCGGGGTATAGCAAACGCATGCTTCTGTTGAGGGTTCTTACACTCATTCTTGCGCATGCAGCTCGCCGTACCTTACGCACATTTGTGGTAAGGCCAGGGCTGCTTGCACAATGAGGTTTGAAAAAAACAAAACGCAGCTTTTAGTGGACCCTTTGTATAAGTATCGAGTTTCGGGATTTTCCGCTTGTTCGTCGCATTAACTGGAACTGTAAGAATAAACTGTAACATCGACATCTTTATCGACCTCAGAATTAATATGAGAAGGTATTCTTCATATTTGGCGTCTGTGATTGTTTATGAAGTACTACACTTGCGTTCGGCTGGTCTTTCTGTGCCGTCCGACTCCAAGACATCCTGGGATGACTTTATGCTCGACAATTGTCCCATTCTTTCACGTAATAAATGTGACCGCTAAAAGAGATAAGACACAGAGGAGTTGATAAACGAGAAACGATACAAGATGAGACTAAAACCAAGCGAGTGCTTAGGAAAATTTTGAAATTAACTTCTTCAAAAAAACTTTGTCTTTCTGATCTGATTCACTTAAAACTTTGGACGAGGAAATAAAGCTAACAAATGGCGTCGAGATTAAGCGACTGGCAACGTGTTTTGTCGAATTACGTTATGGGACTATTTTTGGGACGCTTTCGCTTCAATTCTTTTATTAGAGAGCCTTAAGATTCTTAGACGACTATGACTAAGACCATGAGATCAGTTTCCAATACGGAGTATTGCTCAAGTGTGACCCAGCGTTATTTTGGCGGGAAAACGTGATAGCCGTCGTCATTCTACTACGAGTTTTAGCGAGAATGTCGTAGTGGCAGGAACAAGTTATCAAATCTAAGAAGTTTTAAGGCTTAACCTCCTTCAGTATAAATATCCGTACTAACTTTTCTGGTGAAAAAAGGTAAATTGAAGCTTTCCGGGGTGTCTTTTTATCAGAACACACACAAAAACTTTAAGTTAAATCTCGTACTCGTACTCGCTCTGGTCCTCAAATGTAAAGTCCGCTATTGGCTATTTGTGACCCGGTTTCGTGGCCAACTTGGCCAAACTTTCGATTCGTGGCCCAAAAAAGAGTCATAGTGCAATTTGACAAAGATAAACACCAAGTCTCCACTTCCTACCAGAAAATTCAGCAAAGAAAAACAAACCATTTCCGATATAAAAACAAGGGGTTATTCACCGGTTGACAGGTCTGTATATCTCTCCACATCACGAGCTCTCGGGTGATGTCCAAGCCCTGTCGTGCCAATTCAGCTAGAGGCAGGAGCACATCTCCTATAACCTTGTTTCTTGAGTACTCATCATACCCCATAACACAGAACTGCAATGTCTGCAGCTGTAGTGCTTCATAGCTCATCTCGATCTCGAACGACTTATGCCTTCGGCGACGGCGGCGAGACATTAAACGAAGCCGTTTTTTTGTCTCCTCCTGAATAAGATTGGGATGAAAAAAAATGAAAGCAAACCCTTGCAGATAAAATCCACGTTCGTTATTATAAGCCAGAGATACGTGTGAGGTTGAAGAATTGCTGCACTGCCTAATCCTTTAAAGGTGGTGTTACACGGGACGATTCGCAACGACGATTGTTAGAGCAACACAGGGTTGCAATGTTGGAACAATGTTGTAACTATTCATTACAATATCGCAACAATGTTGGAACGCTATGTTGCGCTAAAAATCGTTGTTGCGAATCGTCTCGTATAACATTTTTACCTAAAGCCCCAATATCCTCAAACAAATTCTCCAAACTGATCCCCATGCTTTTCCTCCAAGACCTAGTTGGGAGAATTTTATACGATCAAGCGATTTTGAAGGGGCGGCTGTACACAGGCTAGCGATTTTCTCTTTAGTGATTATTGTTTGAAGCCGGCTACAACCTCACCTCTCCTATATGGGATGCTTGTGCATCACTTTAACCCTTTAAGCCGCAATATCCAAATACAAATTCTCCAGACTGATCTTCATACATTTCTTTAAAGAATTAGTCCCTGTTGAGAGCATTTGTTTGCTGATCAAAGCTTTTCCTAGACTGTTCACAGTCCTCTATTTTTCCGTAAGATCGTCGAGATCGAGCACTTTGCGTTTCGGGCTGCATCTTGCGTGGGTGTCAAAACTACTTAGGGGGTAGGGGGCGGTTTGGGAGGAAGCGAGAAAAATATTTTTCTCGCCCACCTCCCCCTAGAGTTATAATCCCCCACGCCCGCCCCCTCGGTACATTTGAAAATCAAGATGGCCGTCATTAACGGTAAGACGTGCTATATCTCAACGATCTCACGAAAAAATAGGGGACTGTGAACAGTCTAAGCTTTTCCCATCAGATTATCACAGTTTCATTAATTCTCAAAACATTTTCTCTATAGATTATGTATCAGGATATTGTTAGGAGAAAATTAACTTTGGTCACTCTTGACACTTGAAGTCTTGATTGTTGAGACCCTAATCAAGCCTCACCTGCTGGGTCAGTTGAACGTTGGAAAAGAGAAACACAGAGGAATCTCCACCATCTAGCGCGGCATCGTCCAGGTCGGGGCTATCCAGGGAAAGGTTAGCCGTGTCTAGCAGCTGTACTTCCAGTACCCCACTAAGAAAAACAAATATTAACAAAAGGTAAACATGATAACAGCGACGAGGGGCGGTAATTGACTCATGTGCTGTAAGAAGAACTCACCTTGCTTTGTGATACTGAAGAGAAAACTTAAGTTTCGGTAATTCGTCCTGATTCTGCAAAAGAAAAATTTAGGATCTTAGAGGTGAGCTTCAAGAGTGACTTCTTTCTGGTTGAAAACAGATGTTCAGTGAGATGTTAAGGATGTTTGGAGCGCGTTAGACTCTAGAAATAACTTTCTTAGTCAGCTTTATGAACTGTTGAAAACAAAAATATTTAACGGAAGGGACAATAATTCCTGCTAAGAGCCTTAACAACCTAGCCTTACTTGTCAAAAAGAGAGAATTCTTTTGTCGAACATTGTTTGGCTTTGCCATTTGGCTGTTTATCAGTTCATTTGCGATCCCCTATTAGGCCTGATCACCAAGGCCGGCTGATCCTATGATAGCGGCCTCAGATATCACGATTTAGAGAACATCGTGAATAATGTTCTCGTCTTTACTGGTCTATCGTGACGAACTGAAAAGCGCTACGGCAAAAGTAAATATTTTTGTTAATCTAATGAGCTTTAACACACTTCCAGCCTTGTGATGGCCTTTTCGGGGAGGCACCTCCCGAAAGGGGTACCGTAAAATTCCGTAAATAAGCCCCTACATGTATAAGCCCCTACAAATATAAGCCCCCCCGGGGGGTTGTACTTGGAAATTGCCATCAAATACAAAGTAAAACAAAGCAAAAACGGTAAATTTCCTTCCAACTACAAGGCTAGCTCAATCGATTTTGAAACGCAAATTTCCCTCCTTAGATAAGCCCCTCCGAATATAAGCCCCTCTAAAACTAAGCCCCTCAAAAGGGCCTTTGAAAAATCTAAGCCCCCGGGCTTATTTTCGGAATTTTACGGTATCTTTTCCAGGCTTCAGGAAAATAAAAGGGTAGGGATTTCACTAGTTGTTTGTTGAGTGTCCCCCCCACGGGTGCGAAGGAAAACGTAAAAGCGAATTTTTGGCAGGTGTTGTAGAACACTGTACCCTCCTTTCTAAAAAAAAAGCCGGCTCTTTTCACATGAGTTACGTACTAGTTTGTGTCGGCGTGGTTTTGGAGTTGAATAAGTTACAGGCAACAGTTGAGCTGACGGTTGGATCTCTATCCCCACGAGGCTACTCGGAATGCCTGGGACCCAAAAAGGTGTGCTTTCAATGACAGGAATTCTCCTTTGCCTCAGTTCGGCTGAAGAGGGTCCCTTCTTCCGCTTCCAAAATCTCCATCTTATTTTTTTCAAAAGGAGCAGTGCAGACGCCAGACTACTGATGAAGACAAACAGCACTACCACGGTAATGATATAAGCAACTGCGGTGTTCGTCATGTCAGCTGCAGGCTACTTGGAGCCGGTGCCCAGAGGACCTGGTAAAGAAAAGATGCCAATCAAGCCAGCTTAGGGAAACAAGGAGCACTTACCATTTGTGAGGAAATTTCGGTAAAAACATTTCTGACAAATGGTACTGGAATTCAAAACTTTTCCGAAAAGAGGAATGGGTTAGAGTTGTACCATCTGCAAAACACCAAATAACGAGTGGGCCTGGGTTAAAACAATTAATCACCTTCCGCCTCAAGAGGAAGCCTGGCACTGGTTAACCAGATAAATGGTCCAAAAAATTTCGGTCGTTTCGGTAAAATGACGGGAAAAAGGAAATACCTCCAAAGGGGTTACTTTTTTCTGGAAAATTTCCATCTGAATGAACCGTTCCATTTGAACTCCCCGGAATTACCGGGTTTTCCATACAAATGGTAAGCGCTCAAGCACTCGTGTTCGAATTTACGCCAAAGGTAAACTAACAAGGAAATTTCAAATGAAGAACAGAAGATTAAAAAGACATGAGAAGTTAAAACATGAATAACAGGCTACTACAGCTGGGCTTACATTTCCAGACTGAACAATTAAACTATAACATACTCAGAAAGGCTATGGGGCTCAGCATGTACAGTATTTGGAAAACCGGAAAACAGAACACGCCCGAAAAACCATGATAAAAAAACAAAAAGGAAGGAAGTTAAACATTTTACTGGTAAGGGTTTCTGTTTGTCTTTTTTATGTCACCTATTGTCGGGTAGCCTGCAAATCAAACGTATTTTGCAGAGCGATCGATGATTTTGTTTGGGGGGGAATAATGCTATACCGCCATCTTGGACGTTGAAACTACCAGTGAGTTGGGGCGAGTCAAAAACTGATTTCGAGGGATAGGTTGATAGGTTTAAAATAGTGGAGGGGGAGGGGAGGAAAGAATACGCCGTTTTTCTTCTCTACTTCCCGCCCGTCCCCCCTTTTTCGCCTCTGTTCCCTTTGTCCTTTTCAGTTTGCTTTTAACATGGCGACCGCGGTTAATAACGCCTGCTCTGCAGGCTAATTGTCGGGGTTTTCTGGTTTGTTCCAGGGTTGTTCCGGTGGCCGGGTTTTACGAGGACTCGCCTCCTTCAGCGTGCATGGGAGCTGCTATACTGCCATAAAAATTACTTCACTGAAAACAAGTGGGGTTTCTTTGAAGCCGATCAAGCTGATTCGAGTGTTTTAGTGGCACAAAATGCGTCATGTCTTGTAGATAGTTACAAATTGCTTCATATTAGGGGGAGTGAGAGAAAAAAAAGCCCAATGCTCCTATATAAAATACTCTATTAACACTGCAAGGAATAAATTTCCCGAAGAAGATCTGATTGAAAACATGGGCTCGTATCAAGCGTTCCTTAATCGCTGCTGTTGTTTCACCGTGAGATAAAACTGATCAGACTTAACTTATCGATCATCAGGCATACATCGAGGACAAGTGCACAATATACAATATATGCAGTAATGTTAGGACTCCTTTATATGAATATTGGCTTCATGGTAATGAGAAATATGTAATTTCAGTCATTGACACACGTGTTTATGACTCAGCAGATCAGTAAATAAAACATTGAAAAAAAAAGCTAACAATCTTTTTCTCAGAGGAAGCGACAACGATATTTTGATACTTCGAGCGGAATTATTTAACCAGCCACGCGCAACGCTTTGGTTGTTTTTAACGGTTAGAGAAAAGCATACGCCTTTAAATTTTCACGCGTTTATTATTTTGTAGAACATCCTCAAGTACTCAAAACTTTTTTGAAAAGTTTAATTGATAAGCTAGTCGGGAGATTAAGAAAACCTTGGACAGGAGCTTTATTTTAAGTTTCAGCAATAAACAATGCAGGCTAGAACGTAAACACGTGTGTTGTGTAACCTCAAATAAAACCTGTCACAACTAAAGAAATAAACAAACAAAGAGGAAATAAAATAATTGCCACCTACCTGAGATTGCAGTAAAAAAAAATTCGCAGAAAAACAGTTCCGAAAATTGCATTCCTTTCGTGGCACTTGTTTGCTACATAGCGCGGAATGGTGGCAGAACGTTTATAAAATTGTGCACGTGAAAATCCCAGCCAATTGCAAAAAAGCCGATTGGCTAATACGGTCAAAACGATTTTAATAAAAGGTGCGGTTGCAGTAGACCTTTCCTCCAAAGCTCCCCTTGGGGATATAGCTTGGGTTGAGTCCACTCTGGGGTTTGATCGCTGAAATGTTTGTTGTTACACAGCGATAAATTTGCCAAGGGAAAAAAAAGAACCCGGTTTCGAGGCAAATGTCGTTTGCAAACATTGAGGGCTGACATAAATCGTAAACGGTTTCGACCGTTTTACCCTTTTAACAAAACCTCCAAATTTTAAGACTAAAAACCACGACATCGACTTCAGTCCCAGTTACATTGTAAACGAGAGACAAATTCTCGCCAAAAAGTCAAAAGTACGGGTTTATAAAATGTTTCCGGCGACTTCTTAAGGAAGGAATTCTTGAAATACTGTTATCTGGGCAACCAAGCTCGGTACACTCTCAACGTCACTTGTCGCACCCAGGCTTTCGAGGTCCAAAAACGCGCCAATTAACAGTTTTTCCAAGACGGGAAGAAAGGAACCCCAAGGGCCTGTTTTCATGGAGGTGGGGGACTCAAGGAAGGTGAGGTAACCCCCTTAGGTGGGGTTACTCATTTGTCCATACGATCTCTCATTCTAATATGACCACGTTTATACATGATAGGTGGGGTAACCATGGGCGCGATCCATTCAACCAAAATTTCCGAAAATTTCGGTCCAAAACTCAATGGATCGGTTCGGTCCAACCGGAAAAGTTTCGAAAAAACTGGTCCACCTTTTGAGGTGGACCACTTTTCCCGGTCGGACCGGTTAGAAATTTTGGTTGAATGGATAGCGCCCCATATTAGAGATTAATCCACCCAAGCGAGTTACCTCACCTACTTCCATGTAAACAGGCCCTAAGTAAAAGTGGGAACCAAAGCGATCAACTGCAAAATTATTTATAGTATGACTTAGAAACCAAACAGAAAATGACTTTTGACTGTTCGGAATATTTTATACTAAGATTTATTTACACGAGTACTTTGATTGCAAATTTCAGAGAAAAAGTTAGTTGGCACAATCAAGCTTTTAGCACAATCATGTCCCCCATGGGCCCATTGGCCCGTTCAGTGTTCTCAGATGCGATGCAGAAAGAGAGAAATATGAGTCGCGAGTCACTTGACCGGTAGCACTAGCTCAGACCGCGGTAGAGTGGCCTTCTTCGATGCTTTTATAATCTTTGGCTGGTCAAAAGTACATTCTGCGGTTGTTGCAGGGTTTGAAAGGATTATTTTTTAGGATTGTTTCTTTTCTGTGGTTCTAAGGGTTAACAGCTTCCCTGCTAATGGAGTTTCATTAAGAAAATGCAGTCAGCCTAGCTTTTGAGACTTTTTTGTCCAGGCCTAATAAAACTCATCGTTTGTGTTACACCAATGACAAGTACAGAGGAAACAAATGATGATATAATCTTTTCTCACCCAATGTTGGCATTTTCCCCAAGGGTGAAAATTATAAGATTCATCAACGGGTAAAGGCGTGTTTATTCAAAATCCCATTAAAATGAGTCTTGTTTTTCATACAGGAAAAAAGAAGAGAAAATTTCCACAAGAGTAGCATCATTAGTACTCCCAACCGTACGGGTGCACGATTGCGCACGAAGCAAGCGTCACAAAACTAGCAGCGCCACCGCAATCTAGACAGCAAAAACACTGTACTCTTCTAAATACCATCAAAAATAAGGATGGCAATGCACCTGCAAAATTCTAGGTGCACATCATGCAATTACCTAACAAATCCCAGTGGTAAAGTATTAATTACATTGTACAAAACAGCGTAGCAAATTCCGACAAGCCAAAAACAACAGGTTGCAAGGGGGGTTTTAACATATTTCTTGGAACAATCATGAAGTAACACTTCTATTTTTTTTTTCAGCTCCGAGTGAAAAGTGTTTCTCGACTGAGCTGAATATAAATTAGCGTTTACACCAGAAGGTATAAAACCAAGAAACACACCCAGTATTAGAATTAAAAGTAGCGACTGGAAAGGCGACCTAAATGCTGTGGTTTTACCGCTTGTGGATTAATTTGTGCTACATCAGTCAAGACGATAACAGGTTTGTTCTCTTGATAAGTCATTTCTCTTAGAGGTTTATACATCAGAGCCTGACTCTGTAACTGCAATTTGTTATAAAAGTAAAGGCGACACGTGTTGACTGTGTACGCGGCCAAATTCTTATATCCCACGATAGTCCTAGAAGTAAACTTGAGTTGCTGCTCCGTTTTCTTCATTTGACTTTGTCCAGTCTCTGTTTATGTCAGATAATCAAAAGTTTTAACCTCGCCGTTTTTCATAGGTCTTTCTGGTTAGAATCTGTTTCTTAATCTCCGAGAAATCATTTTCTGTGGCGAAGAAGTATCTAAATGTACTTTGTAACCAAAACTAGCTTTTGTTCTTATTTCTAATTAAAATGAACAATTTTTACTTGGGTTTATTATTTTTTTTCATGAATTATGATGGTCTCAAAATGATACTTACCTAGAGCACCGATCTCGTGTTGATTATGACTTCATTTTACAAAAGAAAATACGAATGAAACGGAAGACATTTGCCTTAAAGTAACGAAAATTAAACAAATGAGAATTTGTCCCCCTTTGTTGGCGCAGGTGAATTAATATTCACCAACTTTCATGGAATATAATGATGCACAAGAATCAGCCGGGAAAATCTGTGAATACTAAACGTACAATGGAAATTAATTACTTCGCTAATCTCTCTTGTCTTGTCACACAGAAACTGAATCTGTAAAAACTGATGGCGCATCTTACGAACTTCCATTCGCTCCGGTTCAACACAGCACGTACAGAGTCCTTGGAAAGTCCATTCCGCCAAGCGAACAGAAGGCCGACAGATAAGTATATTTAATATTATAGACTGATATTT